AGGTTGCTAGTGCATCAAAGTACCTACCGTAATCGGGCGCTACGAAAGAGCTGCGGGCGGCCGCCCTGCCCGAAACCAATGAACTTGCATGCAAGAGTATGAGGGGCAAGAGAAGTAGGAACAGGTACACCTCCGATGAAGATCCAAACAGTGCATGCCATCAGAAGCTTATGGTGGCCCTGGCTACGGCGTTGCAAAAGGTGAATCAACCTACTTGTGCGCCCAATGATTTTGGAACCTGTAAAGTACTTTTGGGTAAATCAATTGCCATCAGCCTTCATTACATGGATCTAGGAGGGGGCCGCAGTCACACATACCAGTACATTGTCGATACAACGTGATGGCTTGCGAAATGAGAATGAGCGTCCAAATCAATGGACTCATCGATGTAGCGCGTGCGTGGAAGACAATCTGAACTCACAGTTGCCCGCACAAATAACTCGATCAAGATAGAAGAAGTACGGATATAAGTACCGACTTAGACGTGGGTCAAAACGGTACTCACCGCTTTTGACAGTCTACATTTACCGTTTTCAACTGAAGCGCACTCCTTTGAAAGACCAGCAAGCTTTGCCTTCAAGTGCTGTTTTCGGTCTATATTTGAACACACGAGCTTCAACATGTGTTCTCAAACACGCTAATTGGTACATCTTTGAAGACACCAACTCGGAAGAATCCACTCATGTCTATGCCATAGTTGAAAAGTCTGGTAACAAATGTTTGTTATTCCGTCCAAAGCAAGAAATAGTCTGTCCTGCATACAAAGAATGTTTGTCCTAAAGGTGCCCTTTCGCGCCACGACCATAACCGTCCACGAAATCGCAACCTACTTTTCCTAAGCGAATGGGCGACAGTGAATCGTTACAGTACGTCTGGAAGGCACCAGCGCCGTCGGTGCCTCTACCAGACATCCCGGTGGTACCGCCCTTCACTCTGCAGCTGCTTCACGAATTCCTCGGCCTCCGTCCCTCCGCAGCACTCTTGCTGCTGCACAATCTGGTGCAGCGCACGGTGCACGTCCTTCGCCATGTGCTTGGCATCCCCGCACACGTACAGCACACCGTTCGCTCCCCCCTTTTTGGAAGAAGCCAGAACGTTCCACACTGAAGTCGCCTGAACAGCGAAACGAGCAGATGCTCAGAAATGATTCAACTGCACTGCACATTCAAGCACCCATCCCACTGGGTCCGACAGGCAACGACAACCCAGCAGGGTGGCTGCACGCCAAGGAGAGAAGCGAATACCTGACCATGCAGGCACAACATCATGTGCTAATCCGATGATCCGCAACAAGATGGTCTCTTTCCACTCTGCGCTCTTGCAACGACACAACGACGGGAACTGTCCCTCTTCGCCCACACCAATGCTTCAGGGACATTCCCAAGGCCAATCTTCGAGACACTCCAGGTTTCTGGTCCCGCCAGAGCCATCGCGCCGTGCCGGTCTCACCTGCTGTTGCATGAGGTGCTGGACGTAGACCTTGGTCGGACCCTCGCGAGATACTGCGACGTGGAGGCCGTTCAGGGCACCACTGGCAACAAATGCGTCCAATTCCTCTTTATACAAGTAGTCCTGTGAAAGTGAAAGACATGGGTGAGAATCATCGTAGGTCCCCATGCACGAGTAAAGGAGCCCTTTGACTTCGGTTCTAGAAGACACTGGGCTGATCAGACAAAACCATGGCAGACATGAGAACAAGAGTGGCCTGACGACAAACGCGCACTGCCTGCGCTTCTTTCCTCTTGGAAGCGTTCTTGTTGGTGTCTTTCGATACTCGTATCCAGTGCGTACAAATGCAAGATCGAACTTGACATGGCGTTCAAGATTCTGCGACCAACGCACTCGAACCGTGCTCGCAACCATGTGCGCTCACCTTGTCCCGGTGTCGGCAGCCATAGAAGAGCAGGGCAGGCCCCAGCTTCTCCCCCTTTTGTATCCGCGCGTGCCGCTCTTGCAAGAAGCCTCGGAAGGGCGCCAGGCCAGTGCCAGGCCCCACCATGACGACCGGGGTGAGGGGGTCGCGCGGCAGCTTGAAGCTGGAGGAGCGCACGAAGATGGGAGCCCAGCTGGCGTGACCGGGCCCTGGCAGGACGGAGGACAGGGAGGGGATGGCGCGCTGCACCGCAAGGGAAGGCTATCAGAAGGGCTGACCCGGCAGCAGGTGTAGTGCGATATGCAGCCGAGTGAAACGCAGCCAAAAGTAAAGTGAAAGCCGAGCAAGAGGGGACAGAACGAGAAAACCTGGCAACGGCGATGATTATGAGAGCCCCATACGCACAGATTGTGGGGGAACACGGAAGAAGAAATGGCAAGATACATGTTGCTACTATGAAGGCTACAAAATCTTCTTCATTGAGACACGCCCTGTATGTGTCCTGACCCACAGCACAGTCTGGCTGCTTGTGCCAGTTCGATGTTTCAGTGATTGGTCAACGAATTAAACGACCCTCGAAGTTGGGGGGGCCACAGCAGGGGTCAGTGCTGTGGGTTGCGGGCCTCACCTTCATCCAGGAGGAAGCGACCCCGTGGTGGACACGACCTGTGGGGGTGGGCTCCTGCACGACTGCACACGTGACGTGGATGCGCGAGGGGTGCAGCGCGGGGGAGGACGAGATGGAGTAGTAGCGTGGCTGCAGGCGGGGGGCTACCGCCGCAAAGAAGACGCCCAGCGGGGGTCGCGCCGAGGGGAACGCAGCCAGGACCTCCAGCAGGCTGCGCTGTGCGGCCACCACCCACTCTGCATACTCGTCCTGCAAAACAGGGGGCGCATGCCTTGTTTAAACCCATGGCTCCTTGACTGGCTTTCAACAATGGAGTCTGTGACAAGGCCTTTGCTCAACGCAGTCCTCACTTGCTTAACCATGTTGACCCTTCTGACACCAGGTCAAAGACGCCACATCAAGACAGCGATTCTGTGCGATCTCTGCGCCAACTATGACACCGGCGCAATTCTAGCACACAATTGGTAAATGATGCAATATCGCATTTGATTGATTGATCAGTACCATCAACAGGCTCGCCCCGTACAGAATCCGCCTATGAAGCGGCTTGCCCCAGGCCCTGCTCTATATCCCCCCCCGACTAGCTGCTTGCCTCACCTTGCCCCGTGGGCCTGCCAGGTGGCGGAGCCGCTCCGCCTCCTGCGCGCTGGCGGCGTGCTCTGCCAGCGCCAGGAGCGCCGCCTTCTTGGGCGAGCTCAGGAGGTCCGTGTAGCGGGCCAGCGCCACGCGCACACTGATGGGGCACGGGAATGGTTCGGGCAAGCTGGCATGATGCCCCGCATCCGACTCCAGCGAGAACACGGTATCCAGCGCTACCCCCAGCAGCTGCGCCGCCTCACCCACCACTTCATCGCTGTTCTCGGCAAACACGCCCACGTGATCCCCCGCCTCGTAGGAAAGGGCCCGGCCTGGCACCTCAAATTCCAGGTGCACACACGAGCGATCCGAACCTGCAGCGTGCAGCTCACGCTGCAGGGCGACCACGCCTCGCACAGGCTTGTGGATGTCGTGGCCCGCCCCAGGAATAGCCGCCAGCTCTGGCTCGGCGGCGGGGGTTGCTTCGTCAGCGGAGTGTATCCGGACACGGTACTCAGGAATCCCAGCATTGTAAGGGACCGCACTGGTCGACAGATCTTGATCCGAGGAGGAGAGCAGCGGGTCAAGGGCTGGCCAGAGGCTCTCCTTCCTGCAGAATCAACTGATGGTCGTAAGGAAAGTTCAAATGTCAAATCTGTAAGCTTCAAACTGACCCTCTGAGGTCGTTGTCCACAGAATCCATAGTCCAGTCCACACAAGCAGAGCGGAGAAAGTTTTGATGTTTGTCAAGGACAACCCTGATCGTCTTTAAGCTTGTAAAGCAGCAAAAGCAGCAACTATGTCAATCACACCTCAAGAGTTGATCGGCGTCTAGGCCCTGTTTTTTACTCACCACGCCGCGAAGTCGTCCTCAATGCAGGCATCATCATCCCCAAAGCCTGTCCTGAGGATTCTGATGGCCCCCAGGCTGGCCATGACCTTATCCAACTGCTTGGCAACGCTGTTGAAGTTCTCATACTGCCGGTTGCCCAGCCCAAAGATGCCATACTGCACCTTGGCCAACAACTCCCTGCTTGCGTCCTCCTCTCCTTCACTGAGCTCTGCAATCCACTTCATGAAACGGGCTGCGTTATCAGTGGGCTCCCCGTCCCCATATGTAGCTGTGAAGAAGAGTGCGTGCGCTTCTCGCGGCAGCTTGTCTGCATACTCGTCATCATCCGCCGCGTACTCATCCAGATCTATCACATCCACAGCCACGGCATCCCCATACCGCGCCCGCGCCTCCTCAGCCACTGCCTTGGCAAAGCCTTCAGCGGTGCCCGTCTGCGTCCCAAAGAAGACCGCCAGCCGCTTGCGGTGGTCCTCTTCCTCCGGCTGCGCCGCTGCAATCCGCTCAACTTTGACCACCTTGGGCACTGCTTGGCCCGCTGGCTTGCGCCGCAGCCACAGCAGCGTCACTGACACCACAATCAGCAGCAGCGAGCCCAGGCCCAGCGCGGGCAGAGATCCAGAGGCAGGCGCAGCGGAGGCTGCACTGGCATCGACCCCCATGACTGCCGGCCTTGTGCTGCCCCTCCGAAGCCCGTCACTACACGTTCTGATGCCAGTTATGGGAGTGATGCTCACCTAAGGGTAGAGTCATTTTGTAAGTGGTACCCCCCCATAATTCTATGGGGGTGGAGGGCCCTGGACCGAGATGCAGAACCAGGGTCGGAGGGGGGGGGGGGCCAGCACAGTTTTTGAGAGTGAGGGTCCCTGGGGGGTACCACCTAGGACCCCAAGAGGCCAGGACTTCAGTCTCTAAAGTTCCCATTTAGCCCCTTATAAACAGACTTTGTTCACATATCTTGATCATATTCGTACGAAGTCTGTCCCAAAATGGGCCGAATATGCTGAAAAGCGACTCTGCGAGGCTCTACAGCGTGCACGAACTTAGCGAAATATGCGGCTTTTTCAAAAAAATCCCTACGAAAGCCCTTGCAAAAACCTGCGTCCACTTTTGGCCGGACGACCCGCTTATGCCGCCGGGTGGAAGGGGGGGGGGGGCTTGGGACCCCTCGGCGAAGCCGAGGCCCCCCTGGGCCTTAAGAAAGCACCCCCTTGAAAAATGGTCGATAGAATTATGGGGGGGTACCAGTTACAAAATGACGGTACCCTAATACGTTAGGTCACCTCCTTCCTCAGGTCACCATGATGCATTGACGGTCGAAGAGTTCTGTTTCTGAACACGTCTGCTGCACTTATAAGTCATACGTGACATTGTAGTAATAGGCTATCAAAGTTGACCAAGGAAGTTGTTAGCGCTAAACTAGGCGTGCCGGGGGCTCTTGGGCCCCCGGATGCTTTGTAGTGCAGTAGTGTCAACCGAGGCAATTCCCGCATCTAGGTACCCACACTTCCAATCGGTCACCGACTGTCGAACCGGGTGCAAACGACCTCAACGTGCACGGCGGCGCCACTGCACGCTCAACTTGACTGCTTGACACCAGTTGTAATATCGGTGCGAGCTCGGCGAACAGGCCTCCAGGCGTGCGTTTCTGCACCGAACGCGTTGCTCATACGGTAGTCTCACTTTCAATACAGCTTCTCCCGATCAACCGGCCAGTTATAGTATTCAAGACTAACTTAGTCAGTCTGTTGTCGAGTGAAATTAGTCTAAAATAGATGACACTAAAACTGGCCGGTTGATCGGGAGAAGCTGTAAAACGCTGCTGTGCTGGGATATTGACACAAAAACAATAAAATTGGTGCGACCACTCACAGTGCTGCCTGCGAATCACTACCGAAAACCCGGAGGAAGTGCCAACCAATTCAGACTGCAGCTCGGCGCGGAGCCTTGACACCATATCATAGTCTGCCTCGGTCCTTGTCATTAACACCAACCCAGCTGCAATGTACATGTGGAGTCTGAAACCTCGGTGACGGCGTTAAGCTTACGTCACTCGACCAATCAGATCGCCGGGATGGGTCCTGAAGACTCTGTAAGAGCCCCCTAACCAATTAGGAGGCGTGGAGCGGTACGGGTACCGGGAGGGGCCCAGGGCTTGGACAGGTTAATGTTCAACCCAAAACATGAGTACCCGAACCCGTCCGATTGGATTCTTCAAAACCCCAACATTTCGGTATCTGTTTACGAGAAAACCAACCCGGCAGACCCGGGTCCTTCCTCCGATCCCTATTAAGATCCTCGCTCTACTTTTACAATTAGGCAAGAGCAGAAGTCAAACCCGGGTTCGGAGTCATGGGGGACCATCCACGATTCCGGCCAGAGTTCGAACTCCACCATGATGGCCCCTGGGACCAAAAGTTCTGCCAGACTCGAGCGCTTGCCAGCGTCCCTGCATGAACGAATGCAGTCTGACTCTCAGCTGTTTTCTCCGGAAAACCCCTGATTGATTCGTGCGGCTCTTTTCAACAGAGGCAGTTGGCGCACTTTCTGCTTGTGTTCCTTGGCTGCACCGCAGCGGGAGAATTTCTCCTTGAAGGGTGGTGGGAACGCCAATTGTCCAATTTCCGGCTGTGAAAGTCTTTCTAGAACAACGATGGCAGCAGAGGAGGGGACAGATATGGAGGCTATCCTTGATTTGACGGGAAGCCAGCTGCGCAGCTGGGAGGACATTCTGTTGACGCCCCACCTCACGGTGAGGCAACCACCAGGGAATGTAAAAAGTCCTCTAAGATCACGTGGTGGTCCTGGTGGTATGCGTGTTTGCAACAATTGTGGAGCAATGCTGAGGTGTGCGAGAGGTTGCCCTCATGGATTGATCAAGGGTTGCCTTTGCTTTTGCCGTTGGGTAAATTGGCAGGACCCTTGCCTTCGTACATTGCCTTCGACCATGTGCACCACTCAGTGCGGCCATGTCCTGCGGTTCACTGGGGCTGTTCTGATTGTCCACGCAGGAGTTGGACCTAACCACCAACCGGCTTACAACCATCGACCCTGCAATTGGCACATTGACCAGTAAGCCCACCATATGCTGCGCCCATCACTGCTTCTATGTCTCTGCATGCATGCCCGTGCGCTTGCTGCCTTGCCCATGTCTGGATGTGTCTGCGGCTCTAACTTCGTTGTGTGTATGGTTGCAGGCCTTCGCAAGCTGTCTCTGCGCCAGAACCTGCTGACCACAGAAGCGGTGGCGCCCTTGGGCCAGTACACCGCACTGCACAACTTGACCGAGCTGGTCCTCCATGACAACAAGATCACACAGGTGGACACCTGGCCATTTGCACACCTGGGCATTTGCACACCTGGCCAGGCAGTGTCCAAGGGGCACCTCCAATTGTTGCTCGAGACCTGATGAAGACACTACTAACAATCCTCCTTGTCTGCTATCTTGTATCCAGCTTTTACATTTCATTGGGAATAAGGTGGTCTTAGCTACTTCTGACAGTGCCTTCCTCATGCCGCAGTTGCCCGACTTGCGCCACTTTACGGCGCTAACCAGCCTGGATGTCTCTTTCAATGAGGTGACTTCTTACGATAACAATCGCCCCCTACTTCAATGTTGTACCAGACCACTCCTTCCGCTCGTTGATATCAGGCCTTGTTCGCACTGCAGTCTCTATGTTCACCCCAACAGCATTGAAATGTTGCCGCATCTTTTCTGGTGCTTCTCTCACCTTGGCTGATTGCTCAATGTGTGCTTGCAGTTGAGTGAGCTTGCTGGAGTTGAGCATCTGCCCTCATCGTTGAAACAGCTCTACTTTGCCAAAAACGAGGTGAGCCGGACTGTGGTTTCTGCAAAAGTTTCGACTCAAAAGTTTTGATTCACCACAATTGGACGACAATTATAGAAACAGGAAATTTGAGCCCTTCTGATGCTGTTGCCAGACATGGAGTAGTGCCCTCGTTTCTTCTTCCCACCCTCTCAATCACGTGTTCCCACCCTCTCTGCTTTGTGACGCGCAACATGGCAGGAATGACTTGACACGAGGTTGTATATCCATTTGCCAGATCGGTACCCTCCCCTCGCTTTCACACCTCTCCCACCTCGAGATCCTGGAGCTGGGGTCCAACAAGATCAAGGTCAGCCCCACGGCCCTATCCCCCCTTGCTTTTGCATCTAGTCACAGCAGTTCTCAAGTGAGACCCGTGTGCTTTGAGATAGATTCTGGACACAGGCACTGGGCGTCTGGGAGGCGAGAGCGCTTAGGCTGTGGCTAGTGGTACAGGTGATGAGCGGGCTGGGCGGTTTGCCGGCGCTCCGAGAGCTGTGGTTGGGGCGCAACAAGATCCGCGAGATCGACCTGGGCGGCCTGACAGGCCTGGTGCGACTCAGCCTGCAGAGCAACCGCCTCACCCACATTGCGGGTTTGGAGGTGAGGGCAACTCAACGCAAAATTTCCCCAGCATGAGTGGTCGTAAATGTTTTTGGTAAGGAGGAGTCGGTACTCATGTCGATGTCAATTGAGTCTGGCCTGCCTGCTTCAACACTTTGTTGAAGCTCTCTATCACAGACGTGATTCTGGAGGTGAAGCCCAAAGAGATGTTCCCAATCATGCGTCTAAATCGGGAGAGAGGCAGCGCAGAGTGCCGAGAAGCACGGAGAAACAGTTGCAGAGCTTACTTCAACATGAAAAGTTGCGTCCGTGATCACAAACAGTCCCTTATACCCAACCGAAAACTTAGGCTTGTTATTTTACTGCGAGCCATTGCCATCTATGTATGTAGTGTGGCTGTCTCAAGAGCGAGAGCAGATAGGAACGCGAATCCTGCTCATTGTCCATCGAACGAGTTCTGCTGGCTGTGCAGCCTACTAGTAGAAATTCTGGACCCCTGAAAGCACAACCGACTTGCATTTAGATTCTTGTCAGTACTTTGGTGATATAATTGACGACCCGATGTTCGTCTTGGAGACCACTAGCTTCCTTGGTACGAACACAATACAACAGTCCGTGCTTAATCACGGCCGATAGAAGTCAGATCGAACTTGCTTACTCCCATCCCCCGTTGAGAAAGGGTGAGGCTATCCAGCCTGCGTGATCCCCGATCTCGTGCAGGGCTGCGCAGGCCTGGAGGAACTGTACCTCTCCCACAACGGCATCAACACTCTCGAGGTCAGCTTCCCTTGTCCCCGTCAACTCCTTCCCTCCATCTATGACCGAAAGCTGCATGCTCGTCATCGTGCCAGCTTCGGTTGGTGCCTGCGCCTCGCCCCCTTGCGTAAGACACCTTACTGTGCCATGCCATTTACCCTGCAATTTAGCAGTGCTCAGTCGACATGCGGTGTGCGTGCAGGGTCTGGACGGGCTGGCCCGCCTGCGGATCCTTGACGTGAGCGCCAACAGGGTGGACCGAGTGCAGGGACTCGAACATCTCACCAGGTACGCCCCGGGCCTTTGTTTGCAGCTGGCGGTGCAGCTTTGTGTGGCGAAGATGCTGCCATGCGCAGTGGTCGTCATGGATCACAAGCTTAAGGGACTTTGCACGAGAGACGTTTTTGACAACGCCTTCGAATCGAAGCGGGTGCGACCACTTTAGTGAAACCTCGTAAGATTGTGCAGGGTCAATGTCCGTTTGATCCCGAACCCGAACTAATTGTTCATGCCTGTTGCGATGCCTGTTGCGATTCTTCAGACAGACTGAAAGTCACCCCGCTTCGCTGGCGGGTCAGTATGAAAGAGATTGCGCAGTGTCAATCCGACTGCAAAACTGGCCATCTCAACCGTTAGTCTCGGTTCAGTCAGTCCTTCGGGCGTTTTTGCCACACACTTCGCAGCATCTTGCTGAGAAAGATTATGTTCGTTTTGTCGTTTTACTTGGTTCTGAAGCCCTGAAGAACCGAGAACGTACCCAAACAAAAATCGACACAAGATCTGTACTGCAACCTCCAGGTTGGAGGACCTGTGGCTGAACGACAACCAGATCCCAAGCCTAGCCGGCCTGGGCGTAGCGCTCGTCGGGTGCACCGGCACGCTGACCACGCTCTACCTCGAGAACAACCCAGCGGTGAGCACGCAGACGGATTGAAGAGCCACTTCTGCCATGCATCTTGTCGGCATTCCCCCTCTTGCATCACACGCTCTTTTACGAACGACCATTAGGTCGACTTTGCGCCTTCCAAACGCGTGTGCCGCCTGGTAGTCCGGCCTGCTCGTTTGGAGCGGCCGCCGAGCTTGGTCGCCCTCGACCCAAAAGGGCGTTGAGAAAGGCTGCTAAGAGTTACCCTTTTCTTGTCATGGCACTGGTAAGGACCACGATTATGCCGGCGAAATCTTTGTCAAGACGTTGATGACAACGTTGAGAAGCTTTGCAGATGCTTTTGTGTGTGCTGACGTAGCAGTATCTGGTGCAGGCGAAGGACCCGCAGTACGTACTGAAGCTGCGGGAGCAGCTGCCCAACCTGCGTCAGCTGGATGCAATCATGCTGTAACTGGAACCCGGGGGAGGAGGTGGTCCACATGGCAGCGGCTGTGGACTCAGCCACCACTGATTTACGGCGCTCTCGATGCACGCGTGCTTGCTATGGGCTAGAGATCCTTAATCTTGTCAAACCGTTGAAGATTCGAGCTGCTAATTCGATATCGGCGCATGCCAATGATTGAGCATTTGATCCGATGTCCTCGCAGATTCGGCTTTTGATCTGCCTGCGTCGTAGTCATTTGCGAATTCGCCCAGGACAGGCTTCTACTCAAAATCGTCAATGAGTAGCGAATTGCTTCTCTGTATCCTCTGATACGCTCCGAAGCAGCAGCCTGGCAGACACGCACTCGATTGCCAGGAGGTACATTGAACTGGGATCAAGCTCGCACTATTTGACCGCAGAAGATGCAGTTATAGGCACGATTTAGATCACGATGAACGTTGTGGAGGTACTAGTCGAATCATGGACCTTGAATTAAGTAAAGAGGCAACCCCAGCCTTCATGCGGTACGTCACTGGCTGCAAGCTTGACCATATGTCGCGCAGAAGTTGACCGAAGTCCCTATTTGAAATTTCAGAGCGGTTTAACTAGGCCGACTGTTAGACATATGCGTGATGCGTGATTATCTCCAAAGCCCGGAGTGGAGCCTCCAACGGGGCTGCTCACAAGCCCAAAGATGCAGCAGGTGTGTCAAGTGGATACAGTACGATCAATTTGACTGCGCGGCTTTCAATTTTGATGCACATGTAGGGTCCGCGACCAGCCATACTGCCTGGCAACTTGCAAACCTATCCAAGCGTTACGCAAGCTTTTATGGTCTTAACTGCTTAGAAAGAGTCACGTGCATAAGCTGACCTCTTTCAAAAAAGGGCCGATCCCTGCCTCTCGACTAGCTCTAGTTGGCCCGCCAATGATTTGTGTCCCCGATCGCAATCACGTTCATGGACAGCCGGTGAGTCTGTCAAGGGCGGAGAACGTCAAGACCCCTTGATCACACTACGCGCGCTACGTGACATGTACCAACGTCAACCGGATTTCCCACGAAAGATTGACATGGTGGCCTACTATACACTTACTGTAGATCGTAAGAATGGAAAGCTCCGGTCCCATTCAAAAAAGTTGGACACTCAGCCTGCGAACACTAGGTTTACCCACTTATCAGCTGTACCGCAATGATTTCAAAGATGATGTACTCCGAATTAAGATAACGAGGATATGAAAATCGAGACCGCTGCATCCATGTCAATGAAGAGCAGGACGATGGGATTCAAGAACAAGGACGCCGCGCATTCGCAGAAGCTAGACTGAAATCATGGGTAGCCGTCTGTGCAACGGCAAGGGCTTCCCTCTTCCCTTCGTTATGATTTGGTGCAACCAACGATTGTCGTTTCTGAAGCGGCTCTACCATTTCGAGCGGTGTCGATGTGGTTTGTCATCAGGCCCAGCAGGCGGCCTAGCTGGCCCAGGATAAGGCCTGACCGTATAAAGTGCGCTCACAAAGTACACTTGACATTAGAGATAAGACAGCCGACCGAGCCAACACGAACTAGCGATGTCGCAGACTGCAACATGCGCGAACTTCGACACTAGGAGAAGCACCATGCAGGCAAGATGTTTGCTTTGTAAGGTGTTGACCGCGCCACAAGTACTAGTCGACAAGGAGTCTCGCGCCGCATGGGACCGGCTTACCGTACGTCGTATCGTCGAGGGCTGCCAATTGCGAGCACCTCGAGCAGGTCGAATGGCGGGCCCGCGCCGCGACGACGTACAGCGCGGGAGATACCAATCACTACAGTTTGCCTCTTGCCAATATAGGGAATCGCTCCAAGCGATGCTGCATGAATCGAGGGTTTCCGCCGCGCAACCACCCTTGTGGATTGGAATGGAGGACTCCAGCTGCAAACACTAGCAGGAATCTCTGAGCAGCTCACGGTGATTTGTTGTTCTCCTAAAACTTTGAACGGCTTCAGCGCATGCAGGTCTAGCTACATCTGAAAGCATATCGTATTCTTTTCAAGAGCACCAGAAGGCGCAACATGGCGACAGAGGAAGATTCGACAGAGGAGATCGTTGAAAGGTGCGCTCGTCTCCTGTTGTCTGACAGCTCTAAGGCGCTGATCGGCACCACAAACTTCTTTGAGAAGCTGTCCAATAATCGCAACCCGCGGAGTCCCTCGTCGGAAAACAGACTCTCCTGTCTGCTTCAGGAGCTCCTGGCGTTCAAGCGGGGCGCGGTTGTCGACCACCTTCTGCAACAGATTGAATTATCATCTCCAGATTTGGATGGCAGTAAAGACGTTGGACTTAGAAGGTTATACTTGTGCAAGATGATCGTGGCTCTCAGCGAGAATGAGGCCGTTGCAAAGTACTGCGTGAAAGAGAAGCAGAAAGCTCGCAATATTGCTAGGGCGCTTCTGGACGCTCAAGCTCATCTCTTGCAAGTGATTCCGGGTCAACTGCGGGGAAAAGGTTGCCCACTCGATCAATCGCTGGGAGTCAATGAACAAGGCGGAGAAAAGTACGTGTACCTGAACCTAGCAGTGGAGAACATCAAGGGTTTTGCGAACTTCTGCTATGCTTCGAAGACCTTCCGCCTGGCACTGCAAGCATCCGATGACTTCTTCCCTGGTCTCGAAAGGCTCCTTGCTCGCAGTACAACAAAGCACGCGAGCGCGCAGCTTCTGGAAAAGACGGTGAAGAGCTTTCTGAGTCTGATGCAGGCCGTTTGCCGCTTTGAAGATAGCCAGGACTGGGCTGTCGACAAAAGGATAATCAGAATCCACGCAGAGCTCAATAGACTTCTGATGATGGACGGGGTGACTGAAAGTTTTGTCGGGGACTTCCAAACAGTCGCGGAAGTCGTGGGCGGGTTGCAGTGTCCAACCAGCAGGGATATGCGCAAACGTCTTGCTGCATCTGGCGATGAGCTTCGGCAGTTCGACAGGCGGATAAGAGATACAAGGGATCCGCGAAGCGCAAAGAAGCTGCGCGAGCAGTGGCTGGAGACGGCCAAAGCAGACGTGCTGCCAGCCATGACGCCGCTGCTGGGAGCGAGCCTGGGGAGAATGCCCGGCTTACCGCCAGGTCTGGTCCAAGATGCTGTCGAAGAGGCAGCGAAAGCCCTCAGATGCAAAAAGGGCGGCTCCGGGTCCGCGCCAATTGTGTGCTCCTGGGAGCGGTGCAACATTGGCTCGGTCGTCCAGGCAGGCAGGCCGTTCAGCAAGTGCGCCAACTGCTCGCTCGCTTTCTACTGCAGGTGAGACAAACGACCGGACTCGGTTGCTTCTAAACCCAGACCACCCCCATGATAAGTGCCCGTTGCGCGTTTCCACACCTTTTGATGTCAGAAAGTACGAATCTTTTTCCTGCAAAGTCGTTGTAGCCTCTTCCTTTCTGTTCCATCTTTCCTTCGGCCCTGCATCTCAAACTCCCACGACTATTGTGTTTGCTTGTTTGTTTCTCAACCTTAGGTTGCTCTTCCAAATGCACCGCCGACGTACGCTCGCTTGACTGTCAGAAGAGATCTATTCATCATACCTCATTATCTGATGCCTTTTCTTGCATTCCTTACCGAATCGTTTCCAGATTAACTGAATCTGCCCACTCCCGAAATGGTGCATTCGGTGGTCGAAATGCAGATTCTTCGTAGTTCGTGCCACTTGCGGCTTCAGCTAACGTGGGCCCTCCGTTTTGAGAGGCTTCTAGAATTGAATTCGTTGTTGTAATTTTCCAGCAAGGAGCACCAAAAGCTCCACTGGGGGATCCACAAGAAGCAGTGCAGGGCCCAAACGTCCGATTGAATGACGCTCACAAAGATTCTCCCGGTGAGGTCCGTCCACCAACTATAGTTCTAGCCATGGGATGATGTGTGACGTCCTTGTTTTGTAAATCCTTACCATTCGAGTTTGCCACCTTTAATGATCTCGGACGCCAGCGGGAAAAGCGATGGATACAACGAATCAAATTTTAGTCGTAGCTGAGTTGTCAACGCAGCAAAAAACATTTTCTAGCATGTTGAGAAGCTTCGTTAGGCTGTTCCGATTTATCGTCGGGCGGATTCGACTGAGGTCATGTGTGACAGAAACCGTTCCAGTCGCCCCACCAAATGGATGCTGAAATGACTGGAGGGGAAGGCATGGAACCTTTCTTTGTCCAATGTTTGATGTTGTGCCTGTTGAAGTCGTAGTGCCAGCGTGGATTAGATCAAGCGGAGATGATTAGCATCCATCTGGACGGTATCCACTTGCTTTCAGCACTCGAAGTTGACAAGTGAAAGCTGCATCTCTTGACATTGACTGATTGAAAGCTGCATCTATTGACCCTTGATCAAGACAAAATTCTCAAGGTTGAGGTTTCCATATGACCCAAGCTGGTGACCTCATGCTCGCGATGTGAATTGCTGCAGGCACGCGCGGGTAGCGGGCAGTATATCTCTTGCCGTTTTCAGGAAGTCGTGATGGAGGCGATTGCTTTAGATGAAGCGCCTTTAAACTGGCAAATCCACAAGGGGCGCGAAAGCGAATAGAAATGCTTGTAAGAATCCAAATGACTCCCGCACTAGGCAGACGACGTTACAGAACTCAATCTACCTGAAATCTCTTCTCCGGCTGACACATTCAATCAATGTCAACCGGATCTTGCCGCTCGCATGGTCCGCTTTTAATCTTCGTCTTATTCCTAATATAGTGATGAGAATCTACAAGACGAGCACTACAACGGACAGTCGTATGCAGCATTCATTCATATGATCAGGTGTTTCTTGGAAAGAGAATACGTTTAAACATGGTAAACACGCTATCAGCTCGTACTGAGCGGCCTCTGGTAGCATAGCTGCTTTCTTTCAATTGTTTTTGAAGGCATTCCATGCGGAGAGCCTTTAAGCAGCCCTCAAAAAAAACAGCTGCCCATGGCTGCTCTGTAGCACAGATGGACTAGGGCTGGCCACCTGCTCTACAAAATGTCTCGAGCATTGAATGAATGCATCTTCCAGCTGTGCATGGGTGCTCGTGCAGGCAGTCAAAGGTTTTGGGAGCTCTTGGAATCATTCCGGCACGCGCACGCTGGTATGATCGCACAGAGTCAATGATACCAAGGATAGGGTTCCGACGTACCATATCTCTGTACTTGCGCTTGATAAATTCAGTACGCTGGAGTTGGTGTTGTATGCATCACATGGCTTTCATGCGGCATGCGCGGCCGCCGCGCTCAAGTGTGACAAGTGCGCTCATGCATGTGACTTGGCCTATGTAATCGAGTTAGAGGCCTTGCTCCACGGAGAAACATCTGGAAGCAGATAAGCGGTCAGCAAACGGCACTACTTCGAATGAAGTCCAGGGACCCGTGCCGATCAAAGTCGGTTGTCGACTTGATCAAGAGTCAGTTACGTTGTGGCCTCTCTTTTCTGCTTAGATCATGGAAGTAGGTAAAGGAGCTAGGACATTGCAGGGAGAAACATGAAAGGCTTGACAAACCGCAGAAACGTTGAGCCCATCGCCATGCGCTACTCAGTATGCATTTGTTTTCGACGATCACAGAACCGTATGAAATCGGATGAAGGCATATTACAAGCTTGCCGAGTTCACTCCTAAGCTGCGAGTTCACACCTTTCAACGAGCTCGCGCTAGCTTGTACGTTAGATCCACCTCATCCCGCCACCTTTCTCATGCTAGTTTTGTTAGAGTCAAATGCACGTATTTGCGTAGCACTGTGCGAATGGAAAAAATGATGCACCGTGAGAGACATGCGTCACGCAGGTAACTACAGAGAGACCGGAACAATACGAGGTTTCGTGAGCTTAGATGGTTTGCAGTACTGAAGGCTGAATCATGCATATATCCAACGAATTTGGCACATGCTCTTGTAAGTCTGACTCGATCGTCACTGTTTCCATTTGCAATTGTACCTGATACTCAATAATGCATTTATTATGTCCTCATTTACTGTTGGACAGCGCAGTCAAAAGAATCTCCAAACGATTTGAATAAACTGCCGTCTGGTTTATTTGAATCAAGGTCCTACTCGATCTATCGCTTTTCAATTTTCTACCACTTATCCGCAGCTGCCACTCCTGTAACTCAGATTGACTCAATAAATCTTCAAAATTGGATCCAGCTTCAAGGTCGGATCTGCAGCAGTCAGCTTTGCCCTCTTGTCCTGGACCCCCGAGCTGCAGGTGCTGCGCGGCCTGACAGCAAGGCCTGCTCCAGTCTGCCCTCTCAGAGCACTTGATGAGCTTTGCCGAAATACCGGTTGATGAAGGGAGACTGCAACCGAGGACGATAAGAGAGCTTCTGACGATCGAAAGAGGGCACAACTTCCAATCAATCAAGCATCTGCTGAGTCGTGCAAGTAGCCGGATGCCCAACTTCTCTGAAGACCAAACTACGGTGATCATTTCAGAAGGGCTTTTGCCTCATTCATAACTGCGGCTTCTCATTGACGCGATCGACACCAAGACCACGATGTCTTGCAACTCCAACATACAATTCAATTTTCAAGTCGAGACTCTTTTTCGAGGTGTTCGAGCACCTCATCTTGTCCTCACTGCCGCAATCGATGGCGCCCAAGCACTTAGCAACGAGGGCAAGCACCAAAAACGTAGCATAACTCTCTCCCTGAAATCCGAACGGGCTGCTAATGGAAGCTACTGCAATCAGATCGGCAAACCGGACTTTGTCGAGAATGTAGAAACTCAGACGGACGATCGGCAAACCCAGTTCTCGAACTGCACTTCAGACCCATCCCTCGGAATGAAGTATCTCGCCTGGTGGGACAGTTTCCTTTGAACCCCTTGAGGGGTTGCCCTGCCAGCCGCCTTCCAGAACGAGCAGTGCCCCATTTGCGGCATATGCCCCGCCGGTGGCTCACCTTGTATTGTTCAATGTCGGGCGTGTCGTCGGAGGGCGTGGGGTAGAACTTGAAGAACCGCATGTTCTCCATGGCCGCCCGCGTCTCCGCCGGCATCTCCGCAATCACGCGCTGCCGCTCCGCCTTGGCCTGCACAACGCGCCCGTTAATATATCCGATCAGTGGCAGTGCCGCAAGCAGACGAACGGATTGGCAGTGAAGTGTTCGTTTATTACGAGAACGTAAGCAGCGCTGCGCAAAGTGGCCTGCTGACGCATTTCAAAAGGCACGCCATGTGCTACTTCATGTGTGTCACCGGGGACCTTGGGCACGGAGGCTTAGGGGAAACGGGTAATCTCACCTCCCGGACTTTCCGCTTGGCCTCGTTCACCTCCCCCACGAGATACGTCTGCAAACGATTGCTCGATGAGTGTGAGATACAGGCCGTTTGAGGGTGGAAGACTTTAATTGCAACGATGTCAGGCGTCGATGAATGGAGCCAGTGCAAATAAGGGACAGACGAGGAAACGCGTTTGGCAGTGTACGCAACAGTCCAAGCATGCAGTGACCGGTTGGTGCCGGGAGGGGGCAAGTGACGCACCCGGAACCCCTGACGCTCGTCCTTGGGCAGAGCCTCCTCTTTGATAAGGTCGTCCACGAACTCCTGCAGGAGTCAGGCAACACTCATAGGGTTGTTACACTTGACATTCTGCGCTCGAAAAGCAGCGCGAGACCCATCAGCCGGACTTCCGGCTGACCTCAGGCTGTAACGAATCTCGTTCGGACTGCACGGAACCTGATGCTCCTCGACTCGGGTACTTTGCAACCGGACCCGACTTTTGCGTGAGACCCTGATCGATATCGGCACTTTCGGCAGCCGCTGAATTTGAGTAACCAATAGCGCATTTGCCCGAGCCTGATCTCGGGCTCGGGTTGTCTCGGTTGACCCGTTCACGCTCAAGTGTAACAACACTGATCAGCGCAACCTCAGGGGCAAATCCAAATAGAACTTCGAGTATGCTAAGACACCTGCAGAAGCGCTAGAAACGCGAGCACGGCAACCTTCAACGACAAAAACCCAGTGCAGCAGGAACGGGGTTGCAGGGTGTTCGGCATAGAGCGTTACGTTGGCGTTACTCACATCGGCCTCGTCCATTGTCCAGTCGAATTCGCACACCACCTGCAAATCATAATCAGACCGCATTAGGTCACCACAGAACATCGGACCAATATGAGGATGCATGAACGAAGGTTGCCACAGTGCGCACACCTTTTGATTGTGTACGAAGCTAGGCAGGCTACTCACAGGTGGTGTGGTCTTCTCGTCGCCGTACGTGTACATGAGGTTGACCGTGGTGTCGTCCTCAGTCGCCTCTTCCTTCCAGGGCATCGAGATGTCTGGAGAACAAGGGGAGGACGGTCTAAAACACCATCTCTCCGAATCAAGGAAGGAGTTACAGAAATGATGTTCACCCTCGTTTCTATGTTGACCAGTAATTAATCGAAGCCGAAAAGCGCTGCACGCTCCAGGATTCAATCTGTTCTGATCACAGGAAAGAAGGAGCTGCCTTGAATCAGAAAGAAGAATACTGGAAGAGAGAGAGTGAAACGGAGATTTTGACCAGCGACATACGGTCTTCAGCTTGAGGAGAAATGCGCCGATCAAGAGAGTCGGTGCAGACCCCAAGATGGGGGGATGGATCTGGAACGAGGAGAGAACTTACACGGGAGGCAGTACTCGTACTTTTTAATGCGCTCCGTCTTAAGCTGCTTCAGTGCCGCCCTGCAAAGGGGGGCCAGCAGGTTGTGAGACAAAAATGCGACAGCGCTGCTACATCCTAGGAGGTGGCACTAGGCATCAACAACGATACCATGTGAGAAGCAGATACAACCAGGACGGGCCAACTTGTTTGCCGACTTTCGTGAGCGGGCGTCCATCACAGGCGTAGTGAACCTCACCTCCTTTGGACACACTTGAGCACATAGACTTGAGAGTGCAGCCGCTCCAGAGTACGGTACCTGCAGCAAGAGAATGACAAGCAGGTCGCAAACTCGTCCTGAAGATAGACCCGGGGGCAGGCTCCAGTCACCAGCATGCAGAAGTAGGCATCTTAGGACTTGCTTACGACAGGGGCGAAAAGTGAGCACAATCTCAGCGGCCTCTCCAGAAAGAAACGTTGTTGTCAGTGCATCAGGAGCAGTGAAAGCAAAGACAAGCATACAAGGCCAGAGGGCTGGAGATGACTAGTCTCTTACTCGTCTTCGTCGGGGATAAAGGGCACCCAGTCCATCTTCATCTCCTGCAGCGCACAAAGGACAGGCTGAGCCGGCCAGTGCCAGACACAACAAGAACGTCGCCTACAGCATTTATCATTACAAGCGTCCACAAGAGGTGGATCCCTTCGATTGTGATGCAGGGCCAATGAAAGGATCCTTGGGGGCTCAAAAAGGGCAGGCGCGCACCTTAAGGTTCACAATGTTCTCCTGCTCCATCTGGACCGATTTAATGCCCAATTTGGTGGTGGGGGGGAATGGCGCCGTCACCTGCACAGCAAACAGTGGTCTTCATGTTCGCCACTAACCTCACTCACTTTCACCGTGGTTAAGAAAGAACAAGCACGCCTCACAACTTGGGCAATACGACTACCCAAAGCCAGCGGACCATCAAATGCAAATGGCCCTCAGATTCAACAGTGCCAGAGGTGGTACATGTCCCAGACAGTCGCGCTGACTCCCGGGGATCAATCACAAATTTCTGGTCACTGCCGCTTCGATGCTGAGGTGCCTCACCGCGACCACCGCCGGAATCTGCACGACGCGGTGCATCCCCTTCCACTCCACGAGCTGCGGCTCCGTTGCTCCAAACACCCACACCTTCTGCCCATGCAGGACGCCACCTTCCTCAAATGCTGCCTCAAGGGTGTCGAATTGCCAGTCCAGTGCAAACACGCCGTCATACTGATCCCACTCCGTGCCCACCATGTACGCCTCACGCGCCAGGCGCTCCATCGCGCACCCTCGGCGGCGTGTGTCTTCTTAAAAACAACTTATTTCAAATTTGCACCATCCCTAGAACAATTTTTGTTCGAGAAAGGCGTGAGATAATTGTCTGCCCTCTCAAGCCAAGATTGACAATGAAGTGTCCAGCTCCTTCTTGCAAACTGCAGCAGGCTCCTGCAGGTTTCGGTTTGTGCATGGGTGGTGAGTGACGAGAGGCACACCGAATCGAATCGGTGGCGGTTGCCATATTGCGGGCCGGACGTTAGCGGGCCCAGTGAATGCTCCATACGGTTTGTGACCGGTAACAATCTACCGGGGCAGGTGGAAGCAGACGTACTCATCTGAGCACAAACAGAAAGTACCGTGCTGGCAAAGTCCATTTGCCCGGCTACTCTAATATTAAGGCGTGGCGCCGTTGGTTTATGTTAACCGGATGGCTACCAACTTACGGTGCGATTTTTTGAGGTTTTCAGCTTGGAAATATATGAAGCTGAGACTCAGAGAGCCTGAGACCAGAAAAGATCCAGAAGAGGACGAGTCAGAGGAGGCAGGAAGATTGCTTGGTCACAGCACGTCTGGCTCGTTGTGTGTAGCACTCGCCAATGTTTCAGGACGTGAGGCTCTCCTGATTCATCAGATGACGGGGCGCCTGCTATTCTATCCCCAGCCCGTTGTCTCATAAGCGGATTGTTGAGTCTGCTCGTCGATTCGAGATCTGCGATACAGGCGCATGTTTTAAAGAGTGGTCGTCAAGAGAAGTCCACCATGATGACTGTAGCGCTGGTGGAGTTGTCCAGCGCCAGTCTGTTTGGCGCTGCCCATCATGTGGACCTCCGAGCTAGCAGTCAGGACTATACCACACCGTCAGGGCGTCCAGCTCTCCCTTACCTTGCCCCAAAATCCTCTCTCCTTACAGCCTCATCTTTTCAATCTGGCAGAAGATTACCCCCAGCGCAAAGTTTGAGACCAGTACATTTCTCAAGAAAGCGACGGCGATGGCAAGCTCCACGGAATGAACTGCTAGCAGAACGACCACTGAGTCAGAGCACAAAGAGTGCTGGCGGCTTAGCGGTGGCAGAGGCGCACCCCGTCGACTCCGCAAAGCAGTTGCTGACGGTTGTCATGAAGTTTGGGGGCTCATCAGTAGCAACGGCGGAGAGGATGAGGGAGGTGGCGAAGCTAGTCCTCTCGTTTCCTCAGGAGAACCCGATCATCGTGATGTCAGCCATGGGCAAAACAACGAACCTGCTTCTGGCGGTGAGTTCAAGTGTATAGACTTGGTTGCTGTGCACTGCAGGCCTCAAATTTGCCTCATTGTTAACGGTCTGGTAAACAACTTTCTAGGTCGATTGGATGATGGCGTTTCTGGCTCCCACTCTCTCACACGCTGGCGCTATCAATAAGGGAACTGTTTGAGGAGCACGTTCGATGGTCACAACGAAGGTGGTGGTTGCATCTCGAGGCGCAGATCTTCTGGCAAAAGATCGTTGGTAGGCTGAAGACAATTATGATCTGAAGCGGTGAGTCATTGGTGCAGGGTGGGGAGACTGCAACAACCTGCGGGGTTAAGAGAGCTCCCGAGATTGAAGAACTTCGGCGAATAGCGGACCTGCACAACAGGTCTGAACATCAACTGAAGGCCTTTCCTCAATTTCTACACCTTTTCCTACTTTGATTGGTGTGCTTCGGGGCTTGGTTTAACGGCTTACATTTAACGGATCTGCGAGAATTTCAAATGCGATTGCGTTTACATAACAGCATTATGGCCCCTAAGTACCGCTGTACAGCATACAGACTCTGCACTCCGCACTCCGCACATAGTTCTACTGTTTGATGATCTGTCGCTATTTCTACTACTTGAAATTGAGATGCTCAGCCTCGAAGGAATATGTGTGGGCTTTTGTGTCCTTTAGGCCCTATCTCCGCTATGGCTTGTTGATGTGCGCCCATTTTATCTAATATAGGTGGCTATCGATCTTCTGACTTCTCTGACTAAATGGTACGATCGCTGCCCCCGTTTTGGCTGGTCCAACGAGATGGTATGTCACAGGGTAATGCGCGCATACATTTCATCTACCGCTCTCATCCCCAGCGCTTTGTTTGCAGGACATGCGATGAGCTGGGCATTCCTAGGGAAACTGTTGCGGGTAAGCAAGTCTGTGGCTCTTTCCTGTAGCTCTGATTCATTTGAAATCTGAGCCCTCCATGTAGCATCCGGCATGTGAGCTGAAGCCAGCGGCTCATCCTGCGTTGCGACATAGACCAGTAATGCTTCTGAAGAATGATTCGTTTGATCCTGTTTTCGCAGAACTGTTGGAGGAGCTGTCTCAGCTGCTCACGGGGATCTCGCTGATGAAAGAGTTGACGCTGCGGACCAAGGACTACCTCGTCTCGTTTGGGGAGCGCATGTCCACCCGCATCTTTGCGGCATACCTCAATAGGATAGGCACGCTAGCACGACAGGTCAGTCACTGGCCCACCTCCAAACAAAACATGCCGTACCCACTGCCTCCATAACCTGAAGGAGACAGATTGATCCACTGCGATCCCAAAACTTGGGACCGCAGATCCTGGCAGATAGTCAGTTTTGTCCATAGTTTGTCAGAAGCCCCTTGTGACTATCCTCTCTTCGTCTGTCACCCTGAAGTTCGTCGATGCTTCTCGTGCAGTACGATGCTTTTGACCTGGGCTTTGTCACCACGGACGACTTCACGAATGGGGAGATCTTGGACGCCACATATCCCGCCGTACGGAAGAAGCTCGAGGACGACTTCCGGGAACGCCCTGCCATGCCGATCGTCACCGGTTTCCTCGCTAGGGTGAGCGCCCCACCTTTCATAGTTGGACCTGGGAGACCAGCCGCTGTTTCTCCGTACTTTGTAAGTATTCCAAGGCCCGAGTCCTGAAGTGGGTTTTGCGGTTTTCGAGATTCCTAAGGGCTCGCAGCCCAGATGTTGAAAGTCCCTCAACGAATCTTCTGATTGAAGCTCGGGTCCCGACACACACCAGGCAGAACCTTTGAAGGGGACGTCCGATGTTATGTTCATCTTCTTCCTTCAGGGCGAGAAGACGGGTGCCACGACGACGCTGGGCCGCGGCGGCAGCGACCTGACGGCGACCGTGATCGGCAAGGCGCTGCGGCTGCGCGAGGTGCAGGTGTGGAAGGACGTGGACGGCGTGCTCACCACGGACCCGCGCCTGGTGGAGCGGGCTATCCCCGTGCCCTTCCTCACCTACGAGGAGGCCACCGAGCTGGCATATTTTGGGGCGCAGGTCAGCCCGCAGATTCGGCGGTTTGGGCCGGTCAAGTCTGAGGCAGAATGACTAGACGGCGACCAGTGTGAGCAGGCACTCGAAGGCAGTGTGGAGGTCGAGAAAGTGAAGAGGATGCAATTCCCACTCCAATGTCTCTAATTAAGAGGCATGGGAATGCGTTTCTGGGTCTGCCAGCCGCAGTGCTTGCTTGGGTGGTTTGCTTCTCAAGATTGTCGACATCGGGGTCCGGCAACTTGCAGAATGATTCATCCGTTATGTTTGCCAGTCCTTCGCCAACTGCTTGTCATCATTATGGGGATTCTGAATCTTTTCGGCGGTCCAGAACCAGCGCGTCAGCCCTGGCTGCCACGGAGACGGAGGCCCCCTGATTTCTGTTGATGACTTTCTTCTGCTGCAGAAGTATTCTCGCCGCATCTCCCTTCTCATAAAGTTAGAAAATTGTGGCAGGGCCGTAGTCAGCCAGCAATGCAATTCAACATGTAATCTGAAGGTCCGCTCGCGTGTAGCAGGCCATCTAGCGACCGTTCCTGGCGACCCTCTGCCTCTTTCCTGGCCGTGACCGGTCGCCCTCCGACCTCTTTTCCCCAGGTGCTGCACCCGCAGTCGATGCGGCCAACGCGCGACGCGGACATTCCGGTGCGCGTCAAGAACTCGTACAACCCGACCGCGCCGGGCACGCTGATCACGGCTCAGCGCGACATGAGCAAAGCCCTGCTGACGAGCATCGTGTGCAAGCGCAACGTGACGATGCTGGACATCGTGAGCACGCGCATGCTCGGCCAGTACGGCTTCCTCGCGAAGCTGTTCCAGATCTTCGAGGAGCTGCAGATCAGCGTCGACGTCGTGGCCACCTCCGAGGTCTCGGTGTCCATCACGCTCGACCCCGCGAAAATGTGGTCCCGCGAGCTCATCAAGCAGGCAAGCGCCCGCCGCGTCTCTGCATCGTTTCCCCTCATTCTTCTCCTTTGCCTCCTTTGGTTGGCTGATGGTCTTGGCGGGCTCGTTCAAAGCTGCCGAGGTCAACCGCTGGAGGGCGTTCGTGTGGTGCGAACAAACGCACTGAGAGGCGGTCTGACTGTGCCACGAGTCGTCGGCACCCGTTAACCTGCAGCTCGATGTACTTTGCAAGGGCCAGCTCAGAGTCTCTCGCAGGCAACTCAAAGCTATCTCGCGTGTAGTTGATTGGTTATTGAAGCTTCGAGAGGAGGTATAGGATCTGTACTCCCAACTTTCAGCGCCTGTCCCGCTCACCAGAGTGCTGAGACTTGCAAACGAGCAAGAATCGCCACATTTTGCTGCCAGTAGTTGTCTGGCTCGATTATGACGAATTGCTGCCGCTCACCTTCAGGAGGTGGACCGCATGACGGAGAGTCTGCGCAGCGTGGCGCACGTCAAGGTCCTGCCGCGGCGCGCCATTCTGAGCCTCATCGGCAACGTCCAGCGCTCCAGCCTTATCCTCGAAAAGGTGACTCGCCCACATCCTGATATGTCTGCCGAGCTTTCACAGTCCAATACTCTGCTCCGTGCAACTGACGACGAAAAGCGTTCTGGATTCTCTGTGGGAAACCCCTGTGAAAACATTCTCGTATGTATTTACGTTGGGTTTTAGGAACGCAGTGGAGCCATTGGTCGTGCAGCGGTCTGATCCTTTGTGCGCTTGCAGGTCTTCCGCGTGTTCCGGACTACGTGTACCAATGTCCAAATGATTTCACAAGGAGCATCCAAGGTGAGCTAGGATCGACCCTCCGCTCTGTCAACACCTCTCTCTCGTTGGCCACCCTACAGCTGCTTTCTGCAATATCTCTGCTTGAGAACTTACCCAAGTGATGCTGTCCTGGCTGTACACAGTATCAAAAGTTGTTGCTATCAAAGTCACAAGCCACTGTAAGAGAGGTGAATCCGTGTTCGGTATAAGACGTTACTAAGGAAGCGGTCCAGGTAAATTATTCAGGATGCGACGGAGTCGTATCAATCTTGGATGCCAGCCCGTTTTGAACCTTTTTCCGTATATTTTACCCGGCTCGCTCGTCTTGTTTAGGTGAACATCTCTTTGGTGGTCGACGATGAGGAAGCTCATACGTGCGTCAGAGCCTTGCATCAAGAGTTCTTCGAACAGGATTACGACGTACTTGTCGAAGGAGACACTCATTGTGAACACTGATGGTGGGAATATGTTTGGAGGTCATGGCAACTGTGTTTGGCTGCGAAGAGGCGTTCTAGACACCCTTCGCTCAAGGCATAGTCACACAGTCACATTGATCAAGGATTTACTCAGCTTTTGAAAGTTTTTTCCAAAAATATCGTGAAGGATGGATTGTGCGCCACATTGGGGCACAACACAGCCGCACAGAATGCTGGTTCTAATCACACTCAAATTCGACCCATATTCGAAACTGGTCATTCTTTGACGCGAGGAGAAAACGTCGAAAAGCTCCATATGTTCTTCGGCTTCTGAGTCTCGAGAAAAAGGGCGATGAAATCATGCAACATTTCGAAAGTGAACGTTGATACATTGCATAAGGTTAAGGGCGCGCTCGAAACTCAAACATTGATCCACATGTATGCGGTGGAAGCTTATGGTCCATGCATGCATGTGACTACAGCGTTTTGAAAAAAGAACATAAAGCAGCTTAGTCGAGAGTACATTTAGCGACTTATGTACTTGGAGCTTCTTTTGAAGGCCAGCCTGGCCTTCAGTGCTCATGCAGTGTTATAATAATCCGATGATCTATATGATTGGCGGTGCTTATGCCGTCCATCTATATTGCACCAATGATGTACGCGCGGCCGGGCACGTCCATGTTAGAATTTTGTAAGACGTTCTATTTTGAGCGGACGTTTTGCATTGCAAGTCGAGTGGGCACGAGATAGAAATCGATCGTTTGAACGTGAGAAAGGGCGTATCTGACTTGTTCTTGGAATAGTACCATTCTTGCTATCTTGAGAATTGCAGGTGGTGAGAATGCTTCCCGGGCTGCGGGAAGCGGGGGGGCACGGGGGGGCGCAGCCCCCCCGTTTCTCAAGGCCAGAAGAGAAGGCGTGTGCTACGGAGGAACCAAGTCCGACTGACGTTGAATAGCTGTCGAATGTGGCCCGTGCATTGAAGGTGAACGAAAAGGAGAACAGGCAAAAATAGGATGTTCGATTGCACCGGCCGGGAATCGAACCCGGGTCTGTACCGAGCTCGCTTGCGTCGTGGTGACGCTAGTTGGCAGGGTACTATTCTACCACTAGACCACCGGTGCTGGTTGGAGATGCGATAAAGGCAACTTGTAAAAACCTAAGGGTAACTCTAAGTGAGACGGGGGGGCTGCCGCCCCCCCGCACCCAGCACCACCTTTCAGCATTGTACAGACGAGGAAGCCCTCAAAGGACCGCTTCAAAGGGCCTCTGTTCAGCATGGAGTCCGTGGGAGTCGGCTACATGACACATTACTTGGGCTATGCTGAATTATCAGCTGCAGAGTGGAATGCACAGATCGATGCATTTGATGTGGAGGTGAGTTCCATTGAACGTGAGGAACACCAAGTCATACATGCAATGCTGTGTCCCGAGCCACACCTCCTGAGCTCGATCCCGGTCAAAACGGACCGGCGGAGACTTTTCGGTGGGCTTTCCTGTGGGCATCGCCGTTGTAGCTACAGTCTGGGAAGATTCTTCAATGGGTGCAAGATGTTGCTTTCACTAGAAACATGATGATGGGTGTATTCAAGATCACATCCCGCATCCACGTGAAGCTCACGACACAACACCACCCCTCCTTGAGTTGTCAATGAATACAATCATAGTTGGGTCAATACTGGTCCTTTGGGCTGCCGGTCCTGGTGACTCTTTCTAGAGCAGCGCTTTTCTCTGCGCAGAAGCTGCCCAGGTCTCTTCTCAGAGAGATCAATGCAAGATAGTGGGCGCCCACAACGTGTAAGTGAAGGGGCTGGCACGGTGGTGGTGGTTGCGATGGTGGTGGTGATCACAATTGGGCAGGCGCCCACAACTACCCCACCCTTGTTACAAATTCAGGCAGAGCCATGATTCATCTGCCCTGCCCATGCGGGCAGTGGTTGAATGCGGTAGCAGCGTTCCACCAATGAAATTGCCCCTGCAAATCGAGCATCCAATCTGCCCCCACCTTGCCCCACCCATCACCTTTAGTGATTACTCCAACCGGCCCAAAATTTCTGCACCCTGCTGCCTTCCAGGGCCTGGCGGAGCAGCTGGAAGAGGCGGGCGCCTCCCACTTTCTCTTCACGCTGGGACAGAACAGCGGGCGCTATGCGGCCCCCAACGCCACCTACGACCGCATCGTGGGGCGCCAGCCCAGCGTCTTATCCAATCGCGATCTGATGAGCGACTTGTACGAGGCCCTGTCGCGGCGCGGCATTGCGCTGCTGGCGTACCTGCCCAGCAAGTGCCCTGAGCAGGACCCCCTAGCGATGGAGAAATTCCGGTGGGAGGAGGATGCGCCCCTGAGGCGCCCCTTCCAGCAGCTGTGGGAGGCGGTTATCCGAGAGTGGTCGCTCCGGTGAGGGGGGGCGCTTATGGGCAGCCTGATTTGTTGATATTTGTTAGGATGTTGGAGTTGTCTTCTGAGTACGCATGTGGGCAAAGCTCATGTAGATAAGATCGACAAGCGTGGGTTCATGTGGATTACAGGTGTCCTCTCTTTGCCACCTAGGGCCCCATGTTGAAAAATCGAGCTGCCAGCTCTTTTGGGTCCTTGTTTTGAGATCAAGGAGCGTTAGGGTATGGAATGAATATCCATCTTAAAGGATATGAGTTGGCGCTAAAGCCCCTGCCATTGTTCCTGCATTTCTGTCAGTAACTGATCAGCAAGTGTAGTCTAGTAATTGGAAGTCACGCATCAGTTGGGGGAGTCGGATGAACGGCTTTGAGTACAACAAGGTCTTCGTAGGCAGGCAGCGTCGACAAACCAAGCATTGCCGAGCAATGGCAGAACGCAGTGCATCCTTCCTTGACATTCGACTTTTGAGAAAGGCTAGCAACTGACGATAATCAAAAGGAGTTCCGCCTCTCACTCATTCAAACTTAGGAACCCAGTTCGGTGACGCGAGGCCGGTTACTTCGTGTTCTGTGCCTGAACGGGCCAGCTTCTCTCCGCCAGGTGGGGCTCCAAGGTGGTGGGCTGGTTCTTCGACGGCTGCTACAACACCGACATGTACTCGTCTCCCGAGCCGCCCAACATGGCCAGCTTTGTCGCGGCCGCGCGGGCGGGGAACCCCAACGTGGTCCTCATGTTCAACAACGGGGCGGGGCCGGGCCAGTCGCTCAGCAGCTTTGAGGACCTGACGGCCGGGGAGATCTGGCAGCAGGCCAGGGTGAGAAGGCGTCGAGCTCCTCCTAGAGTTCGTTGATAGTCCGCTGTCATGACAATGAGAGTTCAGTCTGCAATATTAAGTTCAACTGTGGAGTATGGGCGCCGTCAGTTTTTTTGGAAGGTACTGCATCTCGAAACCATTCACCTGATCCAAGTGCTTGGTTTTACAGACGGATCCTATATGAGAACCATCTGCTTCGAAAAGCGGATCCTGAATCCAAGCACAGCGTATCTATCATACTCTAGTTTCGTATGTAAGTTGGGCGGTCCATATGGCCTCAAGCAAAGACTCATTCTGAGCTGCCTGGACGTGAAAATTCACGGACGCAATTTTCTCTGCCCGTAGGTCCTCCCAGAGTGCTCTACCGACGGGCGGTGTCACAGCCGGTGCGCCATGAGCGGCCGCCCCACGGCCCCCCGCTGGCACCTCAACACGTACCTGGCGGGCAACTTCGGGGGCTTCGGAGTGCCGGACGCGCCCCGCTTCAGCGACCAATACGTGCAGGTGGGGCGGCCAGAATTGTCACCAAGCTGCTGCTAGAGTGAATTGTTGCGCACAGTTGACTCATCTCGTTCGCCTCTACTTTACAAAGATGCGAGGTGACTCCCACCTCACTCGAAGCTGAAAACCTGTCGTAATCTTGATAGACCGTCTATGTCGGTGCGGACTCTATTTGAAGCTTCCCTCCTCCTACCAGTGCGCTGTGTATCAGTGACTGTCGCCCAGGCTCAGTGCATGTCCGCAGCCACGGCTGGCTGAAATTCTCTCTCGGCTGCCAGGCATACACGATGCGGGCAATGGAGCGCGGCGGAGCCATCACGTGGGACGTGCCGATCCGATTGCACGGCACTGAGAACGGGCACATGAGCCGGGCGCTCATGCCGCAGGTCAGCCACCGCTTTATGTCTCTGGGCTCCGGTAATCTAGACACTGCTGCCAACACCCTTTACACTGCCGATTATTTCGTTCGAGCTGCGACTGAAAAGAAGTCGTGCCGATACTAATCGGGATTTCTCAATAGCCGTTGTCTTAATACATGTTTAGAATCAAGTTTGGCAGCTGCGAGCCGCTAAAGCCCGTCAAGTTCTTCGCATCAGCTTTTTGGCACATGCCTTTGATTTGCAGTTGCGTCAGCTGAAGAACGTGCTCCACCCAGACAGCGACCTCGCTTTCAAGCGGCCCGTGCTGGCGTCCTCCGGCCACGTGTCCGCGTCTTTCGGCAATGACGGGAGGGCCGACACGTGCTGGACAGCCGCCGCGGATGACGAAGACGCCTTCTGGCAGGTGAGGTCTCCCGGAAACGTCGAGGAGTCATACATACCCGACATTTGACGACTGACATCTCGAATTATGTGAAGCTTTATCCAAGCCCGGGACACTGGAGACCCGTCGGTTCGCGTCAGCCGATGAGCACCGACCCTAGCAGTCAATCCTTTCGTTGTGAGTGTACATTAGATCCAAATGGACCCCCTAAAGGACAGGCAAGCATGCGCCATTTGCCCTGCGCTTCGGCACAAGCACAGGTTATTGGGAGGGATCGTCGAGTGCGTCTTCCTCGTAATCATTCTGCCGCACTATCTACTTGAGTCCACCTTTCCGTGTTGGCGGAGCCATTGTTGCTACAGCACGTTGTCTTCGTCTATCGAGTGTTCACCAAGAGCTTTTCAATAGACCGTGCCTTCCTTCTGGGAGCCTCAAAGCAGCTTCTCCGCTGGTCAGATCTTCGCTGATCTGGTGATTCGCCGCAGGTCGACCTGGGCATGCCGTACTTCATTACGTCTGTCGACGTCACCCTCCCTCCCGGCAGCCCTCGCAGCGGCTTCGAGGTGTGGGGATCCCCCGACCCCGAGAGCCGCACCTTCACAATCCTCGGCCGCCAACCCGACGACCAGCCACTGCCCGGGGACACCTTCCCGGTCGCTCACCCTCCCGGCAATCCTTGGGGGCCGTTCCGCTACCTGCGCTTGGTTAAGAGCGGCCGGCAACCGGGGTCGCTTGGCGTGAGTGCTTTTAAAGTGAGGGGCCGGTGGGTTCCCCCGGTCAACCTGGCGGTTGGGAAGCCGGCGGTGGCGTCCTCGGGGCAGTCTAGCGTGAGCCTGGGGAATGACGGCCACCGGGAAACGGCGTGGAGCTCCGATGCGGGGGACGGCAGCCCCTGGTGGCAGGTGGACCTGGGGCAGCCAGTCGAGGTGAGGTTAATCTCCGATTTCATCAAGGGTAAACGCTATGAGGGGTGACAGCAGCACGTAAAGCAGAAACCAGTGGTCTACACGCTCCGCACCCGTACCCACCCCAACCTCCAAGCCAATCCCATCCGTCCCAATTACCCTTCTTAGCCCTTACCTTTCACAAACTATATCGAAGTGAGGTGAGGGACCGACGGTTCGCGAAGCATCACTCGCTCTGATTGCTCAATGTGGGCGATAAAAGTTGGTAAAAACGAGCCGTTGCAAGCATGCCACTCGATCGACTTGTGCAAATGTCGCAGAAATTCGATTCTCGAGAAGGAGCGGGCGGGCTGGTCTGCGAGCTGGTATGCCTGACGATCCGTTCACCTCCTCGTGGACCACAAATGTGGTCCCTGGCCCGATTTTTCGTCCAACACGCACAAATATTGCTGATTCTGGCTGAAGAATTCTGCTCTTGGAACCATAGTCTGGGTCAGCAGCGAGGGCCTTTCTGCTGCGGCTGACCCTGCCGTTGCGCCGGTACCTGCAGATCTCCATATTGGAGTTTCTGCCCCCACTTGGCTCCCAAGACGAGCGCTTCCGGCGTGCCTTCGAGTTCCGGGCGTCCAACTCCGCGGACGGAACGGACGCAGTGGTGCTGGGCAGCCAGCCCGCGGACATGGTGTGTCCCCCGGACACGCTCTGGTCGTGCGGGCCCAGGGACGACAACGGCTACCGATACGTGCGCGTTGCAAAGACGGACGGCCAGCCGTTCGCGTTCCAGGAGGTGAAAGCAAACTCTCTTTGAGATTACACTTCGTCAGATCCTTGCTTTCTGAGGAAACGACCGATCAGCAGGAAGGAGGTACCTGTTGAAGGATGTTTCTTGCTTCCAATTGAGCTTTGCCTCTAGCGCAGCTCTGCTCGCAGCGTGCACACGAATCTCCCAGCCTGCTGCTGTAGCCGTGGTCGGGAAGCCGGCAGTGGCCCTTCGAGGAACCTACCTTTCATTCCTTGACTGATTGCTCCCCTCTCTCGCACTCATGATCGCACCGCATCTGGACGCCCTGCCGCACTCTCAGTCTCAAAACAGTGACCAATGTACCGTTTATTGCTTGCATTGGGATTGGGGGGCACAAAGTGGAAAAACAAGACGCAAAATGAGAACGCAACAGCTTCTACTTTATGTCAGAATTGCCGCCATCTTCCTCTTCCTATTCTGAGAACAGTATCACTGGAGACTGTTACGCAGTCATTCTCTTTCACGCCCTGCGGTCGCCAAGCGCTCATCGCTCCTTCGTTCCTTCTCCCCAGCTGCGCGTGTACGGCTCCCCCGTGTCCTCGTACCGGAACGCGGTCCCCGGTCGTCCCGTGAGCGCGTCTTCCGTCTGGTCCGACGCTCTGAACGCGGACCAAGCGGCGGACGAGCTGCTGAACCACATGTGGAGCACGGCCGAAACGGACCCGCAACCATTTTGGCAGCTAGACCTGGGGGCGGCCCGCCGAGTGACGGCGGTGGAACTGGTGGCGCGCCAGGACGACTGCGACCAGCCGGACTGCAGGAGGTGCGAAATTTCAACGACGCTTTAATAGGCGATAAGCCATTCGTCTGATTAAGATCAAAGTTTACGTGCTCCGCACAGCCACCCTAAAACCCCATCTAACCCACCGTCCCGGCACCATTTTCTAATGTACACTACATTGGTGCGTACCACAGGAGCAAGAGTTGCGCTTTGCGAGGAGTCCGAGCGTTGGGAAGGTAACATCGTGTGCCGGCTAAAGTAATGATATTCGACGTTGGGCAGTGCGAGTCTAGACAAAGCCGAGATCTTATGGACCCTTTCTTGTACTTGGCATCAGAGCTGACGTCCCTGAGGGGTTGAGTTGGCAGTTTGAGGGGCTCTCACACCTCTCCATTGTCCAGAGCAAGGAAGGACGCTGGTGACGGATTGGCAACAACCTGGGTTCTGAAAGGATTGTGTGACTGATGGAGTTACATGCAGCCGGCAGTAGTACCTTCCAACAACTTTTTCTTTTGCCAGGAATGCTATTGATCACACAAAGTGCTACACTAGTCAATGACACTTAGTGACACTTCTCCCTTCGCACTTGCAGAGACTTCGAGTTCCGCGGCTCTGACCAAGAAGACGGGTCCGCGTATACGGTCCTGGCCAGGCAGGGTGGCGAACCATTTCCACACAAGGTAAGAGTAGCATCGCTTCAGCATTCTGGCGGTCGTGTCTCACTGCTGACGCTTGCTTTGCCAGCTGCCTAGAACGTTCTGTACTTCCGTCAGAGCATCACTCTAGCTTGGAAACTTTCATTGGCGTCGTTTGCAATCGTCTCTATCTGGCCTTTTGTATGCTTACACGTCAGCGGCCGTAATGAGCAAGGTCGAAGCTTTGCTTTAGCTGACTCCACAACCTGTCTTCCAATCGCCATTTCACCTCAGTGTTTCAGCCCTGCCGTTGCTTCTTTCAACGTAGCCCGCTCGCAAGTTTTCCATCCTCGTTCAATCACCTCTTCATTGCCGCCTTTTCAGGGCACATGGGCCGCTCCGGTCTCTTGCATGCTTCTGTTCCGCTACATCCGCGTGGCCAAGGTGCACGGGAATTACTTCAACGCGTGCACCGTCCGAGTCATCACCGGCCCCCCCGCCAGCCCGGATCTGGCTCTCGGGAAGCCCGCCGTTGCATCGTCGCACTTTGATGAGTACACGGCAGCTGCCAATGGCAACGACGGAGACCTGGGCTCTATCTGGGCCTCTAACGCGGGAGACCCAGCACCGTGGTGGCAGGTGAGGCCGCTGGGTGCCTGAGAACCGGGATGGAAAGAAGGAGAGCGGGGCAAGCTGCTGCTACAAGCCGAATGTGCGACTGAATAAGACGCCTGGTGGGCCGTTTGTTCACTGTTGTTGGCCCTCATTTGCGGTCTTTCATGACTGGAGTAGCGACGAGAAGCAGAAATAAGAAGTGCCCCGCCGCCCTGACAAATGGATGGACACCATGCTACCCAGGCAGAGCCAGTTTCAACGCTTGAAAACACAAAGCACATGTTTTGCGAACTGGCAGTCGGAACATTGACATGCAAGAGAGATGGAACGGTTAGAGAGAAAATCAAGAGTGATTAGGAAGAAAAGGGCCGAGAGAGGCAGCTCAGTAAAGGCACAATGGTTCAATGGTTTTTTCTTGCTCCCAGGTCGACCTCGGCCGTACGTGCCACGTCACCTCTGTGTCCCTCACCCCCCGGCAAGACGGCGACCAGGACTTCACCCGGCGCAACTTCGTGGTCGCCGGACTGGCCTCCCCCGACGACCCCAATCCCACCACTCTCGCCGAAGTCGGCGAGGATCCCTTTCCGTCCCTACACACGTGGAACGCCCCGGTGGTAAACCCCGGGCGGTTCCGCTACCTCAGAGTTTCCAAAACTGACGGCTCGCACTTTAACTTCGCGGCTTTTAGTGCACTTGGAACGGCAGGCCCGCCGGAAAACTTGGCCTTCGGGGCGCGCGCGAGCGCTTCGTCTGAGTTTAGTGACGGCACCCCTGCGTCAGCCGCGCTGGACGGGAGCGTTGCCACCCTTTGGGCGTCCGCTGCAGAGGACCCCGCGGGGCCGTGGTGGCAGGTACGTCAGCGGGTGCTCACGCTTACGTCATGCTTATGTTGGATGCGCGGGGAGGAACGAAGCACAATACTCTCAGTCTTAGGGACCTTCGTCTTGCTCTTCTCAATGTTTTCACCCTGTCCCGTCACCAGAGCAAGAAAACAGCCATAGTGTCGGGATCGAGTATGCAACCCCAACAGATCGCAAAAAGTGGCATTGTCCGAAGCTCAATTCCGTGACGAGCAGACTATTGTCCCCCGCAGGTGGACCTGGGCGGGCCGTGCCACGTAACGCGCATCGAGCTGACTGCGCGCCAGGATGAGGGCCAGGATCTAGCGCGCACCAACTTCGAAGTGCGCGGCTCCGATGTTGCAGACAACAGCGACTTCGCCGTGCTTGGTGGGCTAACGGGGCCGCCGTTTGAGGACAAGGGCACGTGGCAAAGCGTACTGGCGGACGGAACAAAGTGCCGGTACTTGAGAGTTGTCAAGTTGGACGGTGCGCACTTCAACTTTGTCCAGTTTCGAGCGTTTGGGTATAAGTTATGAGCAGCAGTCGGGCTTTTGTGTCCAAGTTGCAGGGACCAAATGCGTTGTGCTCGACAACAGCGCCAAATTTTGCCATCACTTCGCGGAATCGTCATCGTGGGCTGCGACCAGTCATGTAAGATATGATTTATTCTGGTAGGAATCAATGCCAATCTATGCACATAGTATCATTCAGCATGATTGGAGGCCAGGTGTTTAATGCCCAAGCAAGTGGATTTGATGGAAAGTGCTTGCTGAAAAGGGCACAAACGGTACGTATGTTCTGCAGAATGTTAACAATGGCACGTTGAAAAGGTTATCAAAAGACAGACAGCTTCGCGCGCATGCATGCGCAGCGCTCATGCATGTGCCGGCGTGAAGAATTTACATGCATGTCTATGATCGACGGGTCAAGTTAGAAATGCTGCAGATCGATCCACGATCAGAGGCGTCCGGATGGCATAATTGCTTGTTCCTGTATGTGCTTTGGAATCTTGCGTTAATTTTGTATACTAGAGAGCTTCGGTCCGGCCTCAAGTTCATGCATGTTGTCGTTATGCACATCTTCTTGCAGATGCATGATTGAGCAGCTGCAGCGAGTAGCTCTCAGTGCAATCACTAAAGCGTGACATGCCAGCCTCAACGTGGGGTGACTGATGGACAGATTGACTGATTATGAATAATGGATGACGCAAATCTGTACGATCGTCTACACACTGCGAGCTGGCGTTCAGTGATGCAAGCTGACCTCGCAGACTACCGTTCGTCAGGCCTGGGCCTTGGAGAAGAACGTGGCTACACCGCTGCAGCCTGAATCTGCTATACCACAAACCCGCGAGTGGCAGATTGCATGCTGCCCGTCATGTCGCTGGACGGCCGCGGCAGAGATCACGCACAAGTCGTAAGGTTGCGCGTCGACCGAAAACCTACTTGGCTTCCAGTGTTAGCTTTGTTGTACCGACAGGTAGAAGGTACGGTACCCTTCCAGCCATATTACATCTCTGGTATGTACCTTGGCATACCACGTGGATCTGAAAAGCCATCCGATTGGCTGAGTAATCTGGAAAGCTTTTTGAGGCTTTTCGTTCGACGCGCACCCTAAGACTCAGGTCGCTGAAGCTTGGGGGCTATCAAGCCGACTGCTCCAGCAAGGCTCCACTGGGACGAGGGCATGCGCGCGCTTTGGCTACGTCGAGACCATAAAGCACGAGACCCGATCGGTCTTGAAAATCGCTCAAAGTGGGGTTACTTTAGTTGTGTTGCGCACGATGGCGCTCGCTGATCCCTCTCCTGCTGCGGCGGCGCGCGCGCTGTCCGGCTTGCCCCTGGACGTGCTCCGCCTCATTGTGGCCAAGCTGGACCTGCAGGACCGCCTACGCCTAGAGGCGCTGGACAGGAGTCACCGGGAGATCATGAGGGAGCCGGAGCTGTGGCAGGATATCAGGCTGGGAGGTGGGAGGGCATTGGAGATTAAAGAGGAGCAGCTTCTCATTCTCATTTCCAGAATCGATCACCGCATGCAGGCTGCGTCTCACATAGCCGGCATGACAGCTGCCCTTCAAGACATTACGCAGAGTTACCTGGGGCATGATCCGCTGCGCAACCCGAAACTGGACTCCCGACTGAGCACTCCTGGAGCAACCTTAGGCTCACCCTTCTCCTTCATTGAAATAAGAGTGTTATACCAAGCAGTGCCCGAGACCTGGGGCCCTCTCAGGCTCATCGCAGAAACGTGCACAGTCTGGGTGGTCGAGCAAGTCAACCGGATTCCGAAAGCCGCTCGGAAGCTCTTTTCGGCCTGCCAGAAGATCGTCAGGGATCCTGCTGCGATCGTAGGGACCCTGAAGGCAAAATTGACCGGTCAGGTGAAGCTTGAGGGCAAACCGTCAGCGAAGAAGGCAGTGTCTCTCAACGTCACAGGGGGCACCAAGTTGTCTCCAGCCTTTCTCGCAGCGTGCACCATTGCCCTCTCGGCGGCAGGGTACCACGTGGACCTCACGATGGACGGAGAAAGCGACCCTGGCTTTCTGGTCAACCACCCTGTGCATGACGTCATCCGGAGCCTGGCCCTCGACTGCTCGCTGCACGTAAACCTGCTAGTGTCCGGAAAATTTCCTTGGACGGCGGACTGTCTCGAGGGCTTCGGTCAAGGCGGGCAGTTGCAAGCAGCGGTGCAGCCCGAAACGGTGGAGGCGAAAGTGGAGCGCGTGGCTGCCTCGATAGCGCCCCATTACAAAGGCTCAAGCGCGGCATGCCAAAACTTCCTTGACAAAGTCTGGTCGCTGGTGGAATTCAGAGCTGCAGTCGCGGGAAAATCAGGCTCGGCCAAAGGCGCGACAGCCAAAGTCGTAAGCGAGACCGTCGTTTTGGAGCATCTCGTCGAAGTGGAGCCCCTTCTCCTCGAAGCACTGCGCAGGTGCTCGTCGCCGGAAAAGCTCCAGCTGGCGTTCCGGAACTGCCTGCTTCCGGCCAACGGATTCCGCTCGCTCTTTGCGGTACTCGGGGAGCGCGGAACCGGCCGCGTGGCCCTTCAGCAGCACTCTCCGTTTGAGAATCCTCAGGTGGCAGCGCTCCTTTTAGCGTGCGCAGAGCTGCAAAGCAGCACGGGGCTCAAGGTTCTCGAGCTCGACCTTCCGCTCTCTCCGGCGGACCTCGATTCCGTCGCCCTGTTCCTGGACCGGAACCTGAACGGCGCCGAGGTTGTCATCCACTTGCGGCCGGCCTTCTACTTCAAAAGCGGCCAGCTATCGCAGCGCTTCTTCTCGCAGCTCAGGGGGCTGTGCTTGTCAGAGCGGAGTGCCCGGCTGAGGATTGTGCGCTACCGGGGAGGGGCTCCGCTTTCGAAAGGGAGAGCCGCTGAAGACCCAGGAAGCCTCGACGCCTTCCTTTCGCCAGTCCAGCAGGAAATACGGTCCAAGCTCCGGATCCGCAAAATCGTCGGCTTCGTGGACCGTTCGATCTCCTTCTTACTCGTCGGAGATTTGCTCGTCGTCTTGGCTACTCTCGTGGACTGGCTCCTCGGTTTAGGCTGGCTTAGCTTTATGACAAAACGGGCCAAGGTGATGGCCTACCAGCTGGCCATGGCCATGACCTTCTTGTGGCCGTCGATACAAGCGTCGCTGCTGGGGAGGTTGGATCTGACGGGCACGGTTTACGGGCTTTGCGTCAGCGGCTTCCTGCCCATGACGTGGATCGACTTGGCCATCAGGTCCTTGCCCGCGTACCTGGGCGCTTGTCTCGTGTGGACGATCGCGAGGTGCCTGCTCAAGGCTGCTGCGGGGTGTTTCCGCCACTTCGCTGCCAAGGTGAGGGAACCACAAGAACGTCCGTTCTGTTCTAGGCAGCTGGCCCGTTCCTTTACTGAGTATTGGGTGCTTGTCTTTGACGGATGGGGTTGATGATTGCAGGACTCTACCGGTTTGCGGTAGCGAAACTTCGTACAGGAGAAGCAGCAGTCCAAAGCGTTGGGGGCTACGTACAGGAGAAGCAGCAGTCCAAAGCGTTGGGGGCTAATACTGATCCTGTTTAGAGCAGTGGCAGTAAAGCGTCTGGAGGTTGGACGTTTGTATTTGTTGTGAAGTAGCACATACATCTCTTTTAGATCGTCTCGATAAGTCGGACTTTCCGAGATTACAGGACTCGTGCCATTTCTTACCGGCAATGAATTTCCCTATGAATCTCTCCTTTGAGCACAAAGTCAAAGCGGTACCTTCTGGACTTCAGAGCCGTGATTGCTGATCAAAGCCGATTGCAACTGGCATAGCTGAACAGCTTGTGTCATACCCTTTCGCGTGGGACCGAAACTGGAGGATAAGGAGATTGAAAATCAATCAGAACGGATTCGTATAGCAGAATCAAGAACGCCCGACTCATTGTGCTGCTAGGAATCAAACCTTCCGCACTTGCTGGTTGTCACAAAGTTCTATGTTCCGATTCTCATAACATTTCCGACCTGTGCAGTCCACGACTTCGGGGCCGAGAAGCAACCCGAGGCCGTAGATCTCTTTCCTGCCACGGAAAAGGAAGCGGAGGGTAAGACTCGCTCGGCGCTGGTCCTAATGGCAGATCTGGGTTCGACCATCTTAGGAAGCCTTCCTGGTTCGAGACGCCACCAGAAGTCCTGACGACACTTTATATAATCATCTTCTCGCAGCTCGGCGTACTGCCGCGCTTGCCGGGCAGTGCTCATTGATCTGAGTACCTGAAAACTCTTTTCAGTTCCCATCTGTGGCCTTATGAAAGGGTTTTGGTGGTCGAATCAAGACCTTCTGCTCGAGCTCGTTTCTTTGTCAACCTTCATGCCTAAGCCAAATTTCAATTTCTTGCGAAGCAGACGCTTACCTTTCGTCTAACAAGAGATAATTGCTTGTAAGAGCCATCGACCGCCATGAAAACGCGTTTGCTTTTGACGACCAGAGCCGCTTCTGTAAGTTTACAAGAATAGTTGCGGATCAACGCGTCCTTCCTTGCTTACCTTTTACAGGTCTTTGTAGAATCTGGAACCTTGTACTATAGCCGGGTAGACCTGTTAGTCGGCGGAAATCTCTCAGGAACCGCGCGGTCGGTTCATCTTGGAAGAGACCGATGACTTAGCGGCTGCGTTGGAGCTCCCGGAAAGATTTGCGAATGTCTGCCAAAAAGTAAGAAGCGCTAACCCAGAATAGCAAAACCTGCCGCAAGATTGTTAGGCAGGTCAAAGCACCACGGAAATTTGAGATGAACGGTTCAAAGGAGGGTCCTTAGCTTGTTTGCTTGTTGTCGAGATCCATTTGTAAGAGTTTCTAGGACTTTCGACGACATAATGAGATGGTAGCCGCGGATACGTTTCAGTCGTTAGAGAAGATGCTCACGGCTCGTCCTTGACGAACTAGATGATCCCTCTCGATTTGCACACAAACCCTTCTCAACACCCCGGGTTCAATATGTGAGGATGCTGTTCAATATCGAGACTGGTTGTCGTGGCAGTGCCTCTCGTTAGGCCAACACACAAAGACTTTCAACTACATACAACTAGTATTTGCTACATATATTCAAGCAAGATTCGTGCCAAGAGGTGCTGATGATGCGTGCACATGAAAGAACACAAAGTGACGTTCTTAGCTCTGAAGTCTATCGAATGCCAGGAGGTACCATGGTTTATTTGTAAAAAGTGAAGCACAGTTCAAGTGGAGCACGGTTCTTGTCAGATTTGTATGTTACGACTAGTGAGCCGTGTGACAGGCCGGAAATGACGAGTCTGCCGCCTTAAGGATCGTCGTATAGAAGGTTTTCAATGTTCTAGCGCGGCACAATGCATCACGAGTATACATGCCATGAGTGTGATACCTATCCTGTCGGTCTCCAGTAGACCGTATCAGGTGTGAGTAGTGATGAATAATCCACCGGTGAGTGGCCGCTTGCCGCTCGAAGAAGGCGGTCAGAGGCCAGAGAGCCCACTGCATTTGTTTTCATTCGTCCTGGCTGGCAAGTGGAGAGTCCGCATTATCGGTCAAGTGCAAAACTTACTTGTTCCTCGCAGGCATATTGTGCTGGGTCTGCCAGGCACTAGAGCCCGAAGGTTCAGTGCCATATCTCGCTGGCCCCTGATTGCGGCTGGTTCAACAATGGGGGCCGCCGCAAGAGCCAGCCCGGCGCTAGCTGACAATCTAGCTGACTAGCTATATTGGGCTATAAAGCTAAGATAGACGCCTCGGCTGGGCCTCTGCTCAGCTCTAGCGGCTCAGTGTGTCGGAAGTTTCGACGGTCGATCATTCGCGGCAGTGGCGGCCGTCCGATCGCCGTGTGAACGAACGGCGGCCGGCGCGGCCGCCGGCCGTGGATTTTCTGGCCGCGGCCGGCCGCGGGCCGGGCCTTAAACGCGGCCGCGGCGCGCAAAATTTTTCTAAACCCTGGCCTTGCACCATGGAAAGGATTGAAACCGTTCGATCGACATGCTGCCTCACGCTCTGACGTCGATAAATCACATGATGTGCAACTACCTGCTAACTACTTACGTCACTTTGAGTGTCTCGGCACTCAAAAGCAAGTTGCAACGGTTTTCGAAAACTGTATCGACTCTACCTACTACGGTAGGTACAGCATTTTCGGGGCAGGCTTCCCGGTTGCGTTCGATAGATAGGGTGTATTTAGTCTAACTTACGCTAAATTTAGTCTAAGTTTAGTTGCGTTACCAGACCAATTGACGTCATAGATGAGACCAATATTGATACGTGGCAAAGACTCGGCGCGTCAGATGGGCCCTGAGCAGCGGATCTACGGCTCGGTGCTCACCTTGGTTTTAAATGACGTCAAAGCAAAAGGTAAAACTTAGACTAAATAGCCTAAACACAGACTAGATTTAGACCCTAAATACACCCTATCTATCGAACGCAACCGGGAAGCCTGCCCCGAAACTGCTGTACCTCGAATCCTTGAAGTTGAGGCCCTTGTTGGAAAATTGCAACATGGGCCAGCCTTGGATCTCCTCAGGCTCAAGTTCCAGTGCTTTACGTCTATTAAACCATCTTCAGTGTAGCATACTAACATTTTCAAAGTGCATGAGGCGGGTGAATCTTGTTTCACCTGAAGGTAGCCGCACTTTTTAAGGTCGGCAGAACGTACCACCGCGCTGGGAAAGATCATCACAGCGATGCTTTACCTGGCCAGCTTGAGTGTCTTTCCAGTGCTGATCTGTAAGGCCAGGCTCTCCGCGGACGTTAGCAAAAGATAAGGAGGGGAAAGGCCACAATTTAACGTGGGTGGCGGTAAGTCTTGAGTTCCTCTTTTCCAGAAATGGTGCTTGATCACTTACTCAAGCACCACCTGCTTTGCCTGCTTGTGACCGCGAGCTGGTGCACTTTCATGTAGTACCACTCCTGTTGCTTCTATGAAGAAAAGGCTGGTGCTTAAAGTGCCCCTCAAATCAAGTCAAGTTTGCCGTGCCCTTCTTTGAGAATCAAGCACGTGGGTAAGGACAGGAAAAAGGCACTTGAGAATTGTTCTCGTGTCCAAATTTGCTCGCTTGGTCTTGGTAGCTTTTGGACGTCATGTGCGCCTTGAGCTCACAAACCCTGGTGAAATGCAAATTTTCCCATCAAGAGCTGTGAGATTCCTTCGAACAAAAAGCTAACACCTCTGCTCAATGCCAACAGGAATTGAGGCTGGTTGCTGCAACATCAGCACCACCATGGCCAAGTTGTGGCTTGGCCTGGCTTTGCTGCTTTTTGCCTGCGTGGCTCAGACAGAGGCAGTCACGGAGCCCACAGAAGGTGAGAAGACGTACTTAGTATCTCCTCTTATCCCCCAATTAATGCGCCCCATCAGCATTTCTGTGCAGAGGTGCAAAGAAGCTAGCTTGGGACAAAAACAGGCAGGTAACCGGCCAACTCTGGAGGAGGAGAAGTCATCAACTTGCTATTCCTTTCAAAAAGTGCTGCGTTTTGTACCAATGACAGTTGGATAACAGCTGTGAGGAAGGCCCTGTTGGACTGTCTGTATCTTGACTCTTGATTAGGTCCTTTTAGAATTGGAATTATATACCAAAGTCTATGGTTGTTGTGCTGGCAATCCTGAAATTTTCCTGATTTCAAGTCCTCTCCGCTCTGCAGTGGCGGCCCTCCTGACGATGAAGGCTGCCTGGAACAACGTGACGCGGCTGACCAGCTGGAACGACACCTCAGACCCCTGCGACAATGGATGGAGGGGCATCATCTGCTCGCTGACGTCGGTGCCTGGAAACAGGCACGTCACCGGCATGTAAGTGGCAGCGCTCTAGAGCTGTTTCTCCTGATGAGTGTTGTCCAGGATGACCTCTCCTGCGACACTTACCACTTACTTTATGAAAATCTGCCAAGATGATAGAACAAAACCTGCCTCTCAAAGTGGTGCACTTTGAGGATTCTTTTTGAGAACGTCTTCCCCGGGAATTCTGGGCAGTCGGCTGAACAACACACTATTCTGGTTGACAACCATGGCATTCTGAAGCGCAAACCTGATATGATGGTAACTTTGTGTGTGCAGCCAGTTACCAGGCTTCTGGGTGGGGGGCATTCTCTCTCCTGCGGTGGGGAAGCTGACATACCTCACTCTGCTGGACCTCAACAGCAACAACATGACGGGGCCCATGCCAGCAGAGATTGTCAACCTCAACCAAGTGCAGGTACGGATTCTGTTCCGGTCAATCTGATGCACTGTAAAGCCTCAGCATGTCATGACCAGGCAACTGGGATGACACAGGCCTGTGAGATTTGCCACAGAAAGAGCTGCTGTTAGTGCTCCATACTTACATTTGACCTCCAGGCATTTTGACTCTCTTTCAAAAAAGGTGCACAGCAGACATTGCCAGGAAGCACGCCATATGGTCATGACCGATCTGGACTAATATAACTAAGTCATTGGGCATGCCACTGGCAATGACTGCTCTGTACCTTTTGCGGTACACCAGACAGAAAGCATGGGCATCCAAGTTGCTTCAACACAATCCCGATCCACAGATAGCCTGGCCAGACTTCATCCCGCCAGCTATGCTTCAAGTTAGGGGCGTGGACTCGTTTCTGTGACTCAAAGCTGACACTGTATGTGCCATTTCCTGCAGCGGCTTGTGTTCCGGCAGAGCAGCCTGACTGGCGAGCTAGGCACGTGGCTGCCCAAGCTGTCTACGCTGCGCATTGTGGATATGGGCAGCAACAAGTTTACAGGGCCCATCCCCGACGAACTTGGAACCTCCCTCAGCACGCTGCAAGTATTGTAAGCAGTCCCGCCGTTGAGGCTCTGGCAATTTTTCAAATCTTGAATCATACTGGACAAGGTCATTCTCGTGTTTGGTAAAATTGCACGCCCGAATGACAAACAGTTGCTATTCTTCTCCCTTAATGCGAAGTGGCTGCAGACAACGAAGTCGATCTCCGAGAAGAGATATTTTCTGGCTTCTACGGCGCATCTTTGCTGCAACCTAGCCTAGAAAGCCAGGGATCCGTCATTGCCCCTCTCGTGTGCTGACAGCTACCCCGCCCCATGTGTATATACAGCGACTGTTCGTTCTGCCAGCTGTCTGGCCCCATCCCCGCCAGCGTCGGCAGCTTAGGCAGCCTGCAGCTGCTGCAGTTGCCCCGCAACAACCTCACAGGGCCCATTCCTCCGGAGCTGGGCAAGCTGGGGAGTCTGCAGGGAATGTAAGTCATACCATGCGTACAGCAGTCACGTGACTCCCATGCTTGATGTGACAAAGAAAGAAGCTCGTGTGCCGCTTGCCAAGCACTTTGGGATAGCCCAACAAACGGTTTCTGGTGACGAGTCTGCCTTTAGGATTGAATCAGAGTGCGTGAGACCCCACTGAATCCTGTGGTAGATGATGAGAGCCATGGAGAGCCTGCCGAGGAACAAGACGCTCTCAGTCGGCTTGAGTCGATTCAGACCGGAATCAACGCTGATGTGGCGGCGTGCTGAGAGCCTATGCGCTTTGCTCTATTTCAGGAACTTGCAGAACAACAGCCTTACAGGACCGGTGCCGGAGTCGATTGCCGGCTTGACCAACTTGAACCAGCTGTAAGTGCCACCACCTTTGAGTGCACGATAGGAGGTGCTAGATGGCCCTCTTGTGCTCCGGTTTACCAGATCTGCCCCCTCGGAATAGCTCGACGAGACAGTGCTCCCAGATTGATCTGAGTGGGCCGGGGATTTTCAGAAGTCCAGATCTTTCACATGTAGATCTTCCCTCGTAAAAACTTTCCCGCATTCTATGATCAAACTTACCCGCCGTTGCAAGAAGTCGCTTCAGCAACTGACAATACTGGAGTAACGTAAACCAAGAAGGTCAGGTGTGCGTTCTGTCATCTCATATTACGGTTCCCTTCGCCTCAACACCAAGCGGACTTCGGTTCTCTCGCGTGTTCAGTGGTCCTTATTGCAGCCCCCTTGGTGTGCAGTGTTTTGGCGTACAACCAGCTGACCGGGGAGCTGCCAGGCGGCATCCTGACCAACGCGAACGCGCTCATGAGGTACGCCTCTCCTGCTTCTGACGAGCATCTCTGCAACCAAACCTGGTGCATCGGAGTGCCGTTGACGGTTTGGCCGGATCCTAGCTATTCGAAGCCAGGCTAATGTCAAAGATGGGCTCTTTGTGGACAACAAAGCGCTTCCTTGTCCGAACTCTTCAAGCTAGAGCCGATGACAGGGACAAGCTGACCCAATAACTGTCGTGCAGGTTCGACGGCAATCCTCTGTGCGACATCGCGGCCAACGCGCCGTTCTGCACGGGCGCTCCGCTGCCCTCCACGGGTGGCCCCGGGGGACCGGTCGGCGGGGGCCCCAACGGCCTGGGGACAGCACCAGGGCAGGTGCCCGGAGCAGCCGGGACGGCAGGGAACGCGACAGCAAACGCAACGGTCCCTGCAAATGCAACGGTAAGCGCGACGCCATGTTGCATAGCTGTGAGTGAGAAAATTGATCGCAGCGGATGGTGGCCTCATCTGAGCATATGCTAGTGGGACCTTCTGAGTTGTCGGCATGCGAGAGTAGTATGGCGTCAGAAGTCATTCTCAGCAGAGCGTCGGGTTTTTTTGTCAAGGTCTCGGGGCCAGGAGAAAGGGAGTCCGCTTTGGAGGTCGAGGCGAAAAAGTTCCTGCCAGTGTGAACACAACAGTACAATCGTTTGTGGCTGCATTGGAATGGGCAAGCCTGTCCATCGTAAGGACGCGCTCAAAACGCTTCCGGTACAAAGCTGCTTTCGTAGCCCTAAAGTTTCTTCTTCGTGCACAGACGCCGGCGGCTGCCCCCTCTGGTGCCGCTCAAACCCCCGCCGCTGGCCCCGCACCCGAGCCCGTTGCCGTAGCCCCAGTGCAAAACCCTGTTGCCACGACTAACGCAACCACTAACCAGAGCTCGCCCGCTAACCAAACCGGCGCTGCCAGCCTGACGGGGCCTGTCGGCGCCTCCGGGCCGACGACCGTGAACCAAGGTCAGCGACTTACGCAGTCTTAACGCGCGACACTTGGTCGCCTTCTCGTGCCTCTTCTTCACGAAGACATGGTAGACCGCCCGGGAGGGCGGCGGAGGCTTGCCTCTTAGAGCCGGGACTGGGCAGATTTTATAAAGGGCTCCTTAACGTGTGTAAGTGTGACCTGATGGACGAAGGTATGTGTGCAGGGGCCAGGCCGACTACTTGGCTCTGATTATCTTGTGTGAATTAGATTTCGGTTTCGTTCCGTACTATTTAAATGCTGAAGTCTGTGCGCGAGCGTGCGCGCAAGGGACACGGAAGCCGTACAGCGTCCTGTGGTCTGAACTGTTGGCAGTACGTACCAGAATTTCGGTCACTGTTCCCTCCGGGGACTTTGACCCATCCTTGCAAATCTTCAGCAGCAATACTGGATGAGTCTATCGCATATAAGGGTGATCTGAATTTTGATCTATGTGATCGTGGGCCGGGGTACGCCACAGTGTCAGGTGCTTGAATGAGGTACAAACCGAAACGTGGCAGCTTCACAGCCTTCGGCATGCAACGTGGCAGGCCTGTATTAAATCTATTCGGAGATCTCGAGGTCAAGCGTTACAATGTTTCGTTTTTGCGCGTCGGCACACTCGCGTCCGCGTTCGATTTCGTAGCAATAATCGGCGAAGGCGCGCGGGGCAGTCTAGGCTTGGTGGCGTTTGAGGTATGGATGTTTTGGGGGATTTTGCGTATGTTTTCGTATCGAACTCCGGGCAAGTGAAAAACAGCGGCAGACTCAGCTTCCTTATCTTCCGCAGAGCGGCGCCGTACAGCGTCGCAAGAACGCGGTTGACACGAAAGCAATAGTCCGCATATTTTACTGCGTAAAAGAGGCAAGCCAATATCCGAGTGGGAATCGCACCGAATACCTGTCAAGCTTGCTGACAAGACGCCCATGTTCAGTTGGTATTGAATGCCTCTTTGCGGTCACCATTTGCCGGCAGTCCACACTTCACCCATAGCCAAAGCAGAAGCGGTCAGATAACTTCACTTTGACGGCCGAAATTCGACATCCCGCAAGACGAGGTTCAGGACAACTCAAATCCTCACATGCTTCAAGCTGTTGCTTCTCCTAAATTACTGTCCCTCGTTCACTCCAGGCTCCAGCGGTGGCGGCTCCTCGGTGGGCCTCATCGTCGGGGTGGTGGTCGGCGCGGCCGGCTTCCTGCTGCTGGTGGCGCTCATTGCCGCGGCCATCGCCCGCAACCGCCGCGCGCGGCGCCAGTCCAAGGGCCTGCTGGGCGACGGGTACCACTCCAAAACCACCTCGACAAACGGTGAGAAGCAGAAACGTGCAGCGCAGCTTTTCCTTGTCGCATCTTGCCGCTTTGCTTCCGGAGAATTTCTTCGTTTGTCACGTGTGGTCAGGAGGCTCCCCAAAGACTGGTTTCGAATGGCCTTCTTTCTTCTTTTTGTGCCCTTGCAAGCTTACCCGGGCACCAGGACGTGATTGCTCAGAAATTGAAGACTTCAAAAGAGGTGCGAGGATGACTGAAGACGTTGTGATTCAAACGCCTTCTCTCAAGCGATGAAGGCCCCCTGTGACGTAAGTGGCAACTCCTTCTGACGTGCCGTTTCCCCCTTTGTGCAGGCTCTGACGCTGCCACCCGGTCCGTCAAGTCCCAAATTTTGCGCGCGCTCCACCTGGCCAGCCCCAAGACGCTGCCCGTCACCGGGCCGGGGGGCGCCGGTCCCACCTACTTCGCCCCCCCCGGCGCGGTGGAGGGCATGGAGGCGCCGCTGCTGTTCACGTTCCGCGAGCTGCAGGTCATTACGAACGGCTTCAGCGATGAGTTATTGATCGGCGAGGGGGGCTTCGGCAAGGTGTACCGGGCGGGGATCAAGGACCAGGCCGTCGCAATCAAGCGGCTCGAGAAGCAGGCCGCCTTCCCGGGGAAGCACGTAAGCGGGAACAAGAAACTTTTGCTCGCGGTTGGTACTATCAGTGGGTGATAATCCTAGGGAGAGCGACGCACATACAAGCTCCCATAAATCTCGATCGATGAACGCGCAGGCTTACAAGCTGTCTTTCGCTCGGTCCCCCATGGGAAGACCTTGTTCTGAGAAGACGGTTGCCCAGGTGACGAATGAATCCGCGTTTCGTGGGCGCTAATTTGTCTCTCTTTTTGTGTGCGCGCGCAGGGCGAGAAGCAGTTCCGCACGGAGGTGGACGTGCTGAGCCGCATCCGGCACCCCAACCTGCTGGGCCTCATCGGCTACTGCGCCGACGGCGGCGAGCGCGCGCTCGTGTACCCGCTCATGGCCAACCAGTCGCTGCACACACAGCTGCACGGTGAGGCGACCATTGTTCTGTTTGGAAAACCTACCCTATACCCTCTGTTCCGGCTGCAAACCATCTTCCAGATCGCGTTCTCGCCCGTCCCTCAACATGGGGATGACTGGCGTATGCAACATTAGCTCTTGATCTTTCAAATATTCCAACGCGTTGCTGAGATCGAACTGTAGGCGCCGATTAACTTTGGGCGCTGACTACACGGCCTGTTGAACGAAGCAGGTTCATTTCTTCAGTAGATTCTCTTGAAGCCTCTTTATGAAAAGGCCTCAGAAAGAAAAAGCAAGTCGGACTCGGATTTCAGGAGCCAGACTCCTGAAATCATTTTCAGGAGACTCGACGAGCCGAAAGCCCATGAAAAACCAAAGATTTGAATCTGGTTGCACAAGGTTTTGGTTCATTACGCCGACTCCGAAGCCGTGAGTCAGCTTCTGATCCCTTCTGAAATTGCCTCCGCAGAGCGGCGAGCGGCGCACACCCTGGGCAGCTGGCGCACGCGGCTGACGATCGCGGTCCAGAGCGCGCGCGCGCTCGCGTACCTGCACGACGAGGCGTCCCCGCCAGTGATCCACCGCGACTTCACTAGCAGCAACGTGCTGCTGGACGGCGACTGGACGGCCGTCGTGTCCGACTTCGGCCTGGCCAAGCTGCTGCCACAGGCCGGCGTGCCCAACGCCACGCAGTCCACGCGCCTGCACGGCACTCTGGGCTACCTCGCGCCAGAGTGAGTCGACGCGGCGGGGAGAAGCTCCTCAGGACTTTGTTTTGCTGGAGGTATCTTCCGGGGAACACGTCAAGCTTACGATCAGTTGGTTGAATGCAAACACTTACTTTGCGTCCATAAGAACCAATTTTCGGAAACTTGAGAGTTGTTCTTGTCGATGATTTTAACGTGTCGAGTCGGCTCCACGACTTCCTTTGCAAGAGGGAGAGCTCCTCTCCGTAGATTGAAAAGCTTCGCAACGTTGGCGCGTCCTTCGTCGCTGCACCGCCTACCGCGTTCAAACAACCGTGGCAAGCAAGCCTCTTGACAGCACTGCCGGCATTTGCTGACGTGGCCCCGCTCCGCAGGTACTTGCGTGGTCAGGTGACGGAGAAGAACGACGTGTACAGCTTTGGCGTGGTGTTGCTGGAGCTGCTGTCGGGGCGGCGCGCGCTGGTGAGCGAGCAGTTCGACCTGGTGCAGTGGGCCACCGCCATCATCCGGGGGCCGCCGCCCATCCTCGACAAAATCCTGGACCTCTCCATCAAGGTAAACTTTGCACTCCTTAACAATCATTTCTCCCCAGGTTCATGTAATTTCTCTGACAACTCGATCCGCAGTTCTGGCAGCCGCATGCTCCACTCTTGAGGAGTTTGCTGCGGGGTTCTTGAGCACTTGAACAGCTCTGTCTTTTCCTTGCTCTTGTAAGATTTTGGACCTCTCCATTAAAGTTAAACGAACAGGGGTTTTTGCGGTTTACCGTGGTTGGTTACGGGCTGGTTATGTGTTCTGTGACCAGACCCGAGCAGTAACAAGACTTGAAAAAATGGTGAGGGCCGGTCATTGGTCGACGCAAGGTCTCATTACCCAGCCTGATTGGCATTCCGATTCTGTCCGGTTTTGCGCGCACTCGTCAGCTTCGAGTCATAGTCACCCTCTTATCAGCTCTCGCGGCAGCTCAATTGCCCTCTTGAATCGTCCGCGTGCGCTTGATTCCAAGTTGAATATGTATTCCCTTTCGTTGTGTTTCCTTGCGTGACGATTGGAGAAGGCCCCGGTCAGATGGCAGATTTTCCAAGCAACTTTTGTGGACGGTGGTTTGTGAAAGTGCTGACTTGAGCACCCTGTTCGTAGACGAAATCCGAAATAGGACGTGTTGTATCTGAGGGGACGGGATTGCTCGTGGGTGATATTGTGAAGCGAATTGGTTCTATCGTCGACGTTCCAGTAGGCAAAGAACAATTTCCTTAAAGTCGTGTTGAGATTGGAGATGTTTTTGTCCCATATTGCTTACTTACAAAAAATTTTAGTCTCACAACGGTTCACTGAACCTTTTTTGTTTCTCACAAAAAAGTGTAGCAAAGCAAAAAAAAGACAGTGTTCTTGGCACACGCTCATCTTAATTCACTCGCTTTGTGTGCAGACGGACATTCCGCTGGCCGCGCTTCAAACTGCCATTCGCGTCGCCGCCAGCTGCGTAGAGACGGACCCCAAGCGCCGGCCCAGGATGGCGGACGTCGTGAGGACGCTGGGGGCCGCGCTCGAGGTACGGGGCTTGCCACATCGCCTCTCTTCTTGCTTCTTCTCATTTTCTTCTTGTGAATATTACAGTGGCAAGAAGAGGACTCGTCTTCCTTGGAACTCCAATGCGGGGGATTGCAAGAACATCTGAAACTAGAAGAAAAGCAAGTCAGGATTGACTCCCCTGAACCTGATGCTTTCGTGCCGCGGTTGCTACGGGACACCTTTGACGGCACCAATTATTGGTCAGCCAGTTTCGCTGACCGTCTCCCCCGCCCTTTCTCCGCAGGAGGCGTATGGGCCCGACGCAAACCCCGCGCGCGCGGACCGCGCGATGTCGGCTGTCGGCCCCGTGGCCGCGATCGCGGGCGTGCCTGAGGATGCGGCGGTGCATGATGATGACGCGCGCAGCACGGGCAGCTTCGATTATCGCCTCGCGGAGGGCACCGGCTCGCAGCCCTCAACAGGCAGCATCGACGTGTCCGGAGAGGAGCGCACCAGCGCGTGAGAGCGCGCGCGCGCCACGTGGTCATGTGACTAACTTAGGACGGGGGGATCATTCTCCAGCGCAAACGTTGAAAGGTAGTGTTGCTTGCAGAGAGATGGCAATGGCGGGGCAATGGCGAGGGATTGTTGGAATAAGGAAGCATGGGTCTGGGAAAGAAGAAAGGGACGAGGTCTGGCGAGCGAGAAGAGGAGGTTGCTCTAGGACAGCTATGCTTGCATACCTTGCAGTTAGGACTGCTATGACCAACTCTCACCGTAAGGTAGATCTTGACTCCTAACGCCGTTAATTGGGAGATTTGGCCTGCGAGGCAGGTTATAGTTTGGACGCTGGAGGGGCAAGGATGAGCTTCGACTTTGAAGAATGTCGTTCTTGTTCCTTCGGTTAGGATCGGGGCTTGGTGGGCAGATTAACTTTGTAGGTAGATGAACGGTAATCGTTTGACCAAGGATCAACAATGTATATTAGTTTAGGTGTCCAAAACTGAGCCGCGGGGGTACAGCAGCCAGTAAAGATTCGAGCGACAGGGCGACACGTAGACAGGGCACGGAGCTTGTTCCTGCCCCGTGTATTATAAGACAGTACATAGCTCGAAACGATTAAGAAAGTTGGGGCGTGCCCCGATTTGACGGTATGGGCGCACCGTCATTGTACCATCCTCTGACCAAGCCTTGTTGATCTAGTTCTCTTCAAAGGATTGTGCTGGTTCCTGTCATTTCATGCTGCATATGACTACGGATCGACGCTTTTCTTTAAGATATGCAGCTGTGTTTGATCCCAGATTTGCTACGTGAGGTGACTGCACTATATGTTACCTATTCTGCATGGACGATGATAAATTTTATATAGCGAGCAACCAACATGGAGCACGATTCGGATGGTAAATCAAATCTTGTTTCGAGAGAACTGTAAGAAGGCGGCTGTATGCTTTCGCTAGAACATACAAAGAGACCATGAGCATAGGTACTGGACTCATGCAATATTCCAAACGCTGTCATGGAGTAAGGTGCCACTGCAAAAGCATGTTAGGCCAAGACGAAGCATGCCGCGGCGTGGCGCTTTCATGGCAGTTTGTCCTTGAGGGTGGATCTGATCCCGGCCCTTCGAAATAATGCAGAGAGTTGCCAGCAAAATATCCAGGACAGTTACAAAAGCAGGGAACTTCGGATTGGAAAACGACAACAACGTCGTTTGCAACTTTCTTCAGACTGCAAATTCATATCGGACCTTAGTCCTGCGGCTAGTCTGGTTCAAGCTGGATCTTTGGCGACCGCATGACTAACTCCTAAGTCGACGTTCTATTACCTTACTGGTCCGAGCTACTCAGGCTAGAAGCGGTTCGTCCCTGGGCCCCCTTAATCTGGCCGCTACCAGACGGCACCCCGCCGCAGCGGCCTTGCCCACCTGCCTCACGACCGTCCACACGAGACACGCGCCAAGGTACGCGAAGAAGGCACCCAGTGCTAGGACTGCCCACGTTTTCACAAAGCCGCAGACGAACAGGCCAGCAAAGATACCCATTGGATCCGGCCTGCCTTGCAGCGTGGCCTCAAGCGGGGGCCACACGAAGATCCCTGCCCAAAACAGCTGGATAGTCATCCACTTGGCGTCGGTGGACATGAAGGCGAACACTCCCCAGACAAACAGGTAGTCGAGCAGCACGGCCAGGCAGAGGATGAGGTCCGCGAGCTGGAAAAAAGCAACTGCCCTATCCAACTCCTGGAGAGCTCTTTGGAACCGATACGCGGACTGAACTTCCTCTTCCACAAGGGCCAGGAAGGCGTCGTCAAAAGCTTCGTCTCTTTCCGTTCCGCCCTCTGCCCCTTCCGTTTGCAGCGGAGCCCCTCCGCGGTACCGCATGCGCACGAGCCTCACCCGGGCGCCCCGCTCCGAAGCGCACAGCTCTTTGAGTTTGGAGAGAACCTGCTGAAATCCGCCCGCGCTTTTGGAGTAAAAGGCTGGCCGCAAGTGGATTGCGACCTCCGAGACATGTTCGTTCCGGTCTAAGAACAGCGCAACGGACTCGAGGTCCGTCACAGACAGCGGAAAGTCGAGCTCTAGAGTGTGAAGGCCCGTGCTCCTCTGCAGCTCTGCGCAACCCAAAATGGCCCGCGCCATGTCCGGCTTCTCGAACGGAAAGTGCTGTTCGAAGACCACGCAGCCGATACCGCAATCCCCGATCAAACCGCAGAGGAAGCGGAATCGATCCCCCTTCAGCAGGCAGTTCCGGAAGACCAAGCGGAGCTTGTCGGGCGACTCTTGGAGATATTGCCGCAGCTCTTCGAGGAGTGGGGGCTTGGCTTCTTCTAGAAGCTCGAAGACTACAGTCTCACTGACGACTTTGGCCGTTGCACCTCTCATGCCCGACGCAGACCTGCCTGAGATCGCTTCCACCTTTTCTCTGAGCTCGACTAGCGAAAAGATTTTGTCGACGAACATTTGGTAGGCAGCTTTTGAACCCTCAAACTCAGGCGCCGTGGAAGCAGCCACACGCTCCAGCTTGGATTCAATCGCTTCGTATTCAGGGGCTGCGTCTTGGCCTTGCGCATAAGAGTTGAAGCGGCTCAGGCATTCCGGCCTCCAGGGATGGACTCCGGTCACTAACAGGTTCACGTGCAGCGAGCAGTCGAGGGCCAGGCTGCGGATGACGTCAAGCACAGGGTGGTTGGAGACAAAGCCAGGGTCGCTTTCTCCGTCCATCTTTAGGTCCACGTGATACCCTCAGGCCGCTGAAAGAGCGATGATGCAGGCTGCCAGGAAGTTTGGGTACAAGTTCACTGCTCCAGAGACGTCAAGGCAGACTGCCCGCTTTGATGACCCCTTGCCTGCAGGCTGCTTTACGCCTCGGAGGCGGGCCAGCACCTTCCTTGCGAAAGCAGCAGGACTGTGGGCCAGCTTTGGGCAGGCCAGAAGGAGATTCCATGCTGCTGTAGCTATTCTCGGGATGCGGTTGTATTGCTCAAAGAACCAGAGGGAGCACGTCTCCTCAGCAAACTTAAGTCGGCCCCACTCCTCAGGCACTGCCGTGTAATGGACCCTAAGCGGCACTATCAGGCCGAGATTGAGAAAGGTCTTGGCAAATGAACCTGAAGCTCGCGACTCTGCCCTTCCGATCTCGCTGGAATATTCCACTTTGTGTTCCAAATAGCTTGTGGTGACGTCAGCCAGGGTCGCGGCCATGCGTCTGATCTGCGGTGCAGCTGCCTGCATGCCTGGGTCAATCCGGCCCAGCAGACACAAGATCTGCTCTTCCGTGCATTCAAAAACATCATGTCACCGAGCTCGATGTCCCGCCACAGCTCCGGCACCCTCAGCGTGTCCCGATGGGCTTTGTTCAACAGCTCCAGCGGCAACCGGTCCTTGAGATCAACTTTCTGCAGTATGATGCGGAGGACGTCAAGGGGGAGGGCACAGAACGCCCCTGCTTCGCCTGCACGAGTTGATTGGGCGTGACCTTGCGCCATCTCTGCCAAGTAAGCAGCCAGATCAAGTCCTTTGCGGGCCGCCTTGTGTACGACAGTGTTTTGTCTGGGCGCGCAGGTCTCGCGCCGCGCCCAAGCGGCAGTGGATACTCAGCAAATTTCAAACCCTGGGGCAGGGTTTAAGTCCTGCCGCCGCTTGCAAACCCCCGCGCGCGATGGCAGCGAAGTCCGATCATGAACTTCATTCGGCCAGCTGCGTGCCAGTCTCGGGTCGCAACTCGCGCGTACAGCTTTCTCAGAAACTTTCTGGCTGCTGATGCTGATCAGGGCCAAGAGCCAAACCTCCAAGCGCCACACCGGAGTCAGCATCTCCTGGCCTATGAAGGCTGATGGCGCATCAGTGTGCAAAAATGTGACAGGACAAACCAGGACAGACTCGAGGCAAAGGTGAAAGTGGGCTCTTTCAAGGATAAGTCCATCTCATGATGAATGCAGGCTTTCTCAAAACAAAGGAACATCATGATGAAAACGTCACGAAAACGTCTCTGCTAGCTGAGTGACACCATGAGAGGAAGTGACATGCCTGCGCCAAAACAGATGGACAGCGGGCTGCACGTGATGATAAAAGCGACTCTTTCAGCACCACGAATTCAGGGAACTTGGAGAACAGGTTGAAGTCCCGTTTCATGCACGCTCTGTGGGACAGTTATCATGTAAGGAAGCACGCATGCATATTTGACTCTCTCTAGGCAAGTCCTCACGCAAGTCCCCACTATGCGTTCAAATCCTCTGATCTCGCCGAGGGTATCCTGTGCGTTTTGAGGATGGAGGGAGTGGCGGCTTTGGCCGCGGCCGTCTCGAGCACCATGACCTGGTCGTACTCGAGGTCGAAGCGCAGGAAGGGCGCCGTCGCGGCCTCGACCATGGCGGCCAGGTGCTTCAGATTGTTGACGCGCGTGCCGTTGAAGCGCAGCACCTGCGTGTTCACGATTTCCTCGTATCCGATGTTGATGTCCGCTACCAGCACCTGGGGAACACGGACGGCAATCAAAGCGTAAGCGTCTACTGGATACAGTGTTGGCACCACAAAGACACAAAGAGCAGCGAGCTTCGACAATATTCCACGACCAGGAGGTGTTATTAGTGCGTCGATACGTCGCGAGAAGCGAGAGGGCACGGCTCAATTCATGCGATCAGCACGTCGTTAAAGATTGGATTGAGTCTTTCGTCAGCAGAGAGAAAGGGGAGCCTTGGCCTTAACAGCTCGCACCAATCCCACGAGACGTGCTGCTTCCCTTAACCAGACTCAACGGGTTGCCCGACCTCTTGTAAACTGCCGTTCTCTCAACATCCGAACATGGCGGGGATACGGCAGGCATTCGGGTCTTGGAAAAGCCCTCCTCGATCCATCCGTAAACTTCAAAGAATTCCGGGAACAATACCAGATTCAGACAACACGCATTTCAAGCTCCAAGACAAATGGCTGGCAGCTTTGTGACCGGCTTGACTGCCGGTCACAAATCTGCTGCACACGGTGTGCGATGCTGACCTGCGAGACGACGACGACCTGCTGGTCGGGCGCGTCGGCCATGACGTGCATCATCTTGTCCAGCAGCTTCACGGGCGCGTCGAACTCGAAGTTCTTGCCGTACTCGGACGCCAGGTACGGCACCGACACCGGTGTGAACACCAGGCCTGCGGAGCAGTGTAAAGCCTTCTTTTTTCCGAAGCAAGTGTGGAGGGAAAGGCGACAAAAGCTGTGGGCATTTCTGGGGCGACAACTGCGAACTGAATGGAGCAATGCCGTTCGAAGGAACCCAGAATCGCTCAAAAAAGCGGCCCTCTTCCTCAATGGCGGCGACACACCACAAGCTTCGTATCGAGCTCTGTTGGCAGCTTGAAGTCCTCGGCTTTGCGCGATCCTCCTTAGAAGCCCGCTTTGACCACCGTCTTGTTTATTCCAAAAGCAACGCCACACTTCCTACTCCCCTTCTCTCTCAGCACCACAACACTCTCCCCCGCGTCTCACCTGCGACGATGTAGTAGCTGGGCGGCTTCCCCCCGGTGTGAACTGGCACCAGCCGGTTGTGGCTGCCCAGCTTGACCTGCACCTGGTGCTCGCGCCCCTCGCGCAGGATGGTCAGCCGCGCCGTCTCGCCCGTGTACCGCTGTGACACCAGGTACGAGAACGCGATGCGCTCGCCGCGCCGGAACGGGACGGTGCCGTCGTTGGCCACGTCAACGCCGTCGAAACTGCGGAGCAAACACGGGCGCTGGAGCGAGAATCCGAAAGAAAAGCTTTCTTAAAGTTCGCTATCTGATTCGACGTACCTTTGCGCAGAAGGTAACTGTCGTGTGTCAGCAAACGAGATCGGTAAAGCAGACTCGCTTGATGATTACACCAACGGATCAACAAACGCAAATTGCACCCTTCCTCCTCCGATCGACTCCGTTCATGCTGCTATCTACCTACTCAGACACTTGTAGTCGGACCTTGACTGGAATTCTTACCTGAGCAGAATGTCCGATGCCTGGAGCTGCTCGGCCGAGGGTGCCGTGGGCTCAACTCGGCGGACTCGAACACCCTTCTGATGATCCTGCAGTACACAAGAGATGGCACATTCAGACTCAGGGAGCGGGATTGACAACAGACAAGAGCTGACGATGCAATGTACAACCACCATGTGAGATATGTGGAAACACAGAGACTATCGGCAAGAAGAAAGGTCACGCAATACATTCTGAAATATGGACCAAGCACAGGCTGTAACGATCCGATCGGTTTATCCCTCAAAAGTTCAGAAACACTGCTTTCAGCAAACAAGAACCTTCAAGCCCTCGTTTGCGACCTCAGGCGAAAAGTGAGGTGCACGACGAGCCCGGCAGAGCAGATGAGAGCGGTTCAAGTGACTATATTGAAGTATTGAACGTTTCGAAAATGAGCTTTCGGTTGGTTTGATGTGTCTCACCGTCATCCCCAGGGCTTTTCGCAGCTGCGGGTTCTCCATCTTCTGCCACTCAATCCCCAGGATGGGGAACCCGGTGTAGCCCCCCGTGCGCTCAAAGTCGGTGATGAAGTGGTTGATCACGGGCGTCGGGATCACATACCCGATGTTCTCTGCGTCCTCGTTTTTCAGCGACTGGAATGCGATGCCCACGCAGTTCCCCGACTCATTAAATGCGGGCCCCCCGGAGTTGCCAGCATTGATTGCCGCATCGATTTGCACGCCTAGCAGCTCGCTGCTCCCATGGGCGTACGACGTGACCTCAATCCGCGAGACGACCCCGCTCGTCACGGAGATGGTGTCGCCCCCAATCGGATACCCAACGACAGTCACAGAGTCCTGGCGGCGAGGTAGTCTAGAATCAGGTGAAGCACTTGAAAGTAATTGATGCATATACTGCTGTGATCGGCCAAAGCCTATTGCAGAACGTACAGATGGAATCTGAGAGTCAGATTATGAAATCCAGTCGAAAATGGACCATCTCAAGGCACCCTTTTGCCAATACATGCTGATGTTTGCGAAGAACCTCTACATGTGTGGACAGGAGAGATCAATCAGGAGGAACAGCAAGAAGTTTGCAAAAGTAGCATACCAACCGCAAGCAGCAAAAGCTGAACGGGCGAGGCCTGGACTGACCTGCAACCGGGGGAGGCTTCCAAACTCGAGCGGCGTCACCCCTTCCCAGAAATCGTCGTCCTCCACCGTGAGCATGGCAATGTCGCACTCGGTCCCAATCGCCAGAACGGTGGCCAGAAACTTGGTGTCGGAGCCCCGCTTTTTGACTTTGACCTGGACCACAACAGGACAACATTAAAGTGTTCTAGAAATAGGTGGAATTGAGATACAAGTATTGGCATAAAGGTCTTGCCGAAGGAGACCTTCGGCACCGGATCAGGGTAGGTTTGCCGACCATGGAGTCAAAGCCCTAACTGAAGTTGGCATAGAGTTGTCTTCGCGTCCGCAGAAAGTCCTTGCTGTGTATTGGCGGCCCACAAGCAGCAAGCAGAGAACCGATAGCACACAGCCCGTCAATCGGACTTTCCCACCAGTCAGAAACTACGTCTCTAGGGATTTCGCATCCAGCGCAAGCCGACAAGCAAAGGACGAGCCTTTCTAATCCCGATTATCACGTCCCTAGCATCTCCCCCTCACCTGTGTGTGATGCTCGACACTGTGAGCGTTGGTTAGCACGCGCCGCCCTCCGATGATGAAACCGCTCGAGTTGGAGCTGAACTGGCGCTTGCGTTGCCATGGAAGCGAGTAATTGGGCTCTGTATGAGTGCAGAACACCTTCACCACCGCGTCCATGAACGGCGCATCCTCTTCCTCCAAGCCGCCATCGTCATGGCCCTGAACTTGGGCGGGTGGTGGTGATCGGCGGCTGCGGCCAGTCTTCCGCTGCGGAGTTTCTCGGGGTGGCAACTCATAGCCTGGGACAAAGAGAGAGTCAAACAAAGTATGAATGATGACCAAAGCGCGGCATTGAAAGGCAGAACTGATCCCTATGCTCCAGAAGCAAAGCAGCAGTGCACACAAAGGGTTTATCTTCTAATTGCAACTTTTCTACTTCCGACACAACCACCACCACCACCACCATTACCAAAACCAGATTTTACAGTCCCCAGAGCAGATAGTAATCATCAGAAATGCACCTGGCGCTGGCAAACCCTTGTCCGCCCGGCGACCCCTGGTGCCTGGCCCTCCCCCAGTGGCGCCGCTTCTGCCTTTCCGCCCGTCTTGGTCTTTCCTCACACCGCCTTTATTGTTCTTGCGTGCCGGTCCAACCGGAACGTCATCGGAGCTGGTCTCTGCATGCTGCCCGCTGGCGCCAGGTTTATTGTCATTGACCGCTGCTTTCCCGGCCCGCCTGCGCAAGGAAGGTGGCGTGGCAGTGTCCACTATGTCCTCCTCAACGTTTGGGGCAGGTTCGGTCACATGCATGCGCTCTGGTTCTGGAAGCACCTCCCGTTCAAGGACTATTTCAGGGCCGTCCAAGGAAGGGAGGCCAGCTAGAGCAGCATCTTCGCCCGCCGGATTCAATTTTGCCTTCTTCCGACCACGCGTTTCCCTGCTGGCCATCGCAGAAGGCGGTCTTGACGCCTGAGGAGAAGCTGAGTGCGCAAATGGGCGTTCTTGTGCGCCCAAAGACAATGTCAGCTCACAACTGCATACCGTGACGCTGACCTATTTTGCTGAGGCGTAATAAAGTCCTAAAGTCCTATAATAATATCATGCAGCTAGCTCATTGCAGGCATTTTAGCCTCGAGCCGACGGACGTGCTGTCGGGGCCCTGGGCCGACCGTACGCGACGAGCGCCGCCGCCCGCTCGCGCGGCCGCCGTCGCTCGACATGATCAAATTGCAATGCCGCGGCCAGTGGCCGCGCAGCGTGGACCAAATACGCAGCTGCGAAGCAGGCATGCAGTGAGATGGCGTCGGACTGAAGCGTGAAAGATACCCGTTAAGGATCAAGGCATGGCATTGAAAACTTTGAAAATGGTGTAAGTTCACTAAAGCATACTTTCCTAAATAATATTCAAGACGAAAACGTCCAAGTGTTATCCTGACAAAAGTTGGCGTAACGACTGTAACGAGTCAGTCCTCTAGTCTGAATGCCACGTCAAGGTTGCATCTGGAAAACAAGGTATCCGGCTTGTCCCTGGCTGCTTGATGAGTGTGCAACTGTATTCAAACCGTATATTGCGCACCTTAGAAACATCGATGATATTTCTATGCAGTATCAGCTAATACAAGGTTCTAACAGACACCAACGCTACAATCCGTTCATTTTGCTTCGACGTCCCTTCGTGTGCAACTACTGCGACGAAGCCTTTTCATTGACAACGACGAACCATGCTAGTACGTACAGGCGCTACAGTTGGTGCCTCCAATCCATCCTGTCAAAAAGCCGCTCGAGATGACACCATTTGCACAGCTCACACCGTCATGAAACTCCAACCAAGCCCGCTCAATGTCAAAAATTTCCGAAAAGCATACCTCATTTTCAGTATCGCTTCTACGCTTGCTTCCGGCATCTTTTATTGAGAACAGGAAATTTGAAAGGACTTCTGATCTCACATGATTCAAGAATTAGCTACTTGACTTGGCTATTTTAGCGTCTTGCGTCCTTGAACTTCTTCTCTTCCTCCTGACGCATGAAAATCTTACAGCGGAAGCTTGCAATGAAGCGAGGGCTGCCAAATCCTATGCAAGCATCTGATTGAGCTTGAGAATGTGATCGTCAAGATCGTTGCATATCCTGCAAGAGCAACAAATTTTGATCAGTCCGTATGGATACACCAAAATGCCACACAGAAATGAGATTCTTGACTCACGTAGCTCACTGCTCAACAATCGTTTAGCTTTCGACAAAAGGATGGCATGCAACAGCGCGCGACAGTAACTTCCCAGCTTTCGAGATGCTCACCGTCGCTTTTCATCTCTTTCTTGGGTCGCCGCGTACAATTGAGCCTCCACCCTCTGGCTCTCTTCAGAAGCAGAGTTCAAGTCCGACTTTCTACTCTTCAGTTTGCTCTCCAGGTCTTTTGCTTCTTTGAGGTGTCGAAGTTTTGTCTCCTTCAGCTTCTGTTCAAGTTCGTCCGATGATGCCTCAGTGTCTCCGACCTGTTTCACAACTTCCTTCTGTCTTCGCTCGAGATCTGCACGTCAAGAAAGGTCTATTAGGTCCGTACGAAGGAGTTCAAGCTTTGAACACCTAGATAGTAAGAATGACCTCTACTAAACGTGATCGTTCTATTGCAAACTCGTCTTTCAGGCCAGCACACTTGTTCAATCGATCGCTCGAAGCATCGAAGATCTCAACCAGGCGTATGTATCGCCACCGCTTGTGGATTTTCAATTGCAGAGTACGTCGATTGATGTGCAAGGCATGTTCGCAGAGCGCACGTACCTTCAATCGCTCTATTCAGCTCCTTCTCCTTTCCATCGAGGTTGTCAATGACGGTGACAGTTTGGGACCGCTGGTGGTCTAGCTCGTTCTGTAGCTGTACAACAAGATCGTAACCTGTAGATTAGTTTGAAAGAAAGCCAAATCGATGATGGAACTCATTTCGACAATCCACAAAACTAGACAAAGAGGGGCTGCGCCATTTGGCGCACAACATAGTCCATGTCTTTGCGGTCATGATATGCTCCAGAAGTGCATACGAATTCACTTGCCGTCGACTTGTCGTTCACAACACTTACTGCTTGCAGCTTGCGTGATAGTTCGTCGATGATCGTCTGCTGTTTCACTTGCGTATCAGCAATCAACTTCTCGTGGTGCTGTATCTGCTCTATCTGCTCCCTGTAGACCGCCGATGTCTCTCCTTCTTTCGTCTCGAGATTCTCATGAATCGTCTGGAGCTCTCTGTAAGGATTTGCAAGATTTCAAGTGTTCTGGTCGACTTACATAGACCTTTTCAAAGCTCAAAGATTGGTTGAATGGAACACATGAGGCAACCGCAACAGCGTGGCTTTTCTGGGTGTTTATTTGGCGGGGTACAAAGTAATCAAGACAGTGCAAGCTCGGCGAACCGAAGACCTTTCGAAAACGCTCACTTGATCTCGTCCCTTTGCTTTTCCAAGTTCTGACGAAGGCTGCTGGTCTCTCGTCGTGTAAGCAGCAGACGACGTTCTTGATGCTTTGATTCCTCAATCTGCAATAAGCACCGCTGCTGGACTTCGTCCCTTTGCTCCTGGAGCTGAACCAGAAGCTGAGCCTTGGAGTCCTGGAGCTGCACTTCCACCTGGCAATGCAGCGCATCGCCGAAAGTCATGGACGGTCTTGAAACAGCTCCCCAAGGGCGACGATTTTCTTGTGAGATAGAGTACTCAGCAAAGGCGATCTTTCAAAATGAGATTGCTCCGCGTGCTTCAGAATGCCAATAGTGGCAAGGTCTTCAGTAGACCTCCTCACCTGCAACCGCGTTTTCTGCTCCTCTAGCGTCCTTGCCATCTGCAACAGCCTTAAATGGAAGCTTGATTGGACCTCCATCTCAACGGACACAAGTTTCCACCTTGGCAAAGAGCCTGATACTCACAAGCAAGCTCAAGCTACTGAAAGCTCTCCAACTATGTCATACCTCCTTACTTCCAATTCCTGATATTCGTGCTTTCTTTTTAAGGTCACGAGCTAATTAGTCCTGTAGCATACAAGCTGAAGTCAGGTTTCATAGATGGGGGAGCTGTGCCAAAACTCCGGGGAATTGACGGCATTGTTCAACTTATCAATATGATCAGTTCTCTTGTGCGCTGTGTTCAATCTGCAACCTTTCTCAGCAGAAAGTGAATGCTTCTTGTTGAAACATCGGTGGTCAGCATGCACAGCGGATCACGTGAGACGTCGTCTTCGTCATACGAATCTAGGATACTCGACACCTAGTATCTAGAAGAAAGTCCCCGACGCATTGCCTTAAGAGAAAGACCTGGCCTACAAACACGATCATCTGTGCACCCAAACCACCATACCTATCCCACCCGTTCTGGGAGCGTGTCCTAGAAGTAAGTTTAACATGAGGTCCTCAAAAGCGCGCAAACAAACGTTGCTTTCATACTCTGGCCTTACGACTACAAAATGTACGCTTTTACTGATGATGCAAACGCTGAATCACCTTCAATGAACAAAAGAAGAACCAGGTTCCAGAAATTTTGACAACTTTCTTGTCTCCGAAGGGGCCTGTCTGGGCCTGTCTCCTAAGGTGCACAGCCCGCATGGGACGCGTAGGATTTATTTGGTGGTTATTATAGAGAGTCACCGCTTTTTACAAAAGTGCTTCAAGATCGCGCCACTAAGTTCAGGTTATATCGCGATGTCACCAACACAACGTGACGAAATGTCTCTTCAATTTAGGTAAAGTAAGCTCGAGGTATAGTAAGCTCCCAGCCTAACACTGAAAACCTAACCCTTGAAATCACCCGCTCCGCACCCGAACCCACCCTATCCCCCAAACTAACCCCACCCGTCCCAGGCTGCTTGGCTTACTTTACCTGAAGCTTACTTTACCTAAATTGAAGTCTTATCGTGACGAATGCCTGCAGCCTAGACCGAGGTGTAAAGCTAGAGCCAGAATCAAAGTCGGCTAGCTCGTTATGATTGGCCCGGAAGATCCTGATGTCATATCATATACTATGTTCGGCCATTGTCACCATGGGAATTTTGTGCTCAGATACAAGTCACGGCGCGAGTGCACAGCTCAGTGCCAACTCAATAACGTTGAGCACAAATGAAAATGTGGTTTGCCGCGTGTATGATCAAAATCTTGTAGATTCTTACATGTCTGGCATGCGCACAACTCTCAGCCTCCGCGGCCGCTAGACAGCAGGCCCAGATCATGCACCTAGTGCAAGATTCAGCGAAGGTGTACACGCATTTTATACGCCTAGCTAAAGCTCTTTGCGCTTCTTTATAATGCGGTCACGCGAACACAATACATGCTGGTTTAGAGCTCAGATCCATCACGCCTGAGAGATCGAGCGTCCAATCAACTTTCAACCTGGCCACACAGAGGTCTGTGTGAAAAAGTTTTCAGTCGTCATAACGTGAGCCACTGTACGTGGATCAATGTGGCGTCCATCATTACTCGCTGATGCACTAAATAGCAGGCTGATCGAAACGGATGGCTTGCGCCGCGCACTACGCATGAAGGACAATAGTCCGGCTACAACATCCATGCAGGATGCACGACGGAGCTGGCGGCTCCTGCCAATCACATGCTCCATGGCTATACCCGCAATCGAGAACATATTGGGCTGCGAAGTCCTTTTACTTCCGATCGGCCTGATCCTTAACTTACTCGCATCGAGTATTTCACCTCGACCCGAGCCTACTCTGTGCCTGCACCTAGTTTCTCTCAGGAGCCTTCTGAGGATCCGAGAACGAGTGCTTTAAGAGAGGCAAGCTGGCTGTTTAAGCTCTCTTCTTTCTGGCCCATCAACTTAGTGTCGTCACCTTCGGAGGCAGAGGCTGCTGTCGCTGCGAGAAGATCAACAGTGGCTCGATGGTACTCGTTGAGAGTGGCAAACGACGCGGGGGGGAGCTCATCCTGTGGGGGACGAAAGGGGGCACACTGATCAACTTTCTGAGCAAGAGGCTCCTATCAACAAAGGTTTGCCTCAATGAGCGCTGCGGTAATGCAAAGCTGCAGATCACTTACGAAGGGCCAGAAATGCTCCTACACGCCGGACTGCCATAACAGACCTCCATCCACGATCTTAGAGTCACCTGCGAAAACCTTTAAGCACTTTGCATGTCCTGGCTTTGACTCCATACCACTTTGTTTACTCAGCAGGACAACCACGACGTGCATGAGCTCAACGTCCTAGCGCTTCGTGCTTCTAAGCATAAGCAACCTGAGAAAGTCGAAGCGTGTGAAGCAAAGGCGCACGGCCTCACCTTTAGCCTGGCAATGGCTGCTGCCATGGCCCGCCCTGGCGCTTGCAGGGCACGACTGAGGACCTGGGCGTACAAAGCGGCCACCACCAGGGGCAGCGATGCAACAGCGCTGTTCTCCGCCTCCAGTTGAGCGACGAGGGTCTGCCAAAAGGATATCGAAATTCATCAACGTCAGACTGCGTACCCAAACTGCCAACCAGGGGACAGCGTATCCATTTTGCTGCTGCTGGATAGTTCAAGGGGCCTAAGTGAGGCCTCTGCTTTTGAATGAGCCGAACGTCCACAAGGAAACGTGCAAAAACAGCGGTTGCTTGTCCCCTTCTGTGGATCACGTTCGGCATCATAACAATCGAACTTCCTCGTCGTGAAAGGTCTGTAATCAGCCCGGACAACAGACAGGCGTGTCCGCTTTCAGTAACCGGGAAAGAACGTTCCATCAGGAGTAGACAATAAGCGAACCAGTCAGTCCCCGCAGGCAGTCACCTTTCTGTGCGCGTGCAGGAGGGAGCGCTCGAGCTTCTTGTCCAGCTTTTTCAGCCGCACGCCGCATGCCTCCGCCGTGTGGTCCAGCGCCTCCTGGAACGCCGCCACGTCCTTGCCGTCTAACGCTGCCAGCATGGCTCTCGCCCGCTCGGCCACGCCTTTTGGCAGAGCCCGCACCGCCGATGCGCGCTCCGCTGCTGACAGAGGCCCTGTTGACGCGCAGAGAAAACGAGCAGGTGATTGTGTGAGATTATTAGTTGGATGCAGTGGAGGATGATCAACGACCTCGAGTTACGACATCTAAAACGGGTTTGCGAAGGTCCAGCTGATGCATGAAAGCACGTAAATAACAATAAGAGGAGCCGCCGGGGAAGCAAGCAGAATTTTCAAAGGCAGCGACAAAAAAAGCAATCGGCTAGAAGAACTTGATATCTTTAATCACAGCGTAGTCATCGAAGAACATCTACATCATGGTCCAGCCAGAATGACGAGGGCTCCCTGCTCTGCCCGCCCCAACTCCTCACCTGCGGTCGGCTCCCGCTCTTCCCCATCCTCCGCTTCCGCCTCCCTCTCGCTCATCAGCAGCGCGTCCGTCGCCTCTGTCGCGGTGGTCCTCAGCAGATGTCTCTGCAGCAGCGGACCCGTGGCGGCGTCCTCTTCAAACAGCTCCAGCGCCTTTGCAAATAGCTGCAGCCGCAAGTTGGCTTCCTCCAGCTTCTGCAGCAGCGCGTCCCGCCGCTTGCGCCGCTCCTCTGCGCCCGCCGTGAAGGCGGCCTTCTTGGCGGCCACGAATGTCGCCAGCACCGTGGGCCGCAGCCGCCGCACGAGCGCGCGCGCCAGCTTGTTGCTGTCGTCAGACGTGCCTATATGAGAGGGGAGTGAAAGTTACGTCAGTCCAGGAGCCACAGCAAGAGGGTGGTCCATGACTTTATCAAGTGGCTGCAGGCTTGTTGACAACCAATAAGGGTCCTTGTGGTTGGGAGGAGCGGAAGTGAGTGACGATAGGCCGCCAGGCAAGCCCGCGCACCACTTCACCTTACGAACTACCACACCGTTGTTTGTGCTAACGAACGTGGGGCGGTAAGCTGTCACGACAAATCTACAATCGCCTCTAGGGATTCGCAAAGACATGGATGCAGCTGGCGACCTTGTCGAGAACCGTACGACATTCCGAAGCTACATAGGAAGCCCCTCCTACTCTTACCTGCCCCGGCACCCTCTAGATCCGGGTACCACTCCAGCAAGCAGTCCTCCATCTCCGTGTCCGTGGGTGCCCCCCGTGTCTCATTCTCCTCAGCGGCAGGCTCCGTGCTAGCGGCGCCGCCTTTCCCCGCCTTGTTCCGTCTCCCTTTCTTCGCTCCCTTGCCGCCCCTCGTCTCCTCCTCCTCTTCATCCACCTCTGCACTCTTCGAGGGGGCCCCTCTCCTGCCTTTTTTGCCCCCCCGTTTCGTCCTACCCCCTTCGTCCTCGCTGTCGTCATTCCCGGCAGCCGAAGTGCTTGCCTGGCTGTTCCGCTCCGCCGTTGCCGCGTTCGCGGCCTTCGACGGCTTCTTCGCGAGCAAGACAGCCGCGGCCTTGGTGCGAGCTAGAGTGTCGAACTTTTCGATGCAGTCCTTGAGCAAGGACTCCGCCACCAGACACGTGTCCAGCACCAGGACCGCCGACTTGGTCTGCAGACGTAATCCTCAGGCGTCAAATTTGTGTTGCGACGTGCACGCTGCAACATAGATAACCAACTTCCTATCTTAGAAAAGACCATTCTTGTGCCAGAGGGTACTACGGTTGCAGGAAACGTTCTGAGGTAAACGGAAGCGGAACTACAGACGGGCTTGCAAGTGGTATTGGAAAGCAGGAGGCTCGACAACCACCAGTCAGCTGGCAAAGGATCGACAGCAAGATCGTCTCCAACATGGTCCAAATTTCGCTGTGCTCAAACGGGCACTGTCTCAGGTGTCCCCTGAGCTCCCTGCAGGGAAGAATGGACTGGGGCCCTCACCTTGGTGGCCTTTTCTACGGAGGGGCACTGCGCCAGGAGCTTGGCCGTGTCGGCGGCCGACAGACTGGACGGGACTAGCTGCTCTGCTTCGCACCTTGGAGAAAGAATAAGGCAGCCGTCAGCAGCGACAGAGACTCCAAGTAAGCACAAAATTTGACTGAACTCGCTCCAGAGACTTTCATCGACCTTCATCTGTGCTATGATATTCTGAGGGACCTGCTATGCATGCCAAAGAATCCTTCCAAGTAAGAACTACTTACCTTAGTAACGAGCACCATGCGTAAAAGGGTACCATGTGGCCAGAAGGTTGCGATATCCGAATTTCATGTGTCACAGGTTTGTGAAAATGGCAACTTTTCTTGCAACCTGTGCGGGAATGTCCGTAAAAAGCTGATCACGATCTGTGTGGTCAAAACAAGATCGACAAATTCGAACACGGCGAACTCACCAAGTTCCATTGGCAACAGCTTCTTCAACAGCAGCATCCAGTTGACCGACCAACGAGGGGTGCACGAAGACAGTCTCTAAAGGGATCCCCTCGGCGTACTTGTCTTGCAGGTACTGCTTCGGGTTGGGAATGGCCAGCTTCCGCAACGAGTCGTATGCAATGTGCCCGTTCTGCAAACGACGTTCTCTTGTTGAAAGATCAGGAGAAGTAATCAGAACGAGAAGAATCAATCTTTGTGCCAAAGCCTACAACATCGAGTGGTTGGAGAAGCAGTACTCGGGAACAAGGCTTAGAGATGGAAAACTAGCGTCGGGCATGCGCCCCAACAAGCATCATATGCGGGAGTGTGCAGTTATAAGTGTAATAAGCAAAGCATTGCCTCCGTGAGATTAGCGAGCCCTTCCCACTTACTTGTGAGTAGAAGTTCTCCACGCTTTCCCGCTGCGACCTTGAGAACACCTGCCAAACGAAACTACTTCGTTGGTTGCTCAAAGAGACATTGTGTTTCCGAGCACCTCCTGGCTGATCCTCTACAATCGGACATCCGTGCGACTGGCTCTGAGTCGACCCTCCTCTCCAGTAAGACATATGCCGTGACCACCGGATGATGCGTCGATGGACAATTTGCAAGCAAGAAACTCGGCAAGCAGATCGACTCTCGTGAACGTGCTCCCTGTAGGTGCCCATCACTCACTGCGGGTGTCCACAGCGTCTTGCCACCACTGAGCGTGCCCTTCAGCTCCCCTTCCGCAATCAACTCCGCCAGCACAGTCGAGTACAGGGAGTCGCCCCCCACTCCCGCGACGCTCTCCTTATCCTCTCGTTGCTGCAGCCGATGCAGCGAGGCCCACACATCGGGCACGGAGCACGGCACAGTCACGCCTCGCATGGCGCCCCGCACCATGGCCTTGATGCGGGCAACGTGGGCGGGCGTGTACAGCATCCCCGAGTCGAGCTTGCCATGGATCTGCGAAACGCATGAAAGCCCTGCATATCCCGTGGATAAAGATGCAAACACGCCAACCGCTCGCACCGGCAAGGCCAACGAAAGATCTGCCTGGCACAGGACATCGATGCGAAGATACAGTTTGCAGTAGTCTTGTGAAGCTCATGAGGAAGAGATTTTGAAGAAGTCGGGGGTGCGATTGAACAAGCGACAGCCTCTACGAATATCCTCAGTCACTGCCATCGAAACAAAGAAGGGATTCTCGAAGCCAATCTCCAGACAAGTAAGAAATGTTTGAAGGAATGCAGAGACCCGGGATGAGGAGAACTGGTGACACTAATCCTGCAGGAAAGTGGAAAGTCGTGTCCTGAAAAGAGGGATGGCTATCTTGGACAGATTGCTGACCTTTGTATCCAGCCTGGCTGTGATAGCGCCCGTGAGCAGCTCCACTCCCACGTTGAACTGCCGGGCCAGCTCGCCGATCGATACCTGGCCCGTCTCCTGCAGCGACTCATCGATTTCCTCCGCAAGGTTGTCCCAGTAGCCGGTCGTGAGCAGTTCTCTGAACGTCAAAAGCACCAGTCAGCCAAGCCACCTGGTCGCAACCAAACAGTTCCTCATCATGATCAGCTATTTCCGTTAAACAACCGACCCCTGATGAACGCTGACATATGATGAACAATTTCCCAGTTTTCCGGTTAGAATACTTCAAAACAACCGATCGGCCCATGCTAACCAGCTGGCGCCAATTGCTTTGGAATTGCCACCACTTTTTGGCACATCCCGCCAGTAGTTTGCCAGGCCAAGTTCACAGACTCTTACTCCAAAAGCTGGCAGTCTCGGCAGGCTCTTTACAATGTGTCTCTGTAGTTTTGTACTCACCCTTGCACCAGGCTGGTGTCCGCTTCCTCCGCCACCAAGGCATCGGCCTGCATGGTGTCAATATGCTCTTAGTTGGTGCTTCCACCACCAAGTGGCACCAGTGTGCAGCTTCTATCACCAACCGCTCGGTCCCCAACTAAAATATTCTCAAGCAGTTCCTGCTGAAGAGCCTGTCAATCTAGAGTTTGTTTTTGTACCACGTCTATCCTAGTAGGATAGCTGACCTTGGACTGAACCTAAGATCCAGGCTGGCCTTACCTGTCGCTCAATGTGGAACAGATCGACGCCCAGATTGGTGGCCAGATCCACAAGAGATATGCGGCCCTGCCGGTGCACCTCGCTGGCCATCTCTTTACGCAGCTGGTTGACCGTAATGTACTCCTATGATAGAACAGGAGCGCACCGTTCAAGCGATCATGCTAGAGAAGAGGAACCACCAAACAGGGGCAACTAATCACCGGAGGTGGCTGTCACCATTGAATGTACCTTTAGTGGTGATGCACAAGCCTGGAGTCTCATCAGGCATGCTGAGGAGCAGAAAATGAATTTATCAACATGTGGTCTAGAAGATGTAAGCATCGTATAGGCGCAGGAAAAAGGCTCCTCAATTCAGTCTTCCGGAGGTTTCTCACCTTGCCATTGACAGTGTGCAACAGATCATCACCTAGGAGGCCCAATTGCTTCAACTTGTTCACCTGCATGTGGACAGACCAGCGAGATACTTATTAAGCTTTCACAGAAATAGTAGAAGTCTAGCTGACAATGAGCAATGAACAACCCCAGACGCAATGCCGTTACATAGAAGCTTCCCTTCAATGTATAATCCTGGTCCTTGCATTCAGAACAGCCTTGCTCACCAATTCGATGACATTCCTTTCTGACAGCCGCACGGTTGATTTCACCTCCTGCGCCTGTGAGAAGAGCTCCTGCAGCTTCCGGAGCTCTTCGTCCATCTTGACCCGCTAATCAGCTCGTTACAATAGGTTCTGCCCTTTTTAATAGAAAGTGAGAAGGGCGCCTGAATGGTGCTCCTTTTTTATACCTCTAAAACACCTTCATTACGTCCAAACGACCGTCACTTGTATAGTCTTGTCTCATTGCAGTACATAAACCTTGAGCAAAGCGCGACTCGCCTTCATCCTCGGGAAGCGCAGCATGGACCTGAAGTCTAAGAACAGAAAGTTGAAGCAATGACATTGAAGGAACAACAAGGAAGCATCATGTGGGCTGCACGCGTATACGCTAGCTGTATTGCGCATCCCCCCTTACCCAGTAACTAGGTTGAAGTCCAAGGCGCAGGATCTCGATTCCCGTTACAATTACCGCTGGGCTGCCAACCATTACCCTACACTTCCGACGAAGTTGAGAGAGTGCGCCTCGTGCCAATTGGCAGTTCATACAGTCCCATTGGAGCTTGTCCTAGTGTTTTGAATTTGTGCGCAGCACTCCCCATTGGCATGCCAAGCCAGGAAAACTTTAATTTGCCCCTTCGAGCTATACACTACAATTGTTCCTTTCTTTTACTACCCTCAATTGCCTCAACTAAAGATTGCGGTTTCTGGGGGTGGTAATCTACTATTAGATAGCGTTGTGTTAGAAGGTGGGAAAATAGTTCGAGGCTACCCAGTTTACGCGCATACTTTCGCGCATACTGTTAAGGAGCTTTGCATTAGATTGTGGCGAGTGAGATAGAAATTTGCTGCACCCGTTGCGCTCACGACTTTAGAAGAAGAGAGAACTGATAGAAAGGAGGGTAGTGCTCATCGTCACTTGTGGGCAGGCTTTGTTTCGAGCCGCAGCCATGGCGTCCACCAAAGTGCAGCGTATTATGACCCAGCCCATTGTGAGCTGCCCTCTTAGAAGATTCTTCAACATGGAATCTACAAAGGCAGGATGAGCAACAACTATTGTCTTGCGAGATCAAGTATTGCTTGCTCTGCCGCTCAGTCCCATGGTGCTGACTTGTCAATAAGAATTGCAGTCGATCGCTACTGTGGGACTAAGAATATTGCTTTTCTTCTGTTGCAGAATTTGATTTTCCGTTTTTTGCAAAGCAAAGCGCGGATTCAAATCTGGTTGTTCGAACAGAGCGATCTCAGAATCGAGGGGCGAATCATCGTAAGCAGCTGCCCCTTTCACCTCCTTTCGTTCATTGTTTGTTGCCCTTCGATCGCCATCGCTTAACTGCCCGCCCGCTCTTTCGCCTCTCCAACGGTGATGCCTGATACCTGGTTTATGGTCCACGACAAGGTGCATGTTTGTTGGAAGCGCGCTGATACATACATGTCAGGTCTTTGAGCTGATTCATTGTCCAATCAAGTGACTAGAAAGGGCATCTGTTTGATAGTTTCTGTGAACTTTTTGTCCATATGTATCTGGCCTTGCTTATCAAGAAACCCCTCAAGGCTCCTGTCTTTCTGATCCCTGCAGGGTTTCGACGAGTACATGAACTTGGTTCTTGACGATGCTGAGGAGGTTTCAGTAAAGAGGAAAACAAGGAAGTCTCTAGGTACTGTCCAATCGCTGCACCCACTACCCATCTGCTTTCTACCCTGCTGTGTATCTTACTTCAAAGTAGACCTGCTCAAGTGCTGAGTTGTAATGCGCTGTTGCGTTTGACCGTCTCCTGCTTTTTGCAGCACTATGAAGGTTCACAACCTGCTCTGGCTTCTGTTTGGATTTGTCAGGTTAGCTGACTACAGGCGCTACATTTATGCAGGACGGATACTGCTCAAGGGGGATAACATAACACTCATGCAAAACATGTGAGTATCACTTTCCTTCTAAAGGTATCTGTTGTCCACACCCCTGGCAGCGAATCCTTTCATCCTTCATTTTTTGCTCACTCTGAAGCAGCTTGTGCGGCATGTTCCTTGCCACTTGTGTTTTCTCAAAGACATGGTTTGTTGCCCCTTTGCAGAGGAAAGTAGGGGCATAAAAGTGGGTTCAAGTCGGTGCTGGGAAACAAGAAAGTATACTCGCAAATTTTTATCTGTTCTGCACGATATCATAAAGGAAACTATTGAGGCTTGTGAATTTCTGTAAGCAAGCCCATCGCGTCATGGACCGAAGCAGGTCCGAAGTTCCTTTACATACGATGCACTATTGAGTAGTGAGAGGCGTGATAGGGGGCCCCATGACCAGATTGATCGTTGCTTTCGAATGACCTGCGAGTATGATTTCAAGTTCTTTCCCTTTCATCAGGACGTACCTTGCTTTGATCCGATTAACATGTGATGTCGACAGTACCTAGCCCGGGCCGTACCGCATGGAATCCCTCTAAAGTGAATACATGAACTCTACAGCATGCAAACACATGATTGCGGGTCTCGCGTACCTGTCATTTTGAAGCTCGATTTTTATTCTTTGGAGTCGATACAGTTCGAAGTTGACCTGCGGCTTATGACATGACGAAGCTCATATAATGACTAGCGGCTAAATGTGCAATGAAGTGACTGCAGCACATGCACATGTCTAGTGATACCTATTCCGATATAACGGGCTCGTGCAGTGACCATGCCAAGCATGCACAACCAGTGGTCATGCGCATACATGGCCTTCAATTGAATCCGATAATTTGTGTAAGTACAGTCATCTACGCTGGGCCGGCTGTGCTAGGGTCTAGGCATCTTTTTCGTATGATCATACGTGCATGTCGGATTAGCAGTAGTTGGATGCATGCAACCAGAGTAATAGCTCTATCAAACCTCTATCAAACGTACAAGGGCCAACAGTGAAATGGTACCTCACTTCGATCCACGTATCGCCAATGCAAATGAACACTCAAGATCACAATCCATGCACAAACGCCCGCCAAGCTACTCAAACGTTCCCTTACAACACGATTGAACGCATCATTGTATTTGCTGCCCTGTTATTTGTCCTTGCTTCAGCCATCCCCATCCTTCACGGATTAGGAAGAACAGGAATCGAAGAGCAAGAAACGAGCTCGCTAGCATAAGATACAAATTGTTGGACGCCCAGATGGACGGCTGAAACGTCCACCGATAAGGACAAGTTTCTTCCTGCACCGCCCTATGATGGTAAGCAGTAAGATCGGGGCACATTTGAGAGCCGGAATCTACCTCAGGAGTCGACAAGCGGTCAAAGAGCGCCAAGTTGGCTTCGCAGTGGTCCGTCTTCGGCCGAGCAACCGGATTGTATCCTGCAAACAAGTCGACACATAATCTAAGCAATCAGCCGGGAGTGAATGTTTTAGGAAGGTAAAGGCAGAAAGATGGAGACCTCCTGGGCGCCAAAATCCGACATCTGTGGGAACCACAAGCTGGAGATCTCCAACGGCCATGTTAAGAGCTTCTTCAATTGACTCTCTCTAAGAGACGCTTTTCACCTGTTGTAGTCGTGATCATCTCCACCAGGGTTTCGAGCTCTCTCGACCCAGTAAATTTGGACCTATGATTCTTGGAGTAGATGAAGAAGAGGGGGAACGAGTAGACACCATATCTCGAGAGGGCGCTGCAAGAAGAGGAACGTTGCTTTGTTCTCTGATAAGACGTCTCGTGCATCTGGTTGTTCCTGTGTTGGCGCCTCGGCCAGGCAGCATGAAGATCGCTGCGAAGCTTGCTATCCACCACTCTTGCAGAATTTCATTTGAGAGTGTTCAGCGACAAGAAGACGTGGTCGGCATCACGCAAGTGCTCATACAACCATGCTTCGTCCAGCTGTACAAACTCAGGGTGCATTTCTCTGACAGCCTTGTTTCCCACAGACGTACTTGACGAAGGCATCTGTGTATATGACGTGCCAATTTGTTGACTGAGCAACTCAATTGGCACAGGCACACAGATGCTGGGCAAGAAACAGATGAACACACCTGGGCTTGACAGCTCTCTCTTCCACTGCAACTAGAGGGAACTGGGGGAAGAGCTCCGGCAGAGTGCGAACCAGTGGGAACAGCTGCTGGGAGAAGGGACACCAACGGGCATAGAAGAAGACCCCTAGGAACAAGTCATCTCTCTTACGAACTTCTTCAAGTAGCAGGCTAAGTGTGGTGCCATTGATCTGCACAAGGAACATCAGGCCACTCAAATCAGCTCGCTCAAGGATGCTCAAGCTGAAGAATCGTTCACTTGGAATGCTCGTACAAGTCTCAGTGAGTCAATTGGGGGAATAAATCCTTCTTTCAGCAGCAGAACTGTAGTCACAGAATCAAGTCAAATTGCTGCAGCCATTGTGCATAAGCCTTTCTTTCCATTGCAGACTACATATACCTTCTCTTTCTTTCTGTTGTTGATCTTAGAATTCTTTTCCTGCTTCTAGAAGACAGTTCTGAAAAAGTTCTTCGGGATGTTCTGGCTGACTCTTAGGGGGTGCATTGCCCTACCTCGTGGAGACCTGGTTCTGTGAGGATAGCCTGCTTAAACGCATCCGTATCTTCCAGTGCACTTTCAGGTCCCTTCCCAGAGTCATTGACTGCTTCGGCTGGTGTGGGAGCTGACTCGTTGACCATCAAGCCAGCAATTGATGTGGCCGCTTCACTGATTTCCGCAGTCTGCTCAACATCAGGTTTCCCAGCTGTTACAATAGGAATCACGAGTAAGAGAACGAGCGACAACTTCTGTACGAGCATTTTAGACAACCTCAATTTGCTTTCTTGCCTGAATCAGGTCGACCGTGTGAAAATGCTCCAGACACAAGGGAAGATACAGCAATGGTGGTATGTTGCTGAAGCTCTGCCTACGGCAACGCGGCAGAGTATTGAGCCTGCCGCGAGTGGGAGGGTGTCTCCAAGCGCCCAAGCTGAACGAAGATTGCCACTGCTTCTCTTCTTTCAAAGTTTCTTCAAAAAGTCACTGCTTGTGCTAGATTGCATGCGGCTTCACACGGAAGACAGCTACTGGCAGTGGCAGCTGCTGAGAACAACCAAAATTCAGAATCAAGAGAAGCAAGGACTAGCTTTGCCTGGCCAATTTGGTTAGCACCTTAACTGCCGCAGCACTTATTAGGGTTCGATATCTGCCGGCGACATCCATAGGTAGCGGTTGTCTGGTCGCGTCATTGGAGAGCTGAACTTCTTGGCAGCGCTGTGGCGATCGACCAGTGTTGCATGATCCGCCGGAGACTTGCCGGTTGTCAATGGCGCGGTGGTTTTTGCATGGGTTAGATTAACGACGGCAGCCAGTCGCCGCATGTACCGTAGCCTGCACGTAGGTCTGTATTTTCTGCAAGAATCCAAGATCCATCTAGCTTCAGACTTTCAAATTCTAGCTAGAGCTGATTGCAGCCTGCCTCGAGCTCAGCTGGTCTTATTTTGGGTAAGTCCGTCTAGGTATGCTGTCTGTCTCCCTTCCGAGCTGATTGCAGCAGCTTTTAAGGGAACAGTATAGATCACTGTCTTTGCTCTTGCCTCACTTTGTCCGCGGGTCGTTTTGGACAACCTCATCATGGCCGAAGGTGATGCACATGCGGACCTGAGTGCACATCAGCGGCTAGAAATGATTGGACTGCCTGCAAACCTGCTTCCCCCTAATGTAGCCAGCTACACATACTCAGAGATCGATGGAAGCTTTGAGGTATGTTTTACACACGAGGTGGTCACAGAGATTGCAAACGAGGACGTCAAGTAAGTTGCTACAATTTTTATCTTTGTCCATTTCTATCTTTTCTCAGAACTTGTTTGATGCAAGGTTAAAACTGTCTTGTGAAAAGGAGGCTGTTGGCTTGTCATGACTGATCAAAGATTGGAATCATTTGTTGAGTCGATGTCACAACGATTCCCAAAATGGCACCGTGCAAACTGGGTGACTCTTCCAGCATCTGGTGTAGAGACTGGTTGCCCATTAGTGGGCCGGTGAATGATTGTGTACTTGAAGAATCTGGAGCCAGGTTTAACTTTTCCATACTGTGTTTCTGGAGGAAACTTTAAACTTCACTTATAACTACTGGATAGGTACTATAAACTGGTTCAAGGTAGTCATATCTTGAAAAGCTAAGTGCCTTCCTGCACTTGCAGATTTGAGGAGGTGATTAAGGGTAAGATGACAGAGCTCGCGCTATTTGATCTTTTAGGTGTGAAAACGAAACAGTTTTTCTGGTTGACAATAGGCGCGATCACTAGGCCCGCACGTGATTCTGAAAAGATCTATTTCAAGGTAGGCCCGCTGAAATCAGGGATTCCAGTGTCTGCCTTCAAAGACCCCATCAAAGTATCGTAGACCATGTTGTGTGGATCATGTAACAGGATCCACTTCGATTTCGTTTTCTACCGCAACATATATTCGAGCTAGCCAGCAGAACTGAAGATCTGAGTTGATCTCCGTTGATCCAATTGTTCTCTGAGGCCAAGACGAGCTACTTTCCAGCTCTTTCAAAGATATCGAGGAGCCACGTCTTGAGCAAGAGAAGGTTCTCAGTTAGATTGGCAGCTTCGAAGTGAAGCCCTGACTTTAAGAGGAATTTTAGCAACTGCATGTATATTAGTATTCAGCAAAGGCGATTGGACATGTAGATCGGCTATAGGTATTGGGACAGTCCTTGCTGCATGGCATGGACATGGTTGTTGATTAGAGTATTCTCTTGGATCTTCTTTTGCAACTTGCATCTCTTACAGTGTGTACGAATGCATGCACTGAAGCATGTCATGATCGACTCATGATCGACTATGTTGCACTCCCTATGATTGCAATCATAGGAAGTGCAACATGCTTTACTCACCACTGACCATACCAGGCATGGCTGAGGGAATTGCGCCAACGTTCGGCCTCGCATGCTCAAGTGCAGAGCTGCTACATGTGACTTCCGATATTAGCGCGCAGTCGGCTCAACTCACCATCAGTGTGACATGCAAAGGGGTTTGAATCTGGTCGTGTCGTCTCCTGGTCTCTTGACCGCAGTCCATTTTCTGATTGAGGTCCGGATTTGATAGTCAATATGCTTTCCAATCACTTATTCATTTTGCATGCACTGAGGTGCGCAATCTGCAAAGACCCTCTGTGCAGAACATCCACGAACAGCAATCACCTCGCATGGCTTGGTCTCTTTTAGCGCAATTCTCGCTTGCAGCTTTCAATGGCATCACTCGAATGTCGATCCGTTCCTCAGCATGAGACGCTATGCAGCTCCAGCCACCAGCTTGTCCGCTTCCGATGCCAGCTCATGTGCCCTTTCCCCTAATCGCACATCCAACCCAAGACCCAGATTCGGTTGCGGCTCCTCACACTGCGGCAGAGGAGCTTGCAACAAGAGGGGCGACTGGCTTGGAGCCAACACCGGAGGAGGAGAATCCAGAACCTCCTCAGGAAGAACGGGAAGGGACTGTGCCAAAACGGCCTCCAAAGTCTGCAAAAGTCGAGAGACAAACGGACTGATGAGAAGGAAGGGACACGATCTGTCACATTCCGATTGATGTCGCTAGACCGAGCGATGCAGGCAAAAGCCTTCGATGACCGTTCAGTTGCCAGAGAAAGCAGTCCATCTGGAGATAGATGAGATGCAGAGTCTCAGAAAGGAGGTCGAAGGACGCCGCTGCACTCACTTTGTGTTCTCGAAGAGCAGCATCGACGCTCTTCTTCCACAGCGAGCAGTTTCTTTCTCCGTGAAAGAGATTGAGTAAGGGCTGCAGATAACAAGGGCACTAGTGAGAACTCCTGTTGATACTTCACCAAGGCTCGACAGAACCAACCTAACGCATTCAGCGACACCCCCGCAACGGTCCACAACAGTACAGCTTCACACATTCTGTGCTCATTAGGGGGAATACCCTGAAGCGCCACGAGATCGTGCTCGTTTCAGCCGAACCGCTTCAAAGAGATGCAGGGGATAAAGGTCTTTCGCTAAATCGCGAAAGGTCGCCCGGCTTGCCTTCATCAGCTGCCGAGCGGAGGGCAGGCCAGGTTTGTCCCTCCCCACAGCGGACTTCGCATACTCGAGGTACTGCTCAATCAACTGCAACCAGGACGAGATGATCAATCCGTCGAACTCCCAACGATGATAAGGAGACGCTTTACCAAACCTCACGGGCCAGCTTACTTCCAACAACCGCCCCTGCTGTTGGGCTCGAAGTCGTGTCAAAGAGCATTCCAAGCATGACCGGAAGATTAAAGTCGACTTCTCACTTCCTTACAACCAACTCGAAGCTCCTGTTAAGCGACCATGAGTTGGCCACTGTGGCTTCGAATTTGCCTGGCGCAGTCGCCAAGCGTAGGTGTCCCAAGTCTAATGCAGACTCTGATCAGGATGCTCAGAAGCAATCCACAAAGAAGGGCACTCACATGCCGCCTGCTCCTGCACGGGTTCTCCACTCCGAACAGTGCCCTGTCTGCATCCGCCAGCGCTGTCCACGGCTTGTCCACCGCAGCCCTGCCCACCATAATCCCCTCTATGTTGCTAAACCCCAGCTCCCGTGCTTCCGCATAAGTGGCGGCTGCGTCATGACACCCCTTGAATACACCGTTGACCGTGAACCTGAGGTGCGGGAAGTCGCGAGCAAGCGCCAGCGCGTACTCTCGCCTCAGAGGGGGAATTGTGCGGTTCTGGGCGGGGCTAAGGCCCTTGAGGAACGCTTTCCTGGCGTGAATGATGAAGTGACGGACGGGGGAGTTCTCAGAGACGACGCGGATGAAGTGGCAGAGCCAGTCGTAGGTGTCGAAATCGTCAACGCCAATCCGGCACTTGACGGTGACGGGCAAGCCGCTGGCCTCGGCCATTGCGGACGTGCATGCGGCCACACGATGGGGGTCTTGCATGAGCTGCGCCCCGAAACAGCCGGCACCGGCGACCCTTTCCGAAGGGCACCCGGTGTTCAGATTAAGCTCTGTATACCTGCAAATAAATCAGACATGGTTGGTGCCTGCTGGCGCTTCAAGACACTCGTTGCCCAAGGTCGGAAGGAAACAAACTTCGAGACGAACAGGAGTAATTGGTACACTGATAGGAAGTGATTCCCAGATGCCGATCAAACGTAGTTTGAGGAGAAGCACCTTGGAACCAATCGTTTTCAGAACACAATGGTAGCAGTAAACGGGATTCAATGAGAAACTGGATTGCTCAGGAACCACGTTCAACTCAAACGAACTCGGGCAGACCCCAGGAAAGCAGTAGAACCCCGGCAAATTGGAGAAAGAACTTTGTAGTGTACCGGTGGTACTGTGGAGCTTGAGTTATCAACTGCGTCAAGTGCTGACATTATGCTTGACATCAAGGACAAAATGATCGATGACAAAACGTTTTCAGCAATCTTCCTCACCCGTATTGCCTTGCCACTTTTGACGCAGCGGCAAGAGTCTCCGGCTTGCTCCCCCCCAGCTGCAGAACCACGGGCTTCTGACACACGTTGAACTCCAACCACCGGTCCGCTTCTGCACCCACTTTGTGGTTGATGGTACTGTCCACAACCATCTCCGTCCAGAGCCATGTGCGCCTGGTTAAAAGCCGCGCAAAATACCTGCATGAGGTACGAGTGAGACATGCGGGATTTGCAGATGGTGTCTTTTCATAATCTCAAAAGGATGATCACACACTGATTGGAGTGGAAAACGTAGACAAGGAGCGAAGAAAGAAAAACAAGAGGGCCAAAACTGACCAATCATGCTGACTACACAGACGACAACCACTGGGTACTTGAATGTATCGCTCTGTTAGACAAAAAGCAAAGCTTGCATTCCACCAGCCATGATCTTTGTTTAACATTTCGTGAACACCGAAGATTGGAATCAAGGTTCCAAATATCAGGTTGGTGACAGCTCAAAAAGGAATACCCATGTCCTCACTTATGGTTCTGATACTAAGGGCCTCAAGCCTATGAACTTTTTGGCTCTCTCAAGAGCTGCAGCTATTACCTGTAGTGGTTGTCTGTATATTCCATCATGGGCGCAATGCTGAACTTTGGAGGAGGCAGCTGACCAGACCCATAATCCTCGGCCGTGCCTATGCCCCTATATGGCCCTGTATAGGAGAGGAGACTTACAATGAGAGCAGCTGCCAGCCAGAAGGCCTCTCTCGCTTTTGAGAAGAGGGCAAGTCCTAGCTATGTACATAGTCTATGAAATCAGGCTCCTTCAGTTAATGAACAATCCTGAGGATGCTTGACGGGATCTCTAAGGTTCCAGCAAGCTAGGAATCCAGTTGAAAACATGAACAATCCTGAGGATGCTTGACGGGATCTCTAAGGTTCCAGCAAGCTAGGAATCCAGTTGAAAACATACATCAAACGGGGAGGCCTCCCTCATGTTCTCAAAAGCACCTGAGTCCCGCAACATGACTCCGCTGGCAGTAAAACCCCAGGGAACTTACCCGTGTACAAATTAGGGTTTGGTTCTGGGACCTGCCATTGGTTGGAGCAACTCGCACTGGTAGCGGCTTCTTCAAGATCTGGACATCCACTGCCATTGGTACTTGAAGATGCAGTTTGTGAGACCGGCTGTTTCTCTATGTTGTCCAGAATGGACATCCCTGACATTTCTTTGGTAATGGTTGCAAAAGCATCAGAGGCAGAAGAGGAGGGCTGAAACTGCCTCTCTACGCTCGATGCACAAGTTGGAGGGCACGTCTTGGCCATTGGCACTCTGATGTTGGGAAAGCTGCTCGAAAAGCTCAATTCAACAGTTCCTGAGAAAGCACTCTTGGACAGCACAAGCATATGCGGCTGTGTCCGCTCTGCTATGCAACTACCCTTCAAACCTACAAATGACCAGGACGACCCTCCGCTCAACCGCCGCGGCACTCCTGACCACGTAAACGGAAAATAGCGGAGCCCCTGCGATGGACTCCTGCACAAGGCTTTTCCTGGAACACGGCTACAGATGCGGGCAGCCTCTGCACAGGCCATCACGGATCCATCCACTCATGAATGCACGCGTCTTCAAGTTCTGCCAGTGCTGGCTTTTCCTTTCGTCATCATGCATGTAGGCCGGACAGAGCATCCGTGGGACCGTGACGTACACGATACAGTATCCTACACCTTTCACTGTCAGGGCTTTGCCGTGTACAAACGACCTGAGAAATGCGACACATAGGTACCAGATTAAAGCGTTGAAAGCTTGCACCTGGAACCGGCAGCCGGTTATCGAACTTTGAAAGCCTTGGCCTGTGAAAACGTACTCTTTGGAAGCCGTGCCGCTAGCAGCGTGCACGGTGGGCCGTTTCTCATGGCTCTGCGGGTTTTGGCGCCCAGCATTTTGAAAATTTCTGGTCGTTTGCAAGTTGAAGAGGCCAGGCCTTGAAACTTATTTAAATGTTGTCAGAGTGACATTGATGTGGAAAATGCACAGAGCTCTACGAGCATGTACGAGCAGCCTCCTACCCACAGTGGCCACAGCCTCGGCCCCACCACAGCCATCATCAGGAGAAGGATAGGTACGGGCCCTAACCTAGTTCGCAGTGGGCCTCATGAAAGCAGATTTATTGCAAAGCAGCTGCGTGCCGCAGGCTGACATATACGTAGCCCTACGCTGTCGGTAGTTCCAATTTGACCATTGGCAGTGCTGGCTCCAGTCAAGAAAGTGCAATGGGAGAGCAACTGGGGTTCCTGAATTGGTTTAATGAGTCCGTAGAGCACCTTCCGGCTGGTGGATTAGGCAGCGGAGAGGCCCAAATCGATTAGCCTGGCAGCTGTGACGCCCTTCTTGTGAAAAGCTGGAAGAGCGCTAGCATAGCCCGATGAGTTAAGCTCTTCAAAGTTTGATTGTCAAGTTTGAAAGATGGCGGTTATTCGTGCGTTGAATGTTGCTGAAAAGCCTTCCGTTGCAAAGGCAGTTTCTCAGATCCTGTCGCGAGGACAGTATCGGACACGTGAGGGCCTTTCTGTCTACAACAAGGTCTTTGAGTTCAACTACACAGTTGGAAACCAGCAGGTGAGCTCACTACCCATGCAATGCTATCTGGATAGCAAGCTGCTAGTTGTTAGAAGGGAGTATCTTTGACCATCACTTTTGGATCGAGTGCTCTCATAAAGCACTTGTCTCAGCCCCTTTGTGCACTGCAGGTGGATATGCTTATGACGTCTGTGAGCGGGCACTTAATGGAGCTGGACTTTGAGGATCAGTACCGAAAATGGCACTCCTGTCAGCCTGTCCAGCTTTATGATCTTCCAGTCCATAAGAAAGTTCCTCAGGTAAGACCTCCAGGCCCCACAAAAGAGTCTGTTCTATTCTGGATTACAGCTTTCAGCATTCCCAAGCTTGTATGCACTGCTGCATAGGATGCGCAGATTCCTCTTCCTCTTCAGATACATCACCATGATCGCAGCTGCCAACTTCAGAAGGCGATCATGTCTCCTCCCCCTCTGAATGAAGGACAAGTACGGTCTACGGGATACGCTTCATCGGGAGAGCAGGAACTGCCAGTGGTTGGTGTTATGGTTGGACTGCGATCGCGAGGGCGAGAATATAGCCTACGAGGTCATCCAGGTCTGCCAAGAGCGCAACCCGAGGTTGAACATCTTCCGGGCGCGTTTCTCAGCATTGGTTGAGAGGTGAGTCCACAAGGCCTTTGTAGGTTCTACAGTAGGAGTCAGTAGAATAGCATGGCTGTGCAAAGTCCGCAGCTGTACGATGATAGGTGCTTAAGTACATGACGAAGAGACCGATTACGTAGGCCCGTATCTGCTGGGACACTTTCCAAAACGGAGTGGGAGACTAAGGCTGTCTGATCCGCGCATGCAGGGACATCCACCAGGCTATGCAGACGTTGCAAAGACCGAACCCCCGTTTTGCGGACGCAGTTGACGCACGACAGGTGCGCCAGACAGTTGAGAGTTGGCTTGTGCATCTACTGTGGAACCGTATACCTATGTCTTCACAAGTTGTTAGTTTGAATCTGTGGAGCCTTAAATCAAGCTACGGCTGCGTACAGATTGTTGCTATGTGTGAACAAGCAACTTTGAAGACAACGAAGGACTAGAGAACCACAAGGAGGACAGCGAGCTTGTATTGCTTCCTTCAAGCTGCCCCATCAAACGCCTGTTGATGTCGCCAATCTGCAGGAGATTGACCTGCGGATTGGAGCGTCCTTCACCCGCTTTCAAACGCTGCTTCTGGCGAAGCGGTTTGAGATGGGCTTTCACGAGGAGGAAAAGGTCATTCTAAGTTATGGGCCATGCCAGGTGAGCTTGTGACCATGATGCATAAGAGCAGTCAAGCTGAGATTTCCCAATCCTCCTACTTCGGACTCTTCCTAACTAAGCTCTCTTGACTTTGGGTTTTGAGATTCAGGCGGATCCGTTCCACATAGTGGCAGTGAAGTCAAATCCCAGTGCCTAACTTCGACCCGGCTCCTCTCTTTGCAGTTTCCGACCCTTGGTTTCGTTGTTGAGCGCTACTGGCAGATCCAGAACTACGTGCCAGAGGACTTTTGGTACATCCATGTGCAGTACCACTCCCAAGAGGATCGCGTCTCTGCCAACTTCACGTGGCAGTAAGACTCTATTACTTGCTTCTCATTTACAAACAGACACCTGGGCCTACATTCCCTTTCCGCTCCTCCGACTTCGTTCTCACATTCAGATATGATCATTCTCCACTTTCGGTAGCACGCATGAAGTTGAAGTAGGCCCTTTCCCGGCAGCTGCAAAGCATGAGCAAGAGCCTTCGACTTGTGGACAACTTTCTGAACATTTCTGTGTCCATCTTCAACAGGCGTGGCCACATGTTCGACCACCTAGCAGCTACTGTCTTGTACGAGATGTGTGTTGAGCAGCCGACAGCCACGGTAAGAAAACGATACGTCCCACACCGGTTTGTCCAGGAGGCCCGCTTTTAGCCCGAATCTTCCTTCCCAATCTGCTGCTTCCCTCCCAGCTGGCTGCTTTCTTGTGCTTGATCGACTCTGACCTGAGAATGAAAAAAAGACTACCGAACGCTTTCTCAATTAACGTTAAATCAACTTCTTCAGGTCATGAGCGTGGACGGCAGGGATACGCGCAAGTACCCCCCGCATCCCCTCAACACCGTGGAGCTGCAAAAACGTGCCTCGCGCTACCTCCGGATAGGGTCCGAGCAAGTCATGAAAGTAAGCCAACCTGCTGCGATCTCAGAAACGGGTCGCTCACGATCTAAGCTTCTGGATCCGAAATGCACTACAACTGCGGAGTTGAGGAGCAATTCATATCACCCTGTCGGTCTTGTAGAGGCTGCCAGGAACGCATGTGAAACCCGCTGCACCCTGCTGACAACCAAGAGCGTTGGTTGGATCCGCTCCTGTCAACGGAGTCCATTTTGGCCACGGCTTAAGCTCAAGGAGCGGTCGCTGAGAAGGTTCGCTGATTATTCGTGCAGCTGGCTGAGGAGCTGTACCAGTGGGGCTTCATCAGCTACCCTCGCACGGAGACCGACCACTTTCAAGACGGCATCGATTTGCAGGTAGACCTTGCCGTCCTTTTGTTTGTCACGAGCGTCGGCGTCATTCCTTTTCCGGCCTCCACCTGTGATGATGATTAGAAAGCTGCATCACATATATTGGACTGGATGATTGTCGATTTACGGACTGAGTCTCCGAAATCAGACCGAAATCTGACTTGTGTATCCCCTGTACTTATGCTATTCGTACTCCCTCCTTTGTCCAACCGGTTCAAGGCAATCCAATCTAATCTGACTGGTCACTGCTGAGCTGATCAATCCCCAACTCTTTGGAACCCCTGCAGACCCCCCCCTCCGTTTCGTATAACCCGTCAAGATGCGTGCCCCAATATCTTAACGCGCATCCTCTGAACCAATTCTTGCAGGGAATAGTCCAGGAGCACACGCAGCACCCTCAGTGGGGGGCGTACGCGAGCCGACTTCTGGACCCCCAGGAAGGGCTCTGGCGCGCCCCTGGGGACGGGGGCCACGACGACCAGGCCCACCCGCCCATCCACCCCACCAAGGCGGCCGATCCGGGGGCCAACTGGACCGCCGGGCACAGGGTGGGTGCCGGCTTCGCACGAACGGTATTTTGCAATATTGGACCTGGACTTGCACAGGATTGACCGTTTGCGTTTTTGTGAGTCTAGCAACGTTTCCTCTTAAAGACAGTGGCAGGAATGACTGCCACCTTTTTTTGCTGGAGTGCTCGTGTTCGATCTACTTTGCAGCCTTCGGCCGTGACGGACTCGTAGCTTTCTAATCCAAGCTTTTGTGGTCGACAAAGGGCAACTTGGTGATTCTGAACATTGTGTAGGATGGCGCTTAAGCTTGTGTGAAGAGCGTCCGAGATAATCTTTCTGCTGCCGAGGCTGCAGAAAGTGTACGAGCTGGTAGTGCGGCACTTCCTGGCGTGCGTCTCCCAGCCCGCGGTGGGCTTCACTACCACGGTCATCATAGACATCGCCGGCGAGACGTTCACTGCGCACGGGCTCATGATCACAGCGGTACGGCGGTCCGCCCGTTCATCTAAGTTTGTCATGGCTGCTTCTCTGCTCTCCTTGCCTTTCTAAGTACAAAAAGGAGCAGGCTGAGAGTCGACGCGTAGAAACTGGTGCAAAGAAGAGACTGTAGATAGGAGCTTTTTCAGGGATGCGAAAGGGCCTGTTTCAGTGAGACTGGATTCACGTCGAATAGAGCTATGAGACTGACGCTATTCCATCCGTCTGCTTTGCTGCCAGCGCAACTACCTGGACGTGTACATCTGGGATCACTGGGGCGACAGCAACCTGCCAAACTTCCAGCAGGGCCAGCAGGTGAGTCGACTGGATGACTCGCCCATGTCTCAAAGCTGACTCCGAGCCAGCTTCTATCATCGCGTCGTGCAGGGTCCTCTCATTCTGTGGCGCCTTCATCTGCTGACGTCACCCTTGAATGCAGTTTCAACCCACGGAGCTCACCCTGAAGGAGGGACGTACGGCACCGCCCAATCCGCTGACGGAAGCCGAGCTCATTGGCCTCATGGACAAGGTAACATTGCGACCTACTGTCTGCCTGGCTCTCTCAACCCTGACAGCCGCGTCGGAGTGTCCTTTCACCCGAGCCTTCTAACTGCTATTGGAAAAAGATAGTCTCGCTGTTGAGTCTTTCACTTGAGATATCTGCTGCACTCTGAAGCGGCGACGTGCTTGTTCCCACCAATGTGCTTGGTATTGATCTGGCCATCCGAAGCAATCTTTTAGAAGTGGAGAGTCACGCTGCTTTTTCTTTGTGCAGGCCGGGATCGGGACGGATGCCACCATGCACGATCATATCAAGAAATTGACGGACCGGTCATATGCCGTAAAAGACAACCGGCAGCAGTTTACTCCGACCCCGCTGGTATGCCACGACGCCTCGCTCTTCTCAACACCACATCACGTCCAGCATCCAACACTAGTGGTAGAAGCTGCTTCCTCCTGTCCACCTTCTGGAAGGAAGCAGCTGTCAAGAGCAGGAGACTGCTTTAGACAGACGTCACTTCGTGAACTGGTTGATAAACAAACCTCTTATATTCTTACCCGACGAAGACGTGCTTTTCTTGCTGCTATGGGCTGGTATAACCCTCCTAAACAGGAAGCCGGTATCTAGTTTCCGGTATCGCCTTCACTTTCTTCGCTGAGCTAAACTGAAGCCTGCCGCTGTGCAGGGCGAGGCTCTGGTGATGGGGTACGACGGGATGGGGTACGAGCTGTGGAAGCCGTTTCTGCGCGCGGGCATGGAGCGCGACATGAAGCTGGTGGGCGAGGGCGCCAAGAGCAAGGCCGAGGTCCTGCAGACCAGCCTGCACGCCATGCGCCAAATGTTCAGCGACGTGAGCGCGGTCCTTGTGCTCGCGCACACGAAGCTTATCTCCCTGCTGTACCGGATTCTTCCGTGAAGAGCCAGAAAAGCTGCTCAATTGTACGAGGATATCGCCCACGCAAATTAATCGAGCGTTGTAAGCCTCTTCTACCTCGGAGCCTGCTTTCACTTCTTCTGCTGCACGCCTCTGCGTCAGATCCGCTTGATGTTTTCAGAGCGAGGTTCAGAGCCAAACGGACAGATGCACGAAGGCTGGCCTGCAGTCCGAAGTTTGTCTTGACAGAAACTCTTTGCGCCGGGTGATAATGGTGGTCGTTTGGCTTTGTGCAGGCCAACCTGCAGAAGGACAAGCTGGTGGAGGCGATGAGCTGCTACTTTGAGCGGTGAGTTGTATAGAGCAAGGTAGAGGCAAGGAATCTTAGTCCAACTGAGCAGGCTCCCAATTGTTGTGGATATGCTGTTCCTTCACTTTTGGCGTCAGTCATGCTTGTAAGGTCCCGCTGAAAAGTTCTGATCAGCAAGGATTTTGCTGATCGTGCTTCCCTGACTTATCGTCTTGGTCTGAACGCTTCACATTGTTTTCAGCAACGAGAACGCCGGAGCGGGGGCCGGTCGCGACAACGGGCCCGGCGAGCTTGTGCGCCCTTGCCCTCAGTGTCAGAGTAGCATGTTCCTTAAAACGAGAGCGGTGAGACTTACACATAAAAGCAATACTTGCGTGTTGCTAACTTTTCAGCAAAGCATGCTTCTTTGAGGCGGGCCGAGCGTGGTTCGCTTTTAAAGGACCCCTGATGAATAACGGATGCGTAGACCAGACTGATGATTGTTTCTGCTGTCCTGAGTGAATTGGATAGTTCCTTGGAGGTACCTATGTACCTGCCTTTAGAGAAGAAAGTCAAGCACCTTCTTTGTGCTCTCAGGGAGGCGCCTTCATGATTGGCTGCAGCGGCTACCCACAGGTCAGTGTTTCCCTGGGTCATATTGAAAATCCTAGGATAAAGCTTCCTTTGCAGGTGCCTGCACTCGTGATTCAGAACGCTGGAAAAAGAAATATCAAACTTATTGGTGACTGTTCTCATGCCAAGAAGCACAAATGTCAAGAGTCAAGCCACTGTTGCAAACGTAGTCTGCCGTCTTCCGTCACTCGTATCAACGAGATTGACGGCTCTTGTGCCTGTGCAGTGCCGCAACGTGATGTGGCTACCTGCCGCGCTGATAGAGGCGTCCGTGACGGAACAGACCTGTCCCACTTGTCAACCAGGCAAGACTTCTACACGCAAGGAACAAATTACTCGTTCCAGTTCTTCAAGTATCACTGCGATTTAAAAATCGTCGAAAGCCATTTCCCAGACTCGCTGGTCGAGCCTGCTGTTGCAATGTGTTCCTGCTTGACCGCACGTTCATTCATTCATGTTGTGACGTCACGTCTCACGGGTGCAGGGCCGGTCCATCTGGTCCATTTCAAGTTTCGACGTGGGGAGATACCGGTGCACCTGAGGCCCGAGTTTGCAGGTGAGTGCCATCAGACCGCTTGCGCGCTCGTTCACCTGATGCGTAAGTGGCAGTATTGAGCATCACCGCGATGGCAAACTTGAAATGAATTGTTGATAATTGGTCAGGCCTTTCACTCTCGAGAGCCTCTCATTCACGATGATCAATCTCACGTACCTCTCTGGTCGTTCTAATCTCATTCAGTCCTGATCTTGGAATGTCATGCAGCTTGCATCGGGTGCGATCGGGACCTGAAGGAGTTGCTGGAGGTAGTCGGCACCGCAGGGCCATTCAACGCAGGTGAAGCGCTATGTCTCCCTCCCGAAGCTCCGCATCATTGCTCATCATGACAGAGAATATCATGAATCTTCTTCAAAACCCGAACACCGGTATCAGGCGTGTGTGTGAGATCTCTAATCTTTGGAGTGGAAGCGCTCTCGTTCCGCTTGAAAAGTGGGCTTGACACGGTGCTGAGGACTCCCTCTGAACAACGGGTTTGATTGCAGCCGCACCTGGCCGTGGTGCTGGTGCGCCCGGGGGGCCTGCCCGGGGCGGTGCGCGAGGCAACGGTGCGGGGCGGGGCAACCCTGGCAGAGGCCGGGGTACGGCTCCCGAGCGGGGGCCCGGGGCGCTGTCGTGCTTCCGCTGCGGCCAGGAAGGGCACCTGTCGTCAAATTGTCCCGACAACCAGCCAGGGGCGGGAGCTTTCGCTGCGCGAGGAGGTGCACAGGGGGGTGTACCGGGCGCCAGTGGCTCGGGCCAAGGGGCACCGGGAGGGGCCGGGTGTTTTCTCTGTAACCAGACTGGGCACTTTGCGACGGCGTGTCCGAACAGGGGCGGGAGAGCGGGCGGTCGGGGCACGGGAGGAGGTGGCACGGGGGCGCGGGGCGGCGGGGGGCAAGCGTGCTTCAAGTGCGGGGAGGAAGGGCACTTTGCGAGCGCGTGTCCTGGGCCCGGGAATGGGGGGGGAGGTTCGACGTTTGGGGGGGCACGGGGTGGGTTTGGCGCGGGGGGCGGGGCGGGTTTTGGAAACGGAGCGGGGTCAGGGTTTGGCGGCGGGGGTTCAACGGAGGCGGGGCGGGAGGTTTTGGCAGCTCGGGGGGCAGAGGCGGCGGTGCTCTGAGCTGCTTCAAGTGCGGGGGCGAGGGTCACTTTGCAAACGCGTGCCCAGATCCGGGCAAGTCTAATGGAAATACTGGGGGTGCACGAGGGCGGGGTAGAGGAAGGGGGACCGGGCGAGGAGGGGGTTCGTCTCGGAGTGAGGTTTCCCGCTTTTGTGCTACCATCGACATTCAGTTTTGGGTCTCATCGTTGAACATTTATTGCAATCGCCCGTCTGAGGTGTTTAAGGAGGCGAGGAGATGTGTGTGCGCGATTGTTCGAATGAAAGGAATGAAGCAGCTTACCGGCCTGCCAAGACAGCGGTCTTACGAGAGAGTGTGGGTAATGACAGACCCCTCAAGAGGAACCAACTTGGAGCTTCTTGGGGTGCTCGTGCCTGCAGCCGGCTGACGCTGACTTATGTCGTTTGCAGGCAAGTCGGCCATAGACGTGATGTGTGAATGTGGGCAGCCATGCGTTCAGTTGACTGCGAAAACAGACGCAAACAGCGGCCGCAAGTTCTGGAGGTGTGCCAACCGAGAAGGGGGCTGCGACTTCTTCTCGTGAGCGTTCGCTGCCCCTCTGACCTGTGCTCTAGTGGTATTGACTTCTGCAATGTCCCTCGCATCCAGCATCTGGGCCCCTCCTTTTCAGAGACTACCCCGTTCTGTCAAGGAAAGGTGGCAGTCACTCTCAGTTGAAGCATTATAGCCACTCTTGTTGAGAAGCCGTCATGAGTTTCATCATTTTGAACGTAAGAGAAATGATGCTGCGCTGCCCATGCAGATGGGAGGACGAAGTGACGGGTCAAGGTGGTGGTCGGGGCCGGGGCTCCGGTAGTTCGAACGGGCCTGGAGCTTTCCAGGCAGCCGCAGGGGGCAGGGGCCGGGGCAGGGGACGAGGCGGTGGGGCCTCGGGGAATGGCGGTCCCAGTTGCTACAAGTGTGGGGAAGTGGGCCACTTTGCCGGTGCTTGTCCCTCGGGTTAGGAAAGCGGTGTCTGCAATCGAGTCTGTCTAGCTAATTGCACGAGAGGGATCATCGACGAGCTGTTCTGCGCCTATAACGTACTCGGTCACTGGAGAATGTTGTAAGGAGCGCGGCATGCTGGCCAGGCTCCTTTCTGTAGCTCCATAGTACGCTGAAAGTAGGATATCTCTACATTCAATTTGTTGAGCAAACTCTTCTGTGAATTCTTATCTGCATTTGAGAGTATGTGAGAATCAGAAACAGGGTATATGACAATGCGCGAATGATCCTGTGCCGGGCTTTTGTACCTCGATTTCCGCGTGCGTCATTCAGCTGCCAAGTAATAAGCATGTAAAAATGTAGCTCGGCGACTATAGTATGGCCGGATCCAATTCGTCGATTGCCGCATGCATGCCAGCTCTGGCATATGTTGTGAGCAAATGGTGGCTTAAAACCGCTGCCACTGCATTGTATATGCTGCGGATCAAGTGCTTGCGATGCAACATGTGTGCAATTAGTGTTGGTCGTGATATATGCCGCGCACCAATGAAGTAGCTTAGCATGGCAACTCACACATGGGCGACAATATCGGCACTGAATAACACGCTAAGCTTCCCGGTCTAGCTGCGGAGGAGCTTGACCAATCGACTGCAGTAGCGCTACACGCTCACAATTGCCTAGGCCGCGCTTCAAATCGTCCGCTTCCGGGTGACTTTAAATGCTGAGCCCCAAAGTTTGACAATGCAAGCAACTGAAAGCGAGAAACTGATTCAGTTCGCAATGGCCCGGCGGCACAAGTGCGGGCATTACTAAGCTAGTCCGGAAATTGATACCTCATTACCATGTTTTCATCCTGAGACCGGACTTAGACTAAGCAGCGCTAGCTAGCATCAATCGTTACCAAGTTTAAGTAACCTAGCTCCCTATAATAATAAGAGCGCCTCATCAAGTTGGAAGGCAGTCCATTAGATTAGAGATAGCTAGCATGCCCCAAAATCTATGTACAAGCTTCTCGCTGCCTAAGCAGACCCACTGCATTTGACTCAGAACGCTACATTTGACAAAATAAAGTTAGGTTTGTGAACGGGCTTGCACCTGTCCCCAAGGGTCTTCTGGATTCATCAACTTACTCCACTACTCATAGATACGCGACACACAAATTCCTTTTGCCAACTTGCAGGGCTGATTATCCGCCTTCTTGCAAAAAGCCTTCTTTGACAGCGGGCGTACTTCAGCTAACCGGTGCAAAGGTGTAGGCGGAGGTGACGGTCGCTGGAGCACTGGGACCGGTCGCCGAGGCGTATGTTTGCTGCAAGAGGCAAGCGGGATCAGTAGGACTCGTGGTCATAGGCCGAGGACGCTCAAGGTTTCGCTTCAACCAGACGTTTCAGGACAGTCGACTGGTAGGCTCTACTTGCGCAAAGTATGCCCAGAACTTGAAGATCTTCTATTATACGGACCATCAGGCAACGAAGCGGTTCGATCACAACACGCAGAGCGTCGCAAAATGCTCTCAGGTGGACGTGGCAAAAAGACTTACTGCTCCCGGCACGACCGTGAGACGGGCCCCCGTCGCAGAGCGCAGCTCCACGAAGTTGGCCCGGGATGCCAAGCCGGCCACCTTCATGAACACCTCGCTGGGCTGGCCGCTCACACCAAACGTGACAGTCTGTGCAAGCCACGAGTCAGCTTCACACAAAGGAACTGTTTTCACAAAGAACTCACTTAATGAAGCCTCTCGGTGACAGCATCTCTTACTGTCTGGAATCGGACCAGATTTTGTCACACGACTTACAAAATTGGAATTAGTAGGGTTGATGTTAGAAAGAACTCTCTCGAGTGATCTTCGAACATTCATTGTCGTACAGACCAGAAGCTCAATTTCAGGACTGCCCCGGCGAGAGCCGCTGCCACGTGTCCTCACCTCGAGGGTCTCCAGCTGAGCTGGAGTCAAGGTCAGAAGCTCGGTGGCAACAGGTGTGCGCATTTCGTACAGGCTCCGTCCAGTGGAGACGACATCTCCTGTAGAATAGCAAGCACGATCTTCACTACAGCTCTGCATACCACGGGTAATTCGTGGTGACTCTTTGCTAAATTACCTTGTAGATCGATCTCCCCACAGAATGCAAAGTCTTACTGTGGAAAGCTATGTCTTCGCTGGAGATGATCGAAGTATCCCACTTTTCAAGAGACGATTGATGCTCAGCATCATATGAAATTCCTCTCTTTCACGTGTCACACTAGCTATTGTGGCTGGACCTCCCTCGCAACAAGGCGGGGCTTTGAACTCTGTGGACGAGAAAACTCACCATTGCCCCGGCTCACATAGAACCCGCCCCCGACAACCTTCACGCCGCCGGTCACCCGTCCAGCTGCAGACAAATTTTGAGTTCTGGATATGGCAGCCTTTCTTGGACATATAATTCCAAACAATGGTTGTGGATTGGTCAAATACTGCAGAGCCGCACTTGTAGCGCGTTGCAGAGAGAGTCGATGGCGCTTGCAACTGACGAAGACAAACGATTGCAGAAACAACTTAGATTCAATTTCGAAGGCACAACTTATTTGAATCACGTTCTTTGGTCTGCACAGTATCCGGACTCGTCTGGCGTCTGGCAATCTATCCTGTCAACAATTGTGCAGTCACTTTCGGCTCAAAAGCCACACTGTCCGAATCGACCAGGCTTGAAATTCAGGAGCCTTGCAACCCGTCCTGGTGGTTGACTGTTCAAAGGCGACTCTCCGTGGTGGCTTAGGATCACACTGATGGCTCTCCCAGAAACGTTGCATTTTGTAGTCTGGTCCAATTGATGCTGCGCAGCCAATTATGTCCTACAACCGAACAAAACCAGTGTCCGAAGGTGCTCAGGTGCATTCATACAAAAACGGAAGGCAGCCGTTGAGCCTGGTCTGCTTACCCAGGATGGCAATTCCTATCCAAATGCCAATGACAATGATGAGCAGAATGACCGCGATCCCGGCGCATCTGCGGTACCACTTGACTTTCTTCTTGAGCGTCTCATACTGATGAGCAGCCGCCACTAGGTCGTCTCCCTGGACAAATATAAGGGGAAGTCGAATGATTGAGACTTCTCAAGCCCCAACCAGCTCTTTCTGGTTGCTCTGATTACTTCAAGTCCCCTTGCCAGCTTACGCAACAAACAGGGGTGATTAGTCAGAAACGAATCCGCGCAGAGGAACAACAAGAGCAGGGGTTTACCAACGATTCTGCAAGTCCTTAACTCCACAGCTTATCAGCTTTGAGATCGCAGGAAATACATCTTGTGGTCCTTTTGTGACCACAAAAAAGATCACAACCACTTGAAAGAGTGTAAAGTGAGAAATGAGACAATGAAGTATCCAGAAGTGGGGGCATGACTTACTGTAATGAGCCCATCCTTGTCGCGGTCCAGCTGACCCAGGGCTGCCTGCCGCGCATATGCAGCGGGGTCAAAGCCATCTTCCTCTGCAGGAGGGGACGCCTCTACAGGGGGCCCAAGGTCCGCCTCCAGGTCTGTAAAAAACAAAGAATCACGGCTTTTGTAAACGTAACTTCGTAGCTTCAAGGGACTTAGTCCAGATGAATGACATCAAGAGAGTATGTATTCCAGAAGCTAGTCGAGTCTCTGTGGGTAGCTTGCTCACAAGTGATAAATTGATGAGGCCACAAGATATGCAGATACCTGCTTACCTGGCTCTGGTGCAACGGCATGCTCAGGTGGAGTGGCATCCTTCACAGGGGCTTCCACCTCAGGATGAGGAGGGGTATCAACAGCCACAGGTGCCACAGCAGGGACCACCTCTGGGGCCATGATTGGTACCATCGCATGTGGCTCTTCAGGCTGCTCAATACCCTGCAGCAACTCAGAGCAGCCTGGATCGCTCAAGGTCCCTGAATCCCCGGATGATTAAGCTTGAGTTACCACTTTTAAGACATGTAATCTGGCCCCAACTGAAGCAGACGGGAGTTATGGCTGATACCAGATGCCTACTGAAGTCAACATATTGCAGCATCATAACAGGCAACAACAACGCCTTCAATAGAGACAACAGCATCAATCAAGGCAATCATTGGCAGCTTGCTGGCATTGCCTTGTGTCTGGAAGAAGCATCATAATGGGGTGCAACAGGCGATACTTGCCTTCATGAGTATCGGCTTGTCAGCATCTTGCTCAGTTGGCAGCTTTTCTTCTTTGATAGGGCTCTTCACAACTTTTGCTGACTCCTCTTCTTCCTTGATGCGCTTCTCATGCTCCACGACCAATGTGCTGACCTTCCCTTCTTCAGTTGTGACCTTTCCGCCTTCAGGTGTAGCCTTTCCTTCTTCAGGTGTGCCCACGGCCGCAGCAGCTGCATTCCTGGCTGCAGCCACTGCAGCTGTTACCTCCGCTTCTGACGTCATCGCACCACTCTGGAGCGCTCTTTCTGATACAATAAGCAAGAAAGAAGAAGCTTTCAAGCGATGTTTACTACGTTCCTAACGTCTCATGGTGCACCTCGAACGGGCAGCTCTTTCCAGCGGGGTGCAATGACAATACGAGACCGATCAAGGAGACATTGTGAAGAACTTCGCCAATGCTGCAGGCACACTCCTTGACTTTCGATGATGTGACTCTTCAGAGTTGATGCTTTCTCAGCTCATTGGCAGAGGCGCCTATTCGTAGCGCCTTTCGGATCAGTTCAAGGTTGGGCAGTGGGCAGTAGGTACCTACTACTACTGATGTCATAATACGGTGGTACGTCCAGCTTGGCAGACACGATCAGTGCTGACATCATGAGATTCAGCGCTGATTTAGCCACCTGATTTAGAACCAGTATGTTACATTCTCGTATCATGCATCGATCGTGTTGTCGGATGCACGAATTCTCAACGAAGCTCGGCCCACGAGATCGGTGAAAATAAGTGCGGCGAATCTCGGGCACAAGCATGGGAGCGTTCTGATTGGACAATGGCGATCTCATCATTCGTGACAGCGCATCTTCTTGACGTCACTCACATTTCGTGACCGTTGTGCAGTCCACCGTCTTTCCCTTTTCCTAGTAATTGTATGCCTAACAGAGAGAGCCAGTTGCTCGCTCCCGCATTGTTTGCCGTGGCCGACCCTTGACAGAGAGCAGTTTGAAGGCGACGGGTGTGCAATCCTGAAGTCAGTACGCAGGACTTCCAAGGTTCTTCTTCAGCCGTTCATTCTGGACCACTGAAGGTGTTGATTGACCCTGCTGAAGTGGGCATTGGCAACTGTCCTCCACGCACCAATCGCAGTCACTTCAACCTCCAGCTGAGGTTGCAAGTGGTAGTCCGATGGGATTGTTCCGAAGAAAGTCCGTGGCTGCGCCAGCTACGTCAGCTGCAGAAAATGGCGAGGCGGTTGCCGTTGACATTGACGGGGAAAGCCAGCTGCGCCCCACTTCCTTGGTCCGCTTGAACACATTGCAGAGGAGCGACAAGGACTTCCTGAAGGCAAGGTGAGGGCTAGAGTTGGCATTGCTCTAGAAACATTTGTGGATGGCAGGCCATATATGTATTCTTTGTACTCTAAGTGCTCTTTGACAACCATATACTGATGTGTTCCTTGAACTTGTTTGTGACTGTTGGGATTAATGAAGCCCAATATGTTTAACCCGTACATGATGTTTATTGCAGGTTTGATCCAAACCAAGATGGCATCATGTCGGTAAGTCATATTTCCTCCAGAGCTCTATAAGGAATCTGTTAATACGAGAATATCATACTCTTTTGAAAGTAGGTACATATCATATCTTTTGAAAGTAGGTACATGGACTCCAAGCTTACCAGTGATGATCTGTGCAATGCTGGTAGCCAATCCTGCAGATGCTCTTTTCTTCTTGGGGATTAGAATCCTGCTTTGATCTATAGAAGTGAATGGTCTTGATTCTTTGAATGATGCAGGCGGCTGACGTGGAGGCGGCCGCTCACCGCTTGCAACAGATGAAGTTTCGATTGAACCGAAACTTTAAGGTAGGGCGTGGAGCCACCCAGCATTGCAGTGTCGTTCTTTCTGGTAGTGTTATGTTGGCCTCAGAGCAACACGCCTGCCTTAGTCTTGCTGGACTCTGCTCCGTTCAAAAAAGTCAGTATTGGAGAAGAAAACAAGTCTGCTACATGTACTGCTAAATCTTGCTGATACACTTGTGTTATACGAGCTGACAGCCCTTTTTTTGCAGCGTACATGTTGCGTCCTGATAACTGCCATTCTTCTTGTGGCCATCTCAAGCGTTGTCTGTGGAATCATCCTAGGTAGGGGCCAAACATCCTTACATTATGTCATCAGATATGGGGGCCCTCAGACCCACGAAGTCTTGTTTCAGGACGTGGTCTAGCTCTTCCTTTCAGAAACAAGGGCAAGCAGGGATGTGCCTGCCGTCAAAACCCCTTGGATCTCTTGCACTGTTGGCAGACACAAAAAGGTGCTGTTTTCAGCTGTGCAGACAATTCTTCTCTGATCACGCCTCAAATTCTCTACTGCTTTCAGATCAAAGGAGTGTCTCTCGGCAACACCTTGTATATCCTTTTGGGATAACTATCTGATGTGTTCAGTAATTTTGCTGCAGCCTTTTTCTTCAAGAGCAGCACGCATGTCATTGGAAATAACGTCCTCGCTTGGCGTGGAAAGGGTGAGCCTTTGAGAAACCTTTCAGGCAGCTTGGTTGAAGAGCAAACGAATTGACTGCTGTACAGATGTTCTGGCACGTAACTTCCAAAATTGATCACGGGGTCGTCCGAGCAAGTATTCAACTTGAGACGTCCAATTGCCTGTAACTTGCTCCAGGTGCCCAGGTAGACAGTTTTGGCCCACTGTCAGCTTTCCCCTAAGTACGAGCACCTTGTTGTATGCAGATGCTTTTGTCCTGACTGCTCCGACTCGGGTGCGCACACGTGTGGAGGAGGTGGCACTCCTCACAGTCAACCCGGGATCTAGCGTGGAGAGCTGGCTCCAAACGGTTGAGGTCAGCACCACGGCTTTGTTTTCTTGTAGAAGTTTGCGCTGTACTCATGGTGTACTTTCCAAGGACTTCATCTCAAGCGCCAGCCAAATAAGTACTTATTCCAAAAAGGGTGTCAGCACAGTCTGTTGATTTTGAAGAAGGTGGTAAGAACTGCTCCACCGTTTTGAAGTAGTTGCGGCGCCTGTTTGCTACAATCCGTTAAATATTCGATCTCAGCTGTCATGCTGACCCCGAAATGTTTCTTTCCAGGCAATTGAGCTTCAAACGGCGGAGGGCCCGGTGCTGACCACCCACTTCTTCAAGGTGGCCTCCACTGTGCTGAATGGGACAACCGCCACCTTTGCGGCAGCATATGGGGACGCCCTCGTACTCACCCCGACCACCGTAAGGATCCGTTTAAAGTCAAATTGCCGCCTTGTACGTCAATGCTTGCCTGAACACGCTGTTTTCTCACCTGCTGAGCACAAAACGCTGAAAGCCAGGCCAGGCGGGGGTGCTTTTGTGAACTCGGGACGAATCTAGGTGATCGAGGAGAGAGCCGTCTGAAGGGTTTTCTCGCTCGTAATGTCTCCATCCAAGTTGGCGGCTGTATTGAAGATTGCAATTTTACTTCCAAAAAAGTTTCGAGCGTGACACAGCGGATTTCGCTACCCTTCTCAGGCGGCGTTCCAGACCAGCGCTCCCGCTGCGTCCATCCCGCTGTCCAACGGGACAGTCAGCTTCATTTCGGGGCAGCCATATCCATGTGAGTATTTGGCATCAGTCTAGCGGCTTTGAGCTGGCACTTGCAGTGCCTGTCTTGGCCTCTTGGTAGTCCGCCTGAGACACATACATCTGGACAAGCTTTTATCTGACACATGCTTGAGTACCACTGGCACGCTGACACATCGGTAGCGAGCTTTCCTTCTTCATCCCTTCTGAGATGAAGTCTGCACATCTCTTGGGGCGTTGGATACTCCACAGGATCATAAATCATCATCATTCATTGCGCAAGGCTGCCTTGGGATACGATTTCTTCCTGCGTCTCGTGCAGTTGTCAACTACTGCGGCGACCGGTCGCTCAACAACTGTGACCCGAGAGCCACGTGCACCAACCGCTTCAGCTCCTTCGTCTGCACCTGCCCGCCTGGCTACCAAGGGCCCGGCACCACTTGCACAGGTGACGTCATCGGCCTGCCCGAAGAATAGGAAGCTTTGGACCGCTTTGGGCGACTCCCCATGCTTCGAAATTTTCGCTTCTCGAGTAGGCGCAGAGCTGATCAAAGCAGTCGATCGCCTGAACGGCTGCCTGAGCGAAAAGATCAGACGTTTGCAAGAAGGGAGAAGGGGGCATTTGCATAAGGTTGACCTAACGTCGTCTTTGTGGCTGTGAATCCAGATATCAACGAGTGCGCCCCCGGTGGCAACGTGACGAACACCTGCGCTCCAGTCGGGAGCGTCTGCACCAACACGCCAGGTACTACGGAAGACCCTAGCCCCAGTCCGCTCCATTGTCATCCCCAAGGCCTGGATGTTCTCGAAAGCGGTCACGATGATTGCTAAGCAATTGGCTGCCGCTGAAAGCCTCTCCCGCTGTTCTCGTCCGCTGTTGTCATCCATTGAAAGTTCAGGTGTGACCTGCTTTCTTTGAGTCTGCTGTTACATGATTCGTCACAACGGAGACCAGGCCGTAAGTGGTGCCAATCAAATCTTATTCTCCGCTTCTCATGTGTACAGGCTCGTACACGTGTGCCTGTGCCGCAGGGTACACCGGAAACGGGCGGACCTGCACACGTGAGCAATCGTCTCTGCCGAGCCTTTTCCTGACCAGCTCAAAAGGCAGATTTTTGCCTTCACTTGTTGAGGCTCTTCAGCACCTGTCAGGAGCGCATAGATATTAGGACTCTGTCTTCCTTGACAGTCTTTGGTGTTAATTGATGTACGACACCGCCTGCTCGACGTAACGCATTGCTGCGCTTTGTTTGAGATTGTGGAGATGAGCTTGATTGTTCACTCACGTCCTTTTTCACCCCCCCGCAGAGGTCGACGCGTGCCTGTCCCGGCCGTGCAACACCGTCAACGGCACCTGCTCCAACACCACGCCCGGCAACTACCAGTGCGCGTGCTTGCCGGGCTTCTCAGGAGATGGCAGGATATGCGTCGGTGAGTTCAAGATGCTTGTGGTCATGTTGAGAATCCTCCCAACTGACTTTTCTGAGACTCTTTTGCGCACCTATCCACAGAGGTCATCGGTCCACACACCCAGTCCTGTGGTGTTTCAGCAAGATTCCTTTGCTTGTTTCTCTGAGCAACCGACTGCATTCCGACTCTTCTTCGGGCGAATTTGTCAGCGTCCTGCACAGCAGTTCAGTGATCCACTGACGGCTGTGTGGTTATGCGACTCGCTAATCGTGGGACCTTGCCTCTTTTTCGCCTCAGCCTCGAACTCGACAATTGGCAACACGACTACGAGTGGATAGGTGCCACCGACGTCCTGACTGGCCAGGACTGTGCAGCACGGGCAGGGAGCAAGGCCTCGCCTAGATCTAACTTTTAATCAAGAAAAGAATCAGTGGCTCTGGGCTTGCGGTCATGTACAGAGTCTTCTTCATTGCAAGTCATTTGAGAGAAAATGCAAAGCAGAGTCGCAGGTTTTGGGCACATTTGCATCTCACTTAAATATAAGGCTCCTATTTTTAACAAGAATTTGAATGTGAGGAGGTACAAGCAAGCAACTAAGAAGGTGTTTAGACTTGATTAATCACGTGGCTTTGGTCAAATTTTAGCATTAACAACTGGCAATAAGTACGGTAGTATTTATTTGGTTGAAACTAGTCAAGGCACGCAAGTAACGCCAAGATGTTAGCAGGCAGCTCGTTTGAAGGTGTGGCAACCTGATTTCCAGTCATGAGACCTACTCTGCACTAATATGCTCAACGGCCGTCGGCTTGCGGGTGTATCGAGTTGTCCAAAAACAATTCCGACTATGGAGGCAAGTATAGATCAGAGCTCCCGACTCGACTACATCGGAAACCTGCAACAGTGTGCATGGCTTACTCTTGTACTAGTGGTAAGCTCGACGCAATAGAGTTTTGTCTGAGCGCGCAACACGCGAGTTGTGGTACGTAGAACGATCACTCAACGCGCACAGTGCAGGCGGTAAAGACTGTGGCCTTTTACATGAAATGGCCCGGCTAGCCGCAGACCATGCGTCATATAATCTAGCTGCGCAGGTCATCAGTCGAAGCAATACACCGAAAAGCTATCAAGAAATATTGCAATATCGACCTTATCGGCAATTATTTTGTACGTATGCACGTATGGCACCGACATCACATGCACTCTTAGCGACAATGCAATGGAAATTGAGTATTATCATTTTTGCAGCTGGCCAATTACAACTTGGACATGATATAGTTTGAAACTATACTGGCATTGGAAGGCGCAGGGACAATGCACAGAAAAGTATATTAAAAGCCATTGACACCGCTGCATGACTCAGCGGTGAGATATTTTGCTAAAACGACCACGTGCAAAATCCTGGTGCCAGGCGGAGAAAATGAATAAATATTCGCACAACTTGGTGAAACCTAATTTAACGTTCCTGATGATTTGCTCGCAGCTTTCAGACGTGACATCCCATGTCGCTTCGGTACTACCGGCTTGTGCAATAAGCTGTACTCAATCAGCATGCACAATAATGGCGGCAGGCTGGCCAATTCACAGCCAGTATGTGTTGTTAAGGCAGCTAGGCGCCCGCACACCTACTACAAACAACGGCATGTATCTAGAAATGAAGCGCATGACAGGCCAAAGCCTGGGACTCGACCAATCAGAAGAAGAACGCGCGCACGTCAGTCATGACCCAATCTTGGCATCATTCTGTGGTTCTGAATAAGGGGGCGTACATCCCTTCCACGTACTTACAGTAGAAGCTTACGTCTTCCACAGCCTCCACAACAGAAATCTTCCATGCGCAATTGCTCCAATGTCAAGCGGGTGCTTGACGCAGGCTTCCGCGTGCCGCCCCGGTTTCACCCCTTTGACTGTGGCATCAGTCTCGACGGGGCATGATTGCTTAAACGGAACGACATATGTACAACAATTACACTAACAAGACCCCGTTGATGCAGCCATCGTTTTCTGGGTCGTTCGTTATCTGAGCGTACTTCCCTGCACAGTCATCGGAGTTTGTTAGTTCAATCACAGGGACTTTTGTTCATTCAACAAGAGGAAGGTGTCCGTCGAAAGCTCTTGTCACCACTCAACGAGACTGTGAAGACGTGATGCTTGTTGAGCACCTAAAATCTCTTCCAAGTGGTGGGAGCGTTGCTTACCCCAAACAACTTTGCCGGCAGGCGTCACCAGTCCAAGCTCGCTCACGTTCACCTGGAGACGAGACGAAAAGACGATGTCACGGACCACTGCCGTTTTTTGGCCTGCTCTTTCGAGGCGAAGCTGACTACTCGTCCAAGCTTGTTCAACAAAGAAAGTAGATTGTCAAAAGGTATTAGCGAATTTGCACGTTGCTCAAACACCACGCAGAGAACCACTGCGAACAAGTAATCCAACAAAGAAACGAATGAACGGGCGCAAAGGACTTTTCCCTAACCTCGATGATGGTCCCCTTCGTAAGGACCCCCATTTGTGTGTACATGGGCCCGTTCGGATTCTTTTTGACGCCAATGATTTCTAAGTTGAACGTGCACTTGAGCTCTGGGTGCGTGATATGTGCCTGGACATAACAATGGAAAGGCCATCAGTGAGGCCGTCCCCGCATTTCTTCGTTCAACAGACCCCTTTTCTGTGACCACTAAACTCTCTGATGCAGCCCTAATTTGACGCGTTTTTGGACTAGTAACGTCGCATATTACCAACTGGAAGCGCTTGTCCCAAGCACCAACCGCGAGCACGTCTGTTTACTACTCCTCTATTTAAGCAGGTCGCCTTGCCGAACTAACTTCGGGGTTTAGATCCCTCCAACGATCATGCACTTGATCGACTCGCATGGTCGTATTGTCGTGAAACACCCGCGCCCTAGTATACGGGTTGCCTAGCCCCACAACCCTCAACCCTCACCTTGTTAAACCGCAGCCCCATGGGCCGAATGAATCTTTCGTACTTTGGGGGCTTCCGCGTGAAGCCAGGCCCGACAAAGGTCGCCTTGGTCACCATCCGCTTCCACGACTTGTCTGCAACGCAAAACAAATAAATGGTGAGCGACGACCAATTGTCGGCCCCAGACAAACGGATGGCTTCCTCTTGCAAAACACTCGCACAATGAAAAGTCCACTGCAACCAAAGGTGAGCACACAATTCCACATGACGTAAGCGAGACAATCGCAGATCGCAAGGGGCTGAAAGGGAATCTTTGTTAGTGACAAGCAGAAGGCAACGTCTTTCACTCCACCCAATCTGATGGTCCCCGAAATGCATGCGATTGAATCTGGATTTCGTCGATTATAGAGGGCTTCCGTCAAGTTGGAAACATACATTAAAATCAGAATATGGAGTTTCCGAACAGCACTGCGCTCCAACCTGTGCTTTACAAGGAAGGTTTGCAATAAGTGAAAGAGTGAAGACGCCCTTAAATTGTAAAGGAGGGGGAAACTCACGTCTCCGCTTGCCCGACTTGAGGACCTTGAACATCTCGTCCTCCGCAATGGGCCGCACCTTGGGCAGGGGCACCTCCCACTTGCCCGCCTTCTCCTTCCGCTTTTGCTTGATGGTGTTGCTCAGAACCTGCAGACCCCAGATCAAAGACCGATCAGCCATTGAAACAAATCTGGCCCCTCCAGAATCTGTCAGGAGCGGAATCAATTGCGGCTGCTTGAGCTTCAACTGGCAGAGGGTGGCGCACAGATAGACCAGGTGTAGGGCTGACTAAAAATGTGAAGTGGCCTTGAGAGCCCTCCTTTCAAGGCGAGAGTTAGCGATCCTGCCCGCCTGGCCTTACGACCAGACTCCAGAATGCCACTAGAGATCCTTCCAGGGCAACAAGCCCACTTCGACAACATTCCGATTGGTCGGAGACAGGTCGAAAATGACTCTCCGTCACCATACCCGCAATCAACCACACCAGTCAGCCTCAAAATGCAACTGGCATTCAGGAACCGAGCAGCTGAAGTACCGCGGCGCCAAGGGGATACAAGACCATTTTGTGCGATTGATTAAGTGTGGAAAGACTTGGGAATTCGCCGTGAGAAACGGACGATATGGTTTTCCACAAAACAACGTTTATCTGCTTGGTAGTTCGTCAGCAAAGTGGCGCTAACTTCCTATGTTTTCTTTGTATCGCCTCGATACCTTTCAGGGGCCATCTACCTCATGTGGCTTTCAGACTAACGGGCATCGGCTCCCCATCGCTGCCAGATATCCCACGATGTCTCCTTTAGATTCCCGATCAGTTCCAAGGTTGAACGCTGACCCCAAAATGATCACTTCAAGGTGAAACCCTTGGAGGTGCAGTACTTATGAAGACCACCAATTCATTGGAGCGGCAAGTGCAATCACCTAGCAAGCACGATTTTTCCTCCTGTAACAAGCAACCTCAAATTTCCGACCGTCATGTACAGTACAGCGGGCACTCTGATGCTGCCTCACCTTTGCTCTCGTCGTGGCCTCCCTATCCAGAAGGTATGCCGGCACTGCTCCCTCTGGGACTGCGTCCTCTGCTTTGTGCTTGTTGTCGCGCTCGCCATGCATGGCCAGCCTGAAGAAGACACGATGGCAATGAGCGCCTTTTTCAAGCTTCCGGTAGGCTCAAAGACATGTGGGGTCGAAACAACAATCCGTGCATGACTCCATCAAGCTGAGAAAACAAATGGGTACAAGACAGAAACTCAAGTCTGGAGGCACAAAATGAATGAGACTGGCCAAGCTGGAACCCTAATGCTAGGTAGAGTCAGCATGTACCGCTTAACGACTCAACACATATGCGAACCCTAAAGCTGCGAAGGCAATCAAAACTTTTGCCTAACAATGATAACCTTGTTGATTGGGAAAGGCAGATGTGTAAGTTTGGCTTACGTCTTTTTCATAGTCGCCTTCTCCTGGAAGCGCTTCTTTGCATACAACTTCGCCTTGAGACCCAACACCTGCAGAGGAGGATGGGAGCCCATGTCAGCACTGCAGAAATCCAAGGCACTGAGGGACACAAGACCGGCAGGCAACATTGCTTCCGATGGACCGAAAATTGGGATTACTTCAAACGAGGCTACTTGCTACCTACAAGCGCGATGACAGGATTAGAAATGAATACTCCCCACCTTCTTTGCAAACGCTGAGCGTTTGTGGACCTCCCTGGCCTCCTTCTTCCGCTTCTTCTCAAAGTGGTCCAAGCGGTAGCCATGCCGCTTGCGATGTAACTCAATGTGGTCGCCCTGAGGCTGCACGAACCAAGACACAGAGCTGAATTCAGGATCGACACGCAACAACAATAGGGCAATAGAGCCACGACGCTGGCAATCAAATGTTGGTGAAAGACAAGTCAAATATCCTGAGTATCCTCTGAAGCTCAAGCTTTCTACAAACCGTTCGCTAATCTGACCATTACCGTTACAAATGCACACAGCAACTTCTAGCGGCCTCTATCAGCCTACCATGCGACACTCGCCCACAAGAAGCAAGCATTGGTAGCGCACACGTTGCAGGATGGGAGCTTACCATGGTGGCTGCTGTAGGCAACTGTCAGAAGAAGAATTTGCAAGGCGGGCTGTCACTATATGAAGTAAGGATAACTACTAGAGCATTTGAGACTGTTTGGCCCTTCCGTTATACGAGAGCTCAGGATACAGGAAGTGAGGATCAAGCAGCTTCAACCTCAAATTTGTTCTGCGGAACCTTCAAATCCTGCACTGGGCGCCCTCAATGACAAAAGTCTGTTAATCTGAGCAGAGCTGAGACGTTTGCTTCACAAGCTCCGTTCAGTCAGTTTGTTTGGGCAGAAGAGTTTTGTGCTTGCGAGCAGTCGTTTCGGTAATGGGTTAAGGTCGAACTTCCCTTATTCGAAAATT